GATAACATTGATTTTTAAATGATAAAAGATTTTCGGAAAAAAGCATTCAACCTAAAATAAAAAAGCTAATTGAATTCGTATTGTATTAAATTATCTATTAAACTTTAATAAACTTACCTATTAAATTAATGGTGTGTCCAAGAATGTAACGTCAAAATAAAGTCGAGAGCAAATATTATCAATTGATATATTTAAAAAATTATAAAATAACGAGTTATGACATAACTACAATACGCATGCTATCATATTTACTATAAAGTAAAATGTAAATTTACTAACATTTTTTAATTAAGTTTGCAATTTCTCATTTCACTAATGGAAAACGTGTGAACTTCGAAGTCGAAATTTGTTAGCGATGAGGTTATGTACAAATAATAAATATAATGTGATTTTGTACAAATAATAAAATATATTATTGGTACTGGTCACTCGATTATTCCGTGGTAACTGATGCATAGTTTAGATACTAGATTGTTATCCGAGATAACCAGCTAATGACTAGCTCCAGCTAGATTAGGTTAAAGTGTAAAGTCCGTTATCCGTAACAGTCTACCTTTCGTCTAATAATGTATGGTTATTTATTATATCTGATTATGATACGGAATGCGTTAACATCAAATTATTATTATATTTGATGTGATGACCGTCGTAATAAAACTACTTGTCTTTGTCGAATCGAATGAAATTATTAAGAAATATAGACAAAAATTCAAATCTTTACAAAGTCATAAACAGCGAACAAATGGATGAAAATTAAAAATTCAAACGCTAACATTTTTTTAGATTTTTTGTCTTTATATTTATGGAATTTAAAACATATGTTCCCATTTGAAAAAACGAGGTTCGTACTTATTTAACGTATAAGGGTTGAAGATAAAATTTTTCTAAATATTGAAAAATGTAGCTAAATATGTACCTAAAATTTTAGGGAAAAAAAAATTCGCAAAATATTCATACTTTCAGAGAAAATGAGTGTCTTACGTTAGTTGGATCACCCTGTATAGTATATATTTCCACCGAAAATAAATGTTTTTTATATCTATATTTAAAACTAACAATAGTTAATCTAAGTAATTTAAGTATATTTAGATTTGATTACATAAATAATATGATGTGCATCTGTTAGATTTAAATCTCCTATTATTTTTGGAACGAAGTTCCTTATCGCGGGTTGGCGAGGGGACCTAGCCAAGAAAAAATGTAACGCATTATAAAAACTATATGTGGTGCGGTCGAGCGTGATCGGTTCCCAGGAGTGAGTGATACCGGGTTCATCAATTGGGCTCCCTCTCAACACTTTTTGCATTTATTTACAACTTTTATAGTAATTTATATCGCAAGAAGTCTAAAAACTTATAAAATATATATATTTTATACAACAGAATACATTTTTACCCCTAAAAGTACTAGGTCACCTACATTGCATTCGGTTTTCGTCATTTATTATACTTCTCGTACTGATGATTAAATACAATTTTTTTTTATATAATTGCAATATTTTAGAATTCAACCTGTAAAGTTGTAGGACTAAATAATACTGAAATATAATGTAAATTAATTTTTCATGATACATATTATAATTTGGTTTGAGAAAATTATGAAAATTAATAATTATCATTGATATACGTCTAAAATATGTTACCTCATTACATTTCATTAAGTTAATAACCGTTAGTACCAAAGTAACATGAGTAATATTGTACGATCTCCGGCGTTGACTCGACGGTCAACTGAATCAAAAATAGGTGATCAACTAATTTTGAGTCTTCCGTCTTGTTCGAATCAATGAATCGTTTTTAACCCTTAACTGGGCAATGTATATTTTTGGATACTTATAAGGTAGCGCAACAACAAGATGATCAACTATATTTAAATATCGATATTTTTATTAAGAATCGATATCATCTCATGCAGGCTGCACTAGGAATGGGCGTACGTACAGTTCGAGTTTATTGATTATTTAATATCGATACAATCATCCAGTTGCAATATAATGTTAATAACATTATATTTTATACTTATCGATATTTAGATACATCGTTATAGTTTTATCAATATCAATAAAAATATATCAATCTATCTGGGCAGTGGCGTCAATTTTTATGGGCTGGTCAAATTTTCGATACATAAGGCCGTAAATTATCTGTTTTTTATGCAACTACCTACATTAACTTACCCTATAATAAACCGTCTGAACTGACTACCAAGTATAATAGGTATGAAGATTTATAATACTTGTATTATTACTGTTTTGAATCTAAGTGTTTTGGAAAAAATATTTATATTTGTAAAAATGTTGCCCCACCCTAAGAAAAACTGAAATGTCGCCCCTGTATCTGGGTCATTATTATCATGTAGGTCATGCTTAATAAAAATGGAATAAATAAAAATATGAATTTCAATAATAATAGTGTTTATATAATGAAGCTATATCATATGTCCTAAACTGAGATATTATATCCCTACCTACAATTATTAGACAGCTTTAGTTGTAGATGAAATAACACATTGGATATAATGTATTCCAAATTTGTGAGTTGATATATCACAGTGACACACCGAAAACGGCCAATTTTGCTGTGTAAAATCCTCCATTAGAGCAGAGGTTCTAGAAGTGGGTCCAGAAGCAAGAGCGTCAACTTCCCAAAATAATCTTTGATAATCTTGTACACTATGTTTTTAAAAAAAATGTAATTCTTTGAATTACTTGTTTTTCTTTTGATATTATGGAATTTTAACAAATTAAAAATCATTTTTGAAATATATTTTGGCGGTAATACGAGTAATAAATTGTTTTTGTCTGTAAATTCTTATATACATAATATTTTACGTGTTGTGCTAACGTATACATATTGTACATTAACTTATAATAATAATTTAAAAAAACATAAAGGATTACTAAAAAATAGTAGCCACACATTTTCATAGGCCCTAGGCACAGTGCCTATGCGCCAATACGGCCTGTACATAAGGGCCCCAGACCTCTCTGATACCTTCGCTTGTGGGGGCACTGGTATTTGGTGTCATATTGTCATGATATGGATATATAGTAGTAAACCACAAATAAAATACGTAGGCATAGAATGGGATGTACTTTGGACAACCATTGGTTACGGACATTATTATGTCCAAATAACTGAAATTCGGATTTTTTCTTGGACAACCTATACCCGCCGGAGACATCCTCAGAATAATCAAAGAATGACAGACATATTGCTTACAAGATTTTATGTAAAAAGACGGAATTCCGTCGCTTTAAATGTTAATAATAGAGTTTTTTTTAAAGAAAATTATCGGTGTACATTGAAATACTTAAACGAAAATTATTTTCAATAATATTATAAATCGTCAATATCCCATTATTTCTGTATGTATTAAATTCGCAACGGTTACAGACTATTTTTGGAGATTTATTAGGTTTCTAGTCAAAACAAACACCTTCCTTCGCCACCCCATAACCCTTCTGTTGTCCATTTGATTGGACGCCTCAGTCAGCGGTGGCTTTAAATTTTTGTTTTGTTTATAAGAAGATAAGTTATACAGAATGTACCTAACACCCAGTGACAACTGAATATTAAAAACTCATCACTACAAACAAATATTTTCGAGGGCTTAATTTCTAAACTCTACATATTATTATTTCAAAAATAATTTGTTGATTTATCTATTAAATAAAATAAAAATGCTGCGCTACCTAATAACAATATTAAACTTTTATTCAAACAAACACCAATCATTTTTGGGTACTTCTTTGCACGTTCTGTATACTATGTACAACATACATACCTACTTAAATTTTTGTGTATATAGTAGCTCAAAAGGGATGAATGGGGTTGCCTAGTAATACCAAAGAGTTACTGTAGTGTCAAATGTGTAATGTATGTATAATGTTGATAATTTGAAAACTTAAATAATTTAAAAAAGTTCCTTTTTCGGTTATCATTAGTACTAAAACTAGAATTGCCTCACCGGTGCAACAAACAGTTAACTAAACAAAATACAAAATAAAATTCACACACAACAAATTAACTTAATTTCTGGCCAAGGGTGTAGCGAAGTCATTGTTCCCAAGTCCATTCGGCCGACTGACTTAACAAAAACAAAATGTACACGCACAAGAACTAATTAGTCATTTTTTTTCCCCTTACTTTTTAATTTTCTCAATGTTCTTATGTTAAAATTTTAAAACTAATATATACGCAAAAATGGGAATACTTTTAAATGAATATATTTATAAAAAAAAATGCAATGGATACAAAAAGTGGTTAAATGTTATTTCATATTTTTTTTTAGAACCGCCATTGTTAAGACCATTTTTTAATAAATAATAATATAATTTTACTTAATACTAATAAAGAATAACAAATATACGAAGTAAAACAGGGCTGTGTATACTTTCGTACCTAAGAAGGTATATTTGGCAGGTAATTCATCCGGCGCGGCAACTTTAAAACATTAACTTCCATTTTGTACCTATACACTTAGCAATACGTACTAAAAAATATATAGATTATAGGTGATACCTACACGCATTTATAAAATAAACAAAGATAACAGTTCAATAATAGGTAAACAGTTTTCTAGAGATAATAAAATATCGTTTTTTTGGTGGTGAAAAATATACGTTCGGACTTTTTGTCTCTTTCAAAATGCCATCTGGAAATATTTTTTAAAAACAGCCTCGTTTGAGTCGTTAGCTAATAATTACTCCTTAATAATATGTCATGCTGGCAGCACAACTAACACCATTAATAATCGTATATTGTATACAAGTATTGTTAGTGTTGGCACTACTGAGAGGCGGTTTTTTTAGGGGTGGCGTTTTGTCCGGCGGCGTTTTGTCGATTTTTTATCCGGCGACGTTTTGTCGATTTTTTGTCCGGCGACGTTTTGTCGGGCGACCTTTTGTCGTGTTTCCTTCGTCGGTAATCCACGCTGATAAATCCGTTATCAAACTGATATTATTAATAATAATATGTTTTTGCTTGTTTTAAAAAAAAAATTGAATTAAATAATACTTGGGTGAAATATACAACGTAATTTTGAACTAATTGAATATGTTATTATATTTAAAAAAATGATTTTCTAACTTATTATTTTGCTGACAATTTTTTTTTTTAACATGTCATCTTGAGTAAGTATTAGGCATATCTTTTATTTAGATCTGTAAAATTGGATTTTTCAATCAAATGATTACTGTTACTACAGATTTTCCTATAATAAAGCAATTTTATTATTTTGTTAATCGTATTCTGTTGTACCAAAAGTAACAATTTATTTGGTATTTGTCATAATGTATATGGTTTAAAGATCGATACAAATGAAATTTAATAAATTATTTTAATTTTTACTTCCTACTTATTTTTAATTTTATTATACAGGGATTTGTTAAAAATATATTCAATCAATTTACTTGCAACATCAAAATGAACTTGGAATTACTTGGTAAGAAATGACTTTTTTTTAACATTTTGTTAAACTTTACTTACCTATTTAATAGTATAATACAAGACAAATTAGACAAATTTGTCAAAAAAAAATTAATGTTCATTTCATTTATTACATTCCTAACAAATTTTTATTTACAGAATCATTTGGACAAAATTATCCTGAGGTAATATACTTCTTACAGTTTTAATAAATTGTTCATGCACCAACGTGATTTTATTATTAAAAAAATGTTATAGGAATTTGATGGAGTTCTTGATAGTATATCATTAGCAGTTACTTGTGTGTTTAATAAATATGGAACATTATTAGCTGTTGGTTGCAATGATGGCCGTATAGTAATTTGGGATTTCTTAACACGAGGAATCGCGAAAATTATTACTGCTCATATGCATCCTGTTTGTTCATTAAGGTAATAATACATTTATCATTTGAAGAAATGTACATTTTATTTGGTATTTCTGAAAGTTCAATGACATTTTTACATTATGATTTTCTTGTTAAAATACATTTATTATTGATTTCAATTGTGCTAAATAAATAAACTAATATCAACTGTATTCAATTTAAAGTTGTAATTTCAAATTAATAATATAATATACACAATGTTTCACGAGGATTTGATCTTAGTAATATGTCTTAGGGTAATAAATATTATTAAAGTCACAGTTTTTTTCTAAATAAATTATTTAAATACTGACAATATGTTTTTATGGAATAAAATAAATAATATACTTTTTATTATTTTAATTTAATAAAATAAATAAATGCTACCCAAATTATTTTTATCTGTGCTCACATGTACATTGTATAACTCCAAAAGTATTTAACCAAAACTTCTTGCCAAACTTTGTAATGGCTGTTTCGATTTTAAAATTTTTTTTATTTGGAACCCATTTTTTTAGTACAGCAATTTCCTTAAAAGATATCAAAAAGGTCAAATTGTTTGTTACAATATTGCTAAGTTGACATCATTACTTTATTTTTGTGTAGCAAATAATAAGACTATTACGTAATTTTTGTAGTTGGTCGAGAAACGGGCAAAAATTACTAAGTGCGTCCACTGACAACAACGTTTGTACATGGGATATACTCACCGGCGAACGGGAAGAAATGTATAAATTTCCTTCGCCTGTATTAAAAGTTCAATTCCATCCTAGGAAAAAAAACTTATTTTTAGTGTGCCCTATGAAACACGCAGCCGTACTAGTAGATATTGACGGCCATCACAAGATAGTTCCGTTAGACGATGATGTAAGTTGTTCCTAACATTATTGTGTTCTATTTTTTTTAAATGTTTTTTACTTGTTTTAATCTTCATTTTTATTTTTCATTTAGTCTGATCTCATGATAGTTGCGTCGTTTGATCGACGAGGCCAATATATTTTAACTGGAAATGCTCGAGGGAAAATATTGGTTTTGACTTGTCCTAATCTTGAACTAAAAGCATCGTTTAAAGTATCAACTGGCATGACCGGCATAAAAAGCATCGAATTTGCACGACGAGGAGAATGCTTTTTACTTAATTGTTCTGACCGTGTTATTAGAGTGTACGATGCTAAACACGTATTGGAAAAAGGCAAAGACGGTGATACTGAACCAATTCAAAAACTTCAGGATTTAGTTAACAAGTGTGTACAGCGAACGCTTACAATAAAATTGTTGTACATTATGGTCTAGTATGTTAATAATAATATTTTATAGAACAATGTGGAAGAAATGTTGTTTTTCCGGCGACGGAGAATATATTTGTGCCGGTTCTGCTAGACAGCACGCTCTGTATATTTGGGAAAAAAGTATTGGAAATTTAGTCAAAATATTACATGGCACAAAAGGTGAACTTCTTTTAGATGTCGTTGTAAGTATTAAGATCAGAGATAAAAGATTTTTACTTTATCTTGTTGAAATCCTATCGACTTACGTAGCGCAATCAGGATAGCATCTTTGGGATTCTCTTCTGGCCATTTCACAGAGGCCATCTTGACAAGATTAAAATTATTCATGTGTAACATTCTATGTTTTTAGCTAGATTATTTATTGTAAAATAGTAATAAAATTTTTTTTTTTAAGTGGCATCCAGTTCGAGCTATAATTACCAGTATATCAAGTGGCCTTGTGTCTGTGTGGGCTCAAAATCAAGTAGAAAACTGGTCTGCGTTTGCACCAGATTTTAAAGAGCTCGATGAAAATGTTGAGTTTGAAGAACGGGAATCCGAGTTTGATTTAGAAGACGAAGACAAATCGGTTACAAAAGACGTGCAGCAATGTGATGAAGATTTTGAAGTTAGTACTAGTTTTAATTACAACATAATATTATACTCAATAAATACTATATTGATGTATTGAAACTGATGTATAACAGAATCTCTTATTTAAAATAGCATAGCTAAAAATACTTTTTAATTGTTTTAGTATATCTGTGTATTTTTAATAGTAAAAAAAAAAAACTTGTTGTTTCTACTACAAATTTTTGGGTAATTAATAATGGTAATCAAGTTTTTAATATTTTTTATTAGGTGGATGTAGAAAATGCTGAACCAATAGCAGCATTTTGTAGCTCCGATGAAGAAGGAACAAACGAAGCTCTTATGTTTTTACCTATCGCTCCGGAAATTGAAGATCCAGAACCTGATATGCCGCCACCTCCAGTATCTTCTAATTCGTCAAATTGTCGCACCTTTGATATTCCACTCGATAACATCACTGACGGTTTGTGTTTTTGAAAACGTTTAAATTAAATTATATTTCTAAAGCACTTATCTTGTTGTTTTTTTTTTTTAGAATTACATCCTTTGCTAAGTAACAAAACAAAAGAAAAGCAAATTACTGGAGGAAAAAAAGGTACAAAACGAGGACTAAAATAATTATTTATGTATTAAAAAAAAAAAAAATGTATATTATGTGAATATAATATGTAATGTAAAACAATCTTTATATTTGTATTATATTGTATATTTTCTTATTATGATATAAGTATGTTGCCATTTCTTATTGTATTATACAATTTTATTGCGTTGATAGTTCTCATTAAACTCACTATTAGGAATTATCAAATCTTTCTTCTGCTGAAATTTGTATTATTATAAAAAATATGAATTTTCAACACATATCACAATAATATAGTAAATTATTTATTTTAGAAATATTAATCTTTGGCCTTTGCGAATGGTTTGCCCTTATTTTCAAACAAATGTTTTGTATTATATCATAAACTGTATAAACTATTGTCTACACATCCGTTAATTTAAACTGAAGTATAAACTTCATGGTTGGGGGATTGTCATTTTTTTTCTTTGATGAAGATAAAAAACCTCGGTTTTTGAGCTCTCGATTAAGCAGGTAGTATATTAAATAATAAATAATACTTATTAATTAACTCCCTAAAAATATCATCCTAGTCAAATATAGTTCAGTTCAGATTATTTGATTTTGTACAAAAATGATATATTTCAAGGAATTGATTCATTTTTAAGCCCCTAGTACTTACATTTTTAATTTGTTTTTTTTTATAAAAAATTCTTTTTGTACGTTTACTCAAAAAAGAAAATTAATTTACAAAATAATTGCTATGTTATGAATGAATAAGAAGAATACATTAGTGATTAGTTGACAGTTCAATAATAATTTAAGGTGAATATAGAAATTAAGAATGAATGATGAGCATTTTGAAAACGTTTGTCTTTTGGGCTTGCATTATAATAGCTTCGGTGTACAATTGGAAACTTAATTGTATTGAAATTGTAGAATTTTACAAATATTGGTTTGTAGTGTGACTTTTTTTTGAAACCGTGTAATGTGCATAGACAACATCTTTGGAACCGCTGAACCGAATCTTTCTTATAGTTCTACGTTTGCATAGGTATCTATGGATTAGAAATCGTGTTTAGTTGTTATTCAAGAAGGAGAAGTAGTATCAAATATATTTCCCCCCCCCGCGGTTGACTAACTAATAAAAAGTATTCTTTTTTAATTCGCAGCAATGTTTTAATTTTGATAGTGTTAAATATTTTGGAAATGTCAAAAAAAAAATTAAAATAAAGGGTAGCTCCACACCCCTCCAATATCCAGTTTTTACTTAGGGTATACCAAGACGCCACTTTTGAGAGTTATTGCGAGAATTATTAAAACAAAATTCCCTCTTTCAATTTCCATACCACTCAAATAATTGCACTTCCTAGATCGGAGCTCCTATATTAATTGATCCATTGAAATTTTAAAAACTTGAGCCTTGGGAAAAAATAAAAAATGTTGTTATTGCAAAATAACATAAACTAAAGTGTTTTCAAAAAGAAAAACCACAAAATTGCAATTATTTTAAGAGAACATGAGTATCTTGGGTTAAATTGATCACTTGTAGACAGTAGTTGGTACTTCAATACAAAAATTAAAAAAAAAATTGATCAAAAATCAATAAAATAACTTTGTACATTTATTTGCTACTTTCAAATTCTGTGCAGGCTTAGATTCTTTCTGACCTAACTCAATTAAATTGTATATAAAAAAAAATCCAAAATGTACAACTAATGCTCTTGGACATTAAAATAGGTTTAGGTATATATTCTATTATTGTAAAAAACAATTCTGAAAAATGAGTTTCGTATTGTTTTCTTTTTTTTTACGAATTGTACTTGTTTATCCATAACAAAAAGTAGGGGAATACGGCAATATAAGTAAGGCGTAACTAATGTAAAAAGTATCTGTTTAAAAAGATGTACGGTTTTTCTGTTTCTGTGAAAAATTTGTGTAGGCTCTAATGAAATCGACCGTATCTAGGTATACATAAATCTAAGATGGAAATAGTCACAGTTTCTTTTGCCGCAGTGCCGAGATAGGTTAAACTGAACTCAATATACACACTAGTATACAAATATTTGTAAAAATCGTTTTAGCTGCTGTTTAACTTAACGTTTATCCGCAGTTAAAGTGTTTTGTGTAAAAATACAATTTCTATAGTCATATTGTGAGGTTAGAAAACCTAATATAAATTTTATAATGGTCGGCGGCATTTGGCGCCTAAGTACAATTAAAATGGCATCCAAATTCAAATCACATACGCACAAAGCTTCATGTAAGTTGACAATTTTGACTTGTAAACAGGAAATTTTTGAAGGGAAGTCAGATTTAGTCGAGCTTTTAAAGTTATGAACAAAAACTTAATTTACTGCACTTTTTTTTTTAAATTAAATTATTTTCTTAAAGCTTGACATTTTTCCAAAAAAATCTTAAAAAAATATGTTTTTTTTTACACTTATGATTTTAACATGATTATTTCTGAGTTTGTCAAAAACTTAAAAATAACATAAACGACTTTAAACTAATAACAATAACAAAAGACGTATATATTCAGAAAAATAATTATAATATCTAGTTTGCATACGTTTTTTTTTAAATCTAAATTAAATATAAGTAGTTTTAGTAAGTTTTCGTTAATGACTTTAAGAGTGTGTATGATATTTAATTTCTATTTTCAATTAAAGATTTATACATCAATTCTTTGGTCTCTCTGTATGCAGAGAAATATTTTTTCTGTATTTTGAGCCAGAGGAGTGTACATACATAACTAACTTATAAACCTATAATATATTTGCACATTAAGGTACACATTTCGCACATTTTATTTTGTAACACTTTTTTCGACAGATGAGTTATAACAATTTATGTAATTTTGGCGGTTCAATGAGGCGATCCTTATTTATTATGCAGTCAGCAGTATGCACTTATAGAATATAGCCCATATGTATATTACTGTAGTATACAAACATTTCAATGTATGAGTACTACTATTTTTATATTTTTTGTGTTCGAGGGTATAATTCTTATTACAACTAATAAATTGATTTACACTGTATTTTTTCAGAATTTTAATAAAATTATACGTCGTTATACACTGGTGTCTGCTGAAAACATCAAATGCCATTTTCGGATGAAAAAATATGAGAAAAGAATACATTGTAATTATTAAACTTCTTATGGTAACGCTGTTCTGTGTCATCAACGGTAATTTTTACTATCGAGTTAATGAAAATTATTCGAGTTAAGTTAATAATTAGACTAAACAAATTTATATTATTTTTAAATGTTTGCACATTCTTTACTATGGTGCAGCCACACACAATACTAATACACATCTTATGTAATTTGGATTGTTCAATACTTCAATGTATCTGTTATTATGCAATATGCAGTATAGCCTATGTGGGGATTCCATAGTATACATACATTTCGATATACGACTTATGAGTACTGCTGTTTTTATATTGTTTGTGTTCATAGGTATAAATCTCTTTTTGGACTGTACACTTGTAAGAGTGTGTTTAATCCGATTACCCGTGCGCACCTTACACGGATATTAATTTTAGGAATTAGAAATGGATTAAACACACTTTTACACGAATTAAATTATGTACATTCTATAAAACCGTTTTTATTTTTTATTTTGATTAGCTACACAACGAAGGTAACATAAGATAATGTAGCATAAATGCTATTATGATATTAACACTTGTGTGTAGGTACTTAAGTAGTATAGTATTATCATTTATAACTAGGTATGAAGGGTAAATCCTATAAATCATTTTAATGTAATAATTCGTAAACAAGTTTCAGGGGCTCAACAAGATTTGTCTTATTGGAACTGTAAATTGAAATTATCGACCAGTTGTCCTAATTCTGATGTGACATTTTTTTTGTACACTAGGTAAGAAAGTATCTCAATATAGCTAACATTTATAAATCAGAATATATTACCACCATTTGCATTTTCAAAATCAATAAAGAGCACATTTCTTAAAAATAGTTTTTAAGCTAAAACATAATGTAATTATAATACATTTGAATTATACAGTTCTCAGTTCAATACATGAATAATAGTTTGGCCATTTTAAACAGTTTTGGAATTAAAAGTTATTATTTCGAAGTGACGCCATAACCCGATAATTATTCATTTTAAATTCAAGTAAATGATTGAGAGTTGGATTTATTCGAGTAGCCGATATTTTTTTAATGCATTCGTATTCTCTCCAAACAAATCATATCAATTAAGAAGAACAGAGAGAGGTTTAATAGCTGTACATTTCTATTCTCATACGTTATAGAATTTTAATTCTCTTAGATGATTTTAAAACTAAATTTTAATGATAAAACTTGGCATACAACTTTTATAAAACTGTTTTCTAACAATATATTATACATTATATGGATGTCTTAATGAGTTTAATTAATTCATTTTTTTCATAGATATTTTAAATAATGAGATTTCTATTTTCCACAAATTTGTATGTTCCAAAACTAATTATTTGTATATCAACTTTTAAAACTTAAATGGTATAAGTGGTAACGCATACATTTCATTTAGTTTTTAAATTTAAAATAATGTACTAAAAATGTTGACCGGTCGATAACCAGTTTTGGATAACTGTTTTTAAAGTTTTAAGTTTAGGGCAGGAAATAAGGCGGAGTGTAGTATTATTTTTATCTGAGCGCACTTCCCACCCCGTCCTAACTTTTAAACTCTTATTATAACTTTAAAAATAGTTGTTCTAAACTGGTCATCAACCAGTCAATATGTTTAGCAAAATATTCTTAATTTAAAAAGTTACCACTCAAGTTTGAAAAGCTAATATAAAAATAATTAGTCTGGGAGGGGTTTGAAAACGTTAAAAATTCGTGTGACATTGAGTGGATATACGATAAATATATATCACCCTGTATATATGTATGCATTATGCATCTAATACATTTTAAATTTGCATTTTTCGCGGTTTAATATTTACAATAGTGGCCGTACAAAGCGACGATTTCATATAGACTTGAAAAATAAACAACCTTTGCACTACAGTGGATGGAATCCCAACAAATTGAACGTTATAATTATTCACGGCTTCAACGGTGCGGAAAATCAAAATCATATGACAATCATTAGAAACGGTAACTAGAAACATAAACATAATTATAAATAATTACTAAAATCATTGAGCTAGTATTCATAATAAATAGATTATTTATAATAACCACTAAAAACATGCATTTACTGCTAATGCCTACGCTACTTTGTGTTACATTAAGTCAAGATTATAGTAAACAATTTAGGTCCTTAGATTTTAAAAAAGTATTTAAATTACAATTTTCTCTGTCTCGTATATTATAATCTAGGCTGCGATATTTATACTAGGAACCAATATCTTTAATCTCTCAAGATTTAGTGCTTGACAATCAAATGAACCCGTAGGACGAAGACTTCTGTTATTATAGCGTTAACCCCAAACTACTTCTGCCGTATAGCTACTTTTATTTTCCTTTTGATTACAAACAGCCCCATTACTGTTCTACTGAATTTTATTTAAATAAAAACAAAATTAATAATTATGTTTATTTGCAGCGTATCTAAAACGTGGAGACTTTAACGTGTTCACTGTAGACTGGATGCCTTTGACAAGGTACCCTTGTTACCTGTCATCGTTGAGCAACATGCGCTTAGTAAGTCTATGTGCTGCTCAATTCTACTCCCATCTTACATACTCCGGTGCTTCCGCTTTTAATATACACTGTGTTGGACATAGTTTAGGCGCACACTTATGCGGAATGATTAGTAACCATTTGACATTAAGACAGCACAAAATCATCGGTAAACAAAGCAAAATAATAATTACATAGTCATAGCGAGCGCTATTATAGTTTTTACAATAATAATTAAGATAAGGCAACCAGATAAGTCGGTTAGTTCAAATCATTAATTATTAATGTTATATTTTACATAGAAAATATATTTTATTTTGTATCGATCAACGATGACCTCGGTGACATAGATAAATAGAAACAAGCACGTAGCTTGGCGGGAAGTCAGTGTGGGGTCCAAATGAATTCCCAAAAGATCTAGGAATGATACGTGGATAGAAATTTAAAAAAATTTGCTCTGAGACGAACGAGGAACTCTATCACCTTATCCTACTCTAAGCGATTTACGGTAAAGTAAATAATAAGAGTAAACTCTAAACAGAAGTTCCGAATGCTAAAAAAAATTACTAAATATTACTCAATAATGCTACCTTAGAGCTAACTTAATGTAAACAATTTTAATTATTTTGAGGGTGCTTATTTCAAAAGAGTGGGTGTGCTAAGCATACCTAAGCTCCTCTCAATTTGCTACAATGTTTGTTTTGAAGTAATTGCCAGCGCTTTATGGTTCTGTGTAAGTCGTTAAATTATCGAGTAAACTTCAGCAGTTACAAAAAAAAATATGTAAATATACTCAATAAATACTGGATACGTTTGTATAAACTTATTTCAATTGATCAGAAGTAATATCAAACGCAATCTCAAAATGAATAAGAGAAGGTCACGTCGCTTTTTTTTTTTATAAAAACATATATTTTGGAAAATGCAATTTGCAAAGAAACCGAGCAGCTTTAGTGCATGGGTGCCCGCAGTTGAAAATTCAGGGGGGCGCCTATGATTTTGTAATAGATTTTACAAATTTGGGATATTGGATATACATTTTTTAACTTGCAGAGAAGCTAGCAAATTTATAATAAATTATTGAAACCCAGTGTCTTATAATCTAGTTTTTAGTAAAACGTTTTTTTCTTCTAAAAATAACTAATTAATATATATTTTTCCCGTGTCTTCGTACAAGTGTGAACGTTTTAGCATTATATTACATTTTGTACTTAACTCCTTATAAATACGCAGGGTCGCGTCATCTTAAGACTATATATATTCGATTGCCGTCAGATGTATTTTTAAATGTTAGACTTGCTAAGAAAAAATGATTCATAACTTCCCCGATTTGACAATTTATGGCAGGGCCAGCGATTTATGTTTTATGTGCATTAAGAGGGCGTCGCAGCGCCCATTTTTAAGGAGTAAAGTATAGGCAATTTTTTACAAAATCTTAATTTAAAGGTTAAACTGTGATGTGTAATTATTAGTTCAATAACTAGGAATCTATTTCGGTAGTTAATTTATTTTTTGGACTATCACAGCATCCTTGAAAGCGATTTAAAAATGTTTTTTCATCTCTACATGTTTAAACAGACTGAAAATAACTTGCTTAATTTTGGTTTTAGAGTAAAGCACCCATTATAAAATTAAAAGAGAACAATATTCCGGAGGGCAAGATGGTGCGTTTTTTTCAGTATTCCAAGTATAACGCTCAATACATAGATTAGAAATAACGACTATTTTAACATTTTTAAATGACTGTAACTTTTCAAAAAAATGAATTTTTTTAAAAAAAACGCACTGTCTTGCCCTCCGGAATATTGTTTTCTTTTAATTTTATTATGGGTGCTTTTACTCTAAAACCAAAATTAAGCGAGTTATTTTCAGTCTGCTTAAACATGTTTTTACCACTGAAAATCACCGGTGCGACGCCCTCTTAACAATAATTGGTGGTTATTATGTTATAGATTGCAAATGATATTTTATTATCACGCTTTATATATCATATTATGATCTCTAGGGTTAGATCCGGCGAGACCTCTCGTGTCAATGTTTTCGTCGGACGAATTCCGTTTGACAAGAGACGACGCCAACGTGGTCGAAATAATACACACCAACATTGGAATGTACGGAGATACACCACGAACTGGAGATGTAGACTTTTGTGTAAACGGAGGTCGCCTACAACCCGTTTGCTCTAGAGAATCCAATATTATCCGTAATACATGCATTGTCTTTTTTTTACATTTGGGTACATACCTATCCGTTTGTCATTCAAAGTTACAACTGTTGATCGTAGGACAAGGTCGGTGTAGTCATTTAACGAGCACTTGTTACTTTGCGGAATCGCTCGTCAAGAACCGAGTTCATTTCCTCGGTATTCCTTGTACGGATTCCTGCGACACATTACTTCTCCCGAAAAATTCAAAACAGATTGTATTCGTACCCATGGGCTTGCACACTCCAGAAAGGTAATACCCATTTATTACTTTAATTGTTTTTATATTAAAAAATATACATATGTTATCACACTGTCACACCCTCGTCAAAGTCAACGCGAAAATAGGAGAGAGACTAAAAAAAAAACCTTTTTTTAAAACACGCTTTTCTAAATAGTAGTAAAAAAGTGAACTAAAAAATAAAAAATAATTTTACTACAAGAAAAATCAATTGTAGCACATTTTATTTAAAATGTCAATTACTTTGAAAACGACCGCAAATTAACTACAATTTTAAATAATGTTAAACATCTTTAATTTTTGACTAAAAAGTAAAGCGTGGGCCCTATTCAACAGAGTTCCTTCGTGAATTTATCAGATAATGTTTTTTATTGTAAGTTTTTTTTGTAATTTAAATTTGGTTTAATATTATTGTGTGACACATACATTTAATAATACTTAACTCGATGAATTTGGACTTTGTTGAATAGGACCCACGCTTTTCTTTTTAGTCAAAAATTATAGATGTTCAACATTATCTGCGGTTGTTTTCAAAGTAATTGACATTTTGAATAAAATGTGCTACAATTTTGCAATTTTTTACAATTGGTAAATTGCTCTTGTAGTAAAATTATTTTTTACTTTTTAGTTCACTTTTTTACTACTTTTTAGAAAAGTACGTTTTTAAAAAAGTTTTTTTTTATTATTTTATTTTATTTTTTACCTTTTAGTTCTATTAATTATCCTACTTAATAATTGGTGAATAGATTATTAAATTCATTTTAGAAGATTTGAAAAAACATGACATTTTAGAGAAATGACCCTGTGTAGGGCGACCAGGTTATCCTAGTCTCAATATTATTGCAGGATATTGTATTGTCGTCCAAAATTAGTGTCTGTGCCAAGTTTCAGCCCTCTACGACATCAGGAAGTGGGTTAAATGAATTTTGCAAAATTTGAAAAATACCCGTACAAACGTACGAGTTAGCGAGTTAAAGAAAAGCATTTAAACAATCAGCCGATGGAAGTCGTTGTTTTTTGGGATTCATATTTTCATTATACAATTTGTAAATGGGATTTAAATAGGTACATAGCATTTCTCTAGACTGGTTTTATTGAAAAAACCTTCATTGAATGGACTTCGATTTTTATAAGTATATAAAGTATATAATTAGCTTCAAATCGTTTGATTATTCGCAGTGTATAATTAGCTTTTTGAATGGGCTTAGGCCGACTACCTTTCCACTCCCCTAATTGTACCACCGGTTAAGATACTATTTACTAATATCCGTTTCTTTTAACGGTAAAAACTAAACAATTCCAAAAACAGTTTTGTCCACAGTGTAGTTACAGTATTACACTGTACTTGAAGCAATTTTATTAGGTACGACTTACTTCCATTTCAAGTTACGGCTATCGAATTTGAAACTGGGCACGGAGTACCACACTAGCCATTTTATACATAAATTAGTAAAAACTATTTATTTATTACTTGCAAACGCGTTTTTAAATTATTCTTGTATTTTCTATGAAGATCAGAATATTTCCTTAGGAACGCATAAAATTGGTTTTTAATTATCTATATATATCACATCCTATATCCGGTTAGGATCTTGAAAATTACATTTTTGCAGTATTCATAGAATCGCTCCGTATTACTTTCACTGTTAGTGAGATATTTGATGCTCTTAATTCCCTTGACTGTGATCCGTGCCCTGGACCTGATGGTATTACTAATATCTTTTTTAGATTATTTAATTGATAATGTATATCATTTTTTTGGTGATCGTATTGAGGAAATTAGTATTGTTCGAGATCTTGGAGTGGTATTCCAATGTTAAATGTTTAATGTTAGTGAGTTATATCCTTTAAACCCGTGTTTTTCAGCCATATTTAATGTTTTTTTATTTATGTATATTTTATCATGTAACTTGGTCGTTAAGTTTTAGGGTATTTATTGTATTTTATTTAAACTAATTCTACAATTTACTTGTTCTTGTCTATTAGTTATTATATTGTATTCTATTATTCATTATGATTTATGTTAACTGTTAATGCATTAATTGTAAAGTAATATTCTGTTACCAACTGTACTTGAGCCATCTTGGGCGTTTACCCTAAATAAATAAATTCATTTTTAGATGTTCAATTAAGCATACTGCATTAAAAATATAGTATGACTCGGGTGACTTCCTTTTTAGATATTTAAGCTAAGACAACCTATTTTTCAAAATAAAACAAAAATCAATTATCGCAGTCTAAAAATTACACTTAACTGGTAATTTTTATTGTGTTCAATTAAAGATGTTACTGCATTTGTTTGGCTTATAAGTTTTGCCAAAATAGGAAATACGAATATACATTTAATTAGACACTGCAGGTAAAAGCGGTGGGAAATATGTAATACTTAACTCTATCCAGTTTTAGGAAGGCGGCGTAACCTACTTATAAACATGAATAATAACAAACCTACAGTTTTTTCGTATAAAAATGTCACTATATTAAAAAAGTGAAAATACAAAAAAAAAACAAGTTCATCAATATTGCATTTTTTTATATATCTCATTAAATAAATAAATATATTAATAATACTGTTTTAGAAATGAAAATAAACAAAACTTATTTTTTCAGGACAAAAGGTACTTTCTGTGTTCAGTACAAAATTAGCCGAAAAACTTGTCCATTCGAGTAGTAAGTAGAAAAACCTTTTCCTTAGAAGACAACAAAATAATTTGGTAATGTTTAAATATTTTTAATATATGTTTATTGTTAACTGATTGTTACGTTACTTTTAAGTAGATTTAAGAATAAATTATTTATTTATAACTCGCTGTTAAAATGTTTTTTGGTATAACTTTATATTTCTACTACCACAAGAAGTCTCGTTTTTTTTTTTTGCTATAAAACTACAAAAATAACCAATTCAGTTGGAAAACTACAGTATAAGTGGGGATTATTTATAGAAAATGTTAAACTAATGTTTTCCCAGACACAAAAGAATTGAAAATTGTTTATTTAAAAAAAATTGTTAAACATTAAAATTATTTGATTCCAAAGTAGTTATAATCGCTTTACATGAACGTAATAACTAGAACAAGAACTGCTTTGAAACTATATTTAAAGTATTAACTATTTTTCGACAAAAAAATTGTTTTCCTCTGTCTGGATAAAGTTATAAATGTCATTATAAAACTACTACCTATAATTTTATTTGAGCTAAACAATTGGAAAATATATTTTTAAAAATTATATTTATTATCAGTTATCACGATATACATTATATTATTTTGTTTTCTACAATTATGTACCGGTCAAACACCGAATATGCGATAGGTATACAGGAATGTATCTTTGGAAAACTGTCAAAATGTCAAGTCAAATATATCCTTTAAATCTCACTTTTTCAAAATCGCCTTTCATTTTTTAAGTAGACGAGTTAAATTCTACTTAACCAAGCCTCGCGTGTGACATTTTCTCTTGAACCAAAAACCTGTCTTACACTGTTATACACATACTCTTGCTTTAATCCTATCCTAACGAAATTAATGTGTCATATAATCGTGTGTCGAATTTAGAAAATAATCTAATATATATTGTTATATTAATTATATACAATTACTGTATGTATAATTATTATAATAATAATTTGTAACATATTTTTTTTAAGCCTTGTCTAATGCACGTAACAGTAAAATATTTAAATGGTATTATATTATATTTATACATAGATTTTAAACGAATAAATGCTGAAACATAATTATAAAAATATATATGAAATATATTTTAGTTGGCGTTGTTGACCGTTTACTAATAATATAATTTAGCATAATATTATTCAAGATGTGTGTAATATGTACAGGTAATATAATTGATATACTTAGAAGTTACCTGATACACTTAGCGAACCCACTTTCATGATATCATGTGGTTACAGTGTCCCTGAATTGAATACAATCTGCATTTGTATAATTAACATTTTTATTGTGGGAATATCACTCATCTCCTTATGTCAAATAGTGCCGAATTTTTTTTTAAATTTTGTCTTTTACTAACAACCTTGCCTGTCCTCATTTTCATATATATATATATATATATATGCTTTCATTTATTGTGGTGAGCTAATATTACCAAAATATTCACAACCCAATAATGTGGTCTATCGATTTGGGGTTTTCTGACTTATTCGGCTATCAAATTGTGTGTACACGACATACATTTCACTTTAACAAATTTTTTTCCCACTGATCAAACGACAGACTTATTTTCTGTGTTTAACTTTTCAATAGTTTAACCCAGTGATCCTAAATTGTGTGGTATATTGCGATGTAAAATTTCGACTTATTTTTTGCTACTTAACTGATGTAAGTTTTAGGTTATTATGAGTAAATTTTGGTGGAAAACAAATATATAACAATTCTGTGCACAAATCGTGAAGAATATTTCATATTAAAATACTATTTTTTACATTAATAAAGCAAAATATAAAAAATCCGTTGTCAACATAAGTAGTCAACTACTAACATAACAAAAGGGGAAAGTTTTTACCACTCCTAGGGTAAGGGTTAAATAATGGTGTATTTATTTCAAATTGGTTTCACATCTATAATTTTCTGACTTGCTACATGAAAAAAAAACGGTTTAGTAGCTTACAAGATATTGCGAGAGTGCACAAAAAAAACACATCATTGTAAAAACGATACCTTCTAAGCTCCACATTGAAGCTACAGTAAATAATAGTAACATATAACTGTTTTAAACCACATATTGTACATGGCCTAGACAACAAAATAGTAATTTTGGAGTATAATTTTAAAAGTTCTTAATTTAATTTAAAAGGCAATGGTCCTCAGCTTTTACCATGATCTATACATCCACTCCCCTGCCCACCCCTATAATATTGTGTTGCGATTGCACATACAGACATGCTAGATTGGTGCCACTGGACTAGTAGTAGGTAATAAATTATACTATTATTATTGTAAACGGTGGAAAAGTACACGTGTAAACGCAATGGGAAAGTAACAACGTTCAAGTGCACGAAAGTCTATGGCCAAGACCTAGGTAGATAGTTAGATGATAGATAGGTACAGCCAAGAGCCCACTCAACTGAAACCCGAAGAACACTACCATCATGACGGTAGTATCATTTTACTCTTACAAACGGTTTGACATTCAGGCGCAGCGGACTAGCGGCGCGCTTTAAAAAAAAATATATATATATACCTGCATATATTTTTTTATTTATAAAAATATTTTTAAAAAATTGTTTACTTTTTAAGTATACTACTTCAATGTGCGCTTTATCGTGATCGGTTCGCGTCGATTTTATTTTCTTTGCATAATTTTTTCCCCAAACCTACTCGCAAAAGTGATGATGATTTTTTAAATAAACGAATATCAAAAAAAAAAGACACATGGATAAGGATACCGCACGAACAGGTATTATATATAATTATATATTTTTTTATTGGTCGTTTAAGACTAAAATATTATAATGTACAACGTTTGAATACCACTAATAACATAATTTATAACATAATTTTATTGTGTTTGTATTTGTTCAATAAAGGCAGTTAATTAATAATAATACGCTTCGATCATGACGTCCAACGATGACCTATTATTTAGTTTCGAAAATATCCTGATGTTAACGAAATGGCATCGAAAATAAGACTGACAGCGAAACAATTATTACCAGAAAATGAGATGCGTTTGTCGAGGATTAAACGTCTTAACGTTTTTCGTCTGCGTGATCGTCTTACCAGGTAACCGTTATAATATGTATTTTGATATTATACAGTATACATTTTAAATCGACATATAAAATTTTTTCTTTACAAATTCCATATTCAACAACAGTATAAAATATAAACAATATTAAACAATTTTGCTCTACCTTTGGACATAGAGTACCCCTAATAGTTTTTAAAATGTCAAAAAAGTAATTTCTAAAAAATAAAACAATACAAATATATTGTTTGTTTAAAATTAAATGTTATACAATTATTATTTTATAAATGTAACATAAAAACCTATTAATATTCTTAGAAATATTCGGTATTTTTCTAATTTCCATCTACCCTTATGAACTTTTTTTGTTTCAATATCACATTTAAATGTTTAAATTATTATCTCTTCCGGTCAACCTTATAATGAATACTTTTATGCATTAAAAAAAAAATGTTCATGAATTTGTTTGTCTGTATCGAAGTCTTGTCGTTTGTTGGCTTATATCAACTGATATACTTCATACCTTTCAATTTAATAATGGTATATCTATAGTAATTATTCATTGTGGTAAAAAAGTAACAACTAAATATTTAAGGTTTTTTTGAATTGTTAATCTGTATTATTAATTCTAATAATACTAAATAAGTCCATAGAAAGCTATAAAAAAAAATTATTAAAATATTTATGCTAACATTTCAATATGGAAGTACTGTTTTAGTGGATTTAAATAAAAGTTATTGTTAAGTTTAGTCGGTAGTAAATTTTATATTAACGCATGTTGCGCCATTTGTACAACAATTACAAAACACAGACACGACACTTAACAAACAATATGTATAATTTTTGATAAGTAAAAACTTCAAGCTTGACCAAATCTATAGATACTTATATGTATATATATCAGTACCTGATTAGCAATACCTGCCGGGACACGCCGATTTAAAAACAACAAGTACATAATTTTTCGAGCATGCGAATGTTTGTCCGTTACTAACCAAATGATACCGTTAAATCTTATTATCACGATGTGTTATCTCGTTGTTTACGGTATGTTTGAGATAAACCTTGACCCAAAACATTTGAAACCAAGGAGGAGAATTTACAATAGAAGTTGAGTTCTCATATTGAACTTTGCAGAAATTTTATTTTGGGGGATTTTTTTTCAAGCTTCATTCAATTAGAATTATAGTTTATGAACGGGTACACGATGATGATGGTATATTATCATTTAACATTAGCAGAAACGAATGTCTTTTAGTTTCTGCGCAGAGTATAGATAGTTGTTTTTAGTTTGGGTTTTTTATCGATATGTTTGTTGTTTTACTCGGAACGATACATTTCTGCGTGACTGAAAAGTTTGTTCAGTTCGTGCCTGTTATGAATAATGGAAGTATACTATGTTCATCCAAACCACTGTCGGTCAATTGTCCATTGTAGTATGTAAACACTATTATAAGTTATTAATATATTATCGTCTATTGTTTTCAATGTCACAACTCGCAACACTGTTACACAACTGTATCCTGACAACGAAAAAATTAGGATGTTCGCCAGTCGGAACTCGTATAGAGGACTATACTATAAGTATAGTACCATAATGTACTGCTAATTTGACGTGTGCATGTATTATAGAACTGGTAGGCACGCTAGTTAAATTACAATGGCAATTGAGTCACACCTAATCAACCGTACATGACAATTGACAGTATAATTCGTCCGTGAAAATCGGCTGGGAGGCTTTACCGTACAAAATCGTTACAGCATTTTGCAATTATTGAACGTAATACACGTTATGGGTAAATTATTACCTATGCAAGCGGACAGGACCTTCTTGGTCGTTATCATAATTGTTTATCGACCGCGTTATTTTTCAACTCTGGCAGCCGCTATTCAACAAAAACAGCAGCCGGGTTGCACACAAAAAAATTTGATAAATCCAATACATTTAAAAGGGACCGATTTATAAATCAGTCTTTAGAAGTCAGATGACAGAGGCACCCCGTCATAGTTTACCCAAGAACGTTCTTGTTGTATAGCTATGTGTGCTTGTTTGTATACTTTAAAATCAACGTTACTGTCAATGGTCGTGAAAGTGTATGTAATAAAAAACGCCGCGACTAATCGTGTACACCGGCGACCGATGATCTTTAGCGACCAAAAATTTGGATAATATTATAATAAGTGAGCTCACGGGTCAATCGCGTGTAAGTTTATTTGTGCGTCTGGTATGTGCATCTATCTCGAAAGAAACGTATCCAAAGGAAAGGAAAAAAAACACCATCGAACAATAATAATTATTTCCTCCTGGTGGATAGGTTATAGGACGCGGCGGTGGCGCGTTATTCCAAAGACCGGTTTGATTTCACTCGAGTCGTGCAAAAAAGAAACAAAACTGTTTAGGTATAACACACATAAACAGGCAGAGTAGGTAACCGAAGGGTACACTAGTTGTTTTCACTGAATGCCTCTGCACAATATAATGCCCGCGTGCGTATTTATAAGAAGATACTCGATTCCGGAAACGTTCACTTTTCATATAGTAGTCTTACGGTTTGCCCACGCGAAAAGCGGGTCATCCGGTTAGCTTCGTTCGACAAATATATGTAATTATTATACGCTATTAACTTGATAATCTTCGGATGTATCCATCGTGTTTTTATGAAAAGAAAATTCATAGGTTTCACAATAAGGAAAAAAATAAGATATCATAAGTAGTATCGGAAACTTATTATACACAAACTGGAAGATCATGAAAAAGAGATTATCCGACAAGACAATTGTAAGATTTTAAGAGGAGAGGCGGTAGTCGGTACTCCCAATACTAATCGCAGTGACTTAACACATGAAAAATTTGTTTGTTTAGTTTAGGAACTGAGTTGTTCCTATGAGTATATAATGTCTCCTAAAAAAAAAAAAACTGGAACCAAAAAATAATATTATAACCAAAACGAATTTTCCTTCTACATCACAACACTTGGCAAATTAATGTCGGTGTGGCGAAAAATTGTTGCGGAGAAATGTTGAAATTTGTGTTGACATATTTAATACTCATCGGACAAGTGTGATAAGTGGGTTTTTTTATAATTCTACAAAAGTTCTATATCCAAAGGTAGCATCAGGTTTTTTTTAATTTAAAAAAAATGCGTTTCTAGTACCTAGTTTCTAAGTGACTAAGTGCGAAAAGCTGAAAAACCATCTATTACAGCGTAAAAAATACACATTTTTAAGAAAAAATGCCTGGAAAAACCGCTCGAGATGTAAACTAGATAAAAAAATAAAGATTAACGGATATGAATAGAAATAACAATATGCATACAAGTACATACATACTTTAAAAACAATAATATCGTTTGGTAACGTCTTAGCCTATACGTTATACTCGTTTGAAAACAAAAGTGAAATGTACTTGTAAAATAAATATTTGCCAAACCAATGATCCGGCTCCTGTTTGTGGTACGAAACAGGTGTGCGGTTTAGACGGATAATCATCTATATATAATAACTTGTATCGTGTATACTAACACAGATATATAAAAAAAACACTTTAATGGGCCGTTGGCAATTTAATAGCCAGACAGGCGATGTTCTGTAGGTCACCACGAGGAGTTTTTTTTTTTATACATACTTTCGTTTGCCTAACGACCGGTCACCGATGATCTTGATCTTGACTGTTGACTTAGTGTGAAGTCAAGACCACATAAATTGTAGAACACAATGATATTATAATCCTACGCCAAAATCCATTGTCAAAAATCGGAATGTTATCGAGTGGATTTATCAATAGCAACAACGGGTTGATAAATTTATCAACAGGCGTGTGTACATATTTGTTCACTTGTTGCGCACTAATTCACTTGATAATAACATCTTGGTTTTCGCGTCTAATGAGATAGGTATCTCGGCCCTACTTAGTCTGAGTTTCGTGCGTGATACTTAAAATACAAAAAAAAAAAATAAATACAGTTTTCATATTAATGTTTATTATTAATGTAATTGGAGAGCATAAGCGTTTGTAATTAGTCTGTGTGTAGTTACATGGTTTACATATAAATAGAGCATAATATTATCAGTTTTTACTATTGTAATTAGTATACATACAATGTGTTTTCGATTTAAATCACAATAATTCGGTTTTGTCGGTCTCCGTAAATTAATTATTTTTTTTAAACAATTATTTAATGTTTAATCGAAATTCTACATAACAAAAATATAATTTGTTCAGTGTTATTAAAACTAAATTGTTTTACTATTATAATAATATTATTTTAATAAAAACAAATTGGTACTTTGTAGTAAAAAAATGGTTTGTTACTAAGAAGAAGAACACTGTTCCTATAAATGTTTACTTAGTGAAATTAAATTTTGGATGGAAGTTTATTCTGTTCACAGCAACTTATCAGCAATTCTATTCTACTGACTAAATAGATGGTTTGTTAACTTTTTGGCGCTCAGTGTTCTTAGTACAAAAGTACTGTATAAGTAAAGTGTAGAAAGTTTGTATGTTATTGATTCTAAGTTTTTTTAAATTTAGATGGAATGATAGATGTAGTTTATTACTGTCTTTATCTAATATGTGTTCTAGACCGCTCCTTCTTCTACTACATTTAATTGAAACTGACAGTTTAAATAATAAAACCGGTCTATAATAATTTTCGACTAGTCGTTATTTTTAATAACAAGTATTTATAGTAATTAAATAATTTACTATATGGTGATTCGTTCATTAACACCTTTTAGAGTGTTGGTATTTTTAAACCCAAAGTCCACACCATTATAATCAGTTGGGGAGATCTGAAATTCGTATACAAATTATCTGAACATCGATATCACTTTGTGCTACATAGATAGCCTTCAAGTTCAAAAATTATACAAATTACTCTTACCCTGTGTTCAGTTCCGATTTGCGGTTACTCTGTATAAGGTTTGCTCGACTTTTTGTAAGATTATAAACTATTACTTTGTTTTTGTTTACAGCCTCTTTGGGATTGTTACAAAACGCGTTTGACGTTAACTACTGGAGATGCGTAATGAAACGCACGGACCAATGTCCAGACATGGACATTAAAATATTTTTATACAGCAGGTAAATAATTAATGTATTATAATATATTAAAATTATTTAATTTTGTATTGACGTATTTGTCAATTTTTGTTATAATTTGTCATAAGTAAAAAGTATCGAAGTTTTTATAGTGTTGATAATAGGATTGTACAAGATGATATAATATACCTCACACTGTGCTACCCATTTAAAATGTTTGGTGGACAATGATATAAGCGAATCGTTTAATTATAAAACTCAGAAAAACTAAAAAATCAAAATCAAATAACACATTATAATCACATTTATTGTCTACAAAATAGTTTATATTTTTATTAAATAGTTTTTACCCTATTTTCAAGTTTTACTTCCAAGCGTTTATTTAAAGGTGATTTTATGGATTTCAGTTGTGATTCTTTAAGTACACATGCCTCGACCTCAATATTTCTTTGGAGTTCTGCAAGTAATTCGTACTTAATTTAAAAGCTAAAATATTCAAGGAATATTTTTGAAACTTTTGCGTTATTAGTATTTAATTGCCATTTACATATTATAATGTAAACATGTTGTTATTGTGTGTGTATATGTGACATTACTCTCAATATTAACACATTTTATACAATGATATCCTCTGTTTATAATTTCAAAATAAAAAATATCTTAATCTTCATCGTCTATCCGACAATGCGTGGAAGCGTGACCGGTAATTACGTATTATTCTTTAACAAAGCACTTTCGGCTGTTTGTGTTGGCTTAAATTGATATAAAAATATTTTTTGCACAATAACGCAAGTTTTGTGCACGTGCCCATAATAATATATATTTACGTTTATTGTCTATTAGATCAATGTGTCGCTCTACTACAGGCTATACTACAAGGTACCTAGTAGTAGACTACACCTGTAGCTATACCTTGTAGGTAGGTGGTAGGTAAATAGGAGGTAAAAAAACGCACTTGGGTCAGTATCATTATTATTATTATTTTATTTCATATGTGCAATCAATATCCTACTAAAAATTGGTGTTCATTGTAAAAAAAAGTGAAACAAATCATTATCCTCGATCCAGACGATGAAAATTATATTTTATTTATTTTATATACTAAATTATTATTATTATATATATATATATATATACAACAAATCTGGAGAGCCGCTAGATTGTTGTAACAAATACTACAACAATATAATACACCGTTTCTATTTCAAAAAAAAAAGTGCCTATGATATTATTATCACTGTATAAAATGTTATTATTACGATTACACGAATATATAAAAGTATATTTACACTCGCGACAAAAGAAAAATACATACTATAAATATATATGATATGTATGAATAAAAGAACATCGATCGCGCAGTGAAAATATATAATAAAAATACAATAGTATGTGTTATGTAATTGAGGTTTATTTGTCAGCTTCGAATTAACATTCTTGACAAATCTAATATATATTAAACAGAAATAAACGTAAGGCGCCCCTCCTATCCGATCGACACTAAACACTTATAGTAATAATTTAACATTAAAACTAGGGAAGCGTTTGAATGTATCGGTTTTTATGATGCTATTTGCTATTTAGTGTTTAACGGAATTTCAATATTGAAATGTGTATTATTATTATTTGTTTTCTAGCGAAGCCAAAAGGAAAAAACTGATCGACGTTAGAAACAAAAATGCACTTAGATACAGCGGTTGGGACCCTGGCAAAAGGAATGTCATTATTATACATGGTTTCAATGGAACTGAGAGCAAAACGCCGATGACGATCATTAGAGATGGTTAGTGCGAAATAACACTTTAATGTATAATAGGAAATTGGAGGATATATACTTTGAAAAAATTGGTTCCTTGAGAAAAATTAATATTCATCCTATCCTTGAATTTCATTGTTGAAATCCATGTAAAATTACATTAGATACACAATTTTTTTTTGAAAATAAATAAAATCCCTAAAAAAAAACCATTTTTTTTAATTAAATTTTTTTTTTAAGTACGGTTATTTTAAATAAAATTATATAGTTAAGTAATAAAGGTAATATTCATCACAAAAATGACACACTTTTCGAAATTAAATTTAAAAATAAAAATTAGGTGTAATTTTGAGTTTATCAATAGAAGGAGGGGATAGGAAACTAAATATTTTTCATTTTTCATAAAAAGGCCTGTTTTTACCATTATTTTATTTAATTTTATTTACCGAGCGATGCGCGTATGCAACTGTATAGCTGAATAATATTGTAAGTTGTTGTCCATCCCTAAACTCTGGAACACCCTGTACATCTAGATGGTTTATTGTCGAGTATAAAAATTTGAGTCCGAGAAATAGGAGACAGAAAATATGTGACATGCACTTCCGTTTCGCCAAGGAGGGGATTTCATACCAAAAACATTTTCCATGATAAAAAAAAATATATATTAACTGTTATACTTAGACTAGATTTGGAAAAACGTAATAACCGAGTCGACCTTAATTACTTATCCAGTTATGTTTTTAGTTAGCTGTATTTTAACTATGTGTATAAATTCCTATGTACTTCTCCGACCTCCGGCATATTAAAATTTATACTGAGACTGCAATTGGGAATGAGAGCATCTCTAACGATCCGTAATGTCATCATTATACTGCTTAGTGTCTAATAGACATATTATTTGTCTATGCCACGTGTACGAGGTCTGAACCTTTGTGGTTCCGACCAAAATATTGTTGACATGAATTTCAACAATTTTTAAGTTTGAAAACTTAAAAATTTAGAAAAAAGCGTTACACGAGGGAAAAACAAAATAATTTGTTAGTTTAAGAAATCCCAAATACACGTTTAGTCGTGACCTCCTGCCGCATCGTTATCTAGTTCATTCGTATATATTACTTGTGTGTATATAAAGTCCGCGAGATATAGAGGTAGGATATAATGATATTATGTTAACCACGTTGAACGTGACAAGCGGAGGCCTTCCTTTGGTCTTTTGTCTGGACCCATTTGCATACATACAAGTCCTAGTAGTAGTAGAGTACAATAATTATTAGTGATTATAATAATAAAATCTATTAACTATACATGACAAGCTGTGCATGTCAATTATTCCTATTAACCAAAACCGCTTCGGAGGGCACCTGATGTTAGACGTTTCCAAAAAATTAGGAGTTGACTTGAACACACAAGTTTTTAGAAAGAGGTATTATTTTTATAATACCTCTTTGTGTTTTTTTATTATTATTTTGTTTTTTTTGTTTTTGGACCCACGGTTAGTTTTAAATCGCTGAACTGATTTCATCGTTTAGAAACTCTATATAGATTACAAATCTGTACCTGAAAGTTCACTCATTCCCCTCCGTACCAATATGCTCCATTTCCACTATGCCCCGCGACATCATTGTACTGGCTTTTCCAAATTCCAAATAAGTCCGTGAATTTATAAACAGCTATCCTATTGTCGTGTAAGTAGTAGAAACTGTCTTTGTCTTATTATGATGATGATTTGTCGCGTAAACAATATTTTTTTTTTTCCAGCGTACCTTCGCCGAAAAGATTACAACGTCTTCCTCGTCGACTGGGAACCGCTAACTTTCTTCCCTTGTTACCTGTCTTCTTTGAGCAACACACGTTTGGTGGCACAGTGCACGGCTCAGTTCTATGCTCATCTTACTTTTTCCGGAGCGTCTGCTCTCGACATCCAATGCGTGGGCCACAGCCTGGGAGCTCACATATGCGGTATGATGAGCAACTATCTGACACACCGGCAACACAAAATAATAGGTATGCGTTAATTTGTTTATTATTATTATACCATTAAGTTACCGGGAAATCCTAAAAATACCAAACATACTTCAATTAATAAATTGGATGTTCTATTAGAGTTCCCAGAGGTTGTTGAATTTTAGTTAAGGCTTTTTTTAACGTGACGATGATGATGAATGTGTTAGAAAGTTAAATACAAAATTTATTGTTGGTTATTTCTATGAAAAAAATTAATATACCCGCATTTGTTCCATTATTGTATAGTTATCAAGTAAAGGCAAAAAAAAATACCTAGGATTTTAAATTTATAACTGTTGCTTTATAATACATATAGTAGGTATATATTGTATTGTTATTAGTTAATGGAATTTCTATGTACTTTTTTAGGAATATCTGATACATTTTAGATGTTTTTCCTTTCTGTTATAATTATTAATTATTTAAAAAGTTTCCAAAATTATATTAAATCTATAAAAAGCTTGGTAAAAAAATTGACTAATAATAACAATATGACCCTAGGTAGTTTTAACTTTTAAATACTGTGGACATTTTCCCACTATTTAATATATTATTAAACGTTATAACTTATACAACTTTATAATACAATAGTGTACAACTATAATTATGTGTTACTTTTTAAAAGAATACTTACGGACACAACTCAAATAAACAATATATTTGTACCAAACCACTGCATACCTTTGGTAATCAAAGATTGTTTTAAATAAAAACATTTTTTTTTTTAAATGAAATAGTACTTGATTTACAAAGCATAACATGGTTAAAACCTTGAATATTTGAGTGTCCATTGCTTAGCTGAGAGTATTGTTAGTTGAGGGGTCACTGTTCTACATTGTTTAAACTTTAGTCTTTGTATAATATACATAACTTATTACCAAAAATATTCAATGGACATTCTTGGATGTACTTGCACATTATTTGCATAATACAAAAAAAAAAATAGTTTAACGATAGAAAATGATAATACTCCATACTCCATACTGACTACATAAGAACCATGTTCGTCATTAATAAAGTCCAAACGGTTTTCTACTTCAAATTTTATAAAACAATTGTGTATATTAGTAGACATGAATAATAATGATTACTCAACAAATATAATATGTATGTTTTGATTTGGCAGCTTGGCAGTTTACACATGCGATTTAACGAGAATGTATTAGCTTTTAAATGCACTCTGCTTCTCTCCGAATCACTCATTGATTCGAAACAATTTGTATCCGTCATCAATAATGTCTACTTACTAAGAAAACGACGCCAGCTGTCGACTTGAAAGTATTGATCTCTATAGAAAGTGAAAATTGTTGTGTATATTTTTGTGGCTTCGGTCAAACGGTCCAATCTCTTTTCGCCAAAATCATAGTCTACACATCAAGCGTTAGAGATACCGCACCTAATATGAACCATTTAAGTGAAGTACTTACAGTGGCTCTATATACTTAACGTTAAAAAAAGAAAAACATGTAATTCGCCTAAAGACCTGAACTCATTCTCGCAGAAAGTGCTCATGAGCAATTCGCAATGATGAATGAATATTTTGGGAATGTTATTTATGTTGTTTAAATAAGTTTTCTAGGAATTAAAAAAAAAAATTAATTTACATTGAACACATCGAACATAAATAAAGTAGTGTATTTAAATCGTCTATCAAATACAATAGATTTTTTTATGATCATAATTTGTTATGATGTTGATATTCGCATATAATTTCCCGTCCAATATATTTAGTTTCTAAATCCATTTTGCCAATTTAAATTGCAAATATTATGATGTCCTATTATTGTATCTCATGGGCCGTGTTCACATATCATCAATTTTTTATTCACAAGCCATTCGTTGTATTGTGCTTGCTATAATTTTCTAACGGGAAACTTTCAATTACAATTTACCTACTAACTTATTGACAAATCACAATAATAACAGTGTGACGTCCCTCTAAGGTCACACGACCCGTACCATATTTTATTGACGGCCGTGACTTTCTTTTTATTTTATTACATTAATTTGGTAAAATGGCATTTTCGTTTATTCGGCAATTACTTCTCACGGGCCAAACAGCGAACATAAAAATATTATTATTATAATTTTTAGCAATAACAAAGCATTACAAAATTGTACCGTATTGTAAAATCAATTGTAGTGGACACAAATGTCTATCAGAGAGTTTTAGATAAAGATCAGAGAGTACCTACAACATTGGTATGTTTTTTTTCGTTGTAACTATTCTCCGATTTCGCCTGTGGGTCCTACGGGCTAGATTAAAATATATATTGGATATCTATTAATATATGTACATGAATGTAAGGCGTGTATATTACAGACGATTTAGGATAGGTATAAAATATTATCTCCGCTGCGAAATTCCGCATTATTCGAGAATAAAGATTTCACCTCTCGGCCCAGGCTCCTGTTAATTTACGGAAAAACCTGTTCTGTGCATACAGGTCATATGATATCGTGAATTAATAACACTGTGTTCCCATTATATCTGTGTCGGTGTGGTCTTCTGCACGATTTTTTAAGCCATCGCCGAAAAATGATCATCGTATTGTCCCAACGTGGACCGCATGAGAGATATTATAGTAAATTATTTTTGAAATAAATATATGTATTATTATCGTCTAATATAGAAATTGATAATTTTTTAATAGAAATCTGTCTACGGATTTACGGTGGTTTTTTTGAGGGGGTCCCACGATTACTCGATATTGGCTACATCCGGCATACCGCATAGTGTTGAATTTGCTGTATATAACTATAAACTACACTAGGAAATAAGTAGTAACACTAATTGATACTGTTGGTAGTTTTAAACCGCACGCGCATTTCTCAATTCTAAACAGTATAATTTTATTATGTGGAAAGGGTGGGTGGTATTTACACATTGACACATATTATGTGTAAATCACCCCATAAAATATAATAAACTAAACCCTCCTCCATGTGCCACATAAATTAAGTAACTACGCTCTTCTTTATTATTCTCAAAAATATTGTATAGTATTATACACAGGCCGTTTGCTTTAAATATTTAAAAAAAAACACTTGTTATAATACTAATCGTGTATTTTGCTCGGAATCGCTATTGCCTATTAGAAAGTCCATTCGTAGAAATTGGAAACTTTATAAAAAAAAAAAACATATATTATTCTTATAACTCAGAAGACACATTATTGACATTTTTTATCCGACGGAATTCGTTACTAAACTTTCATATTTTCTTTTCACCGGTTAATCTCTAAGTTTTGGAAGTTTACAATTTAATCAAGTACAATATATACTATATTATGACAGACTGAAAAATTCTGGACCAACCTGTATCTATACAGGTTACAACTACATTTTTAAACATATTATATAAAAAAAAAATATGAATAAAATAAAATAGAAAGACAAACTAAAAATGACAATAGCTACGACTACAGTAATCTAGGACTTATTATTAGGTATTTAACATATTGTTCATGAAAATGTATGTATGTTTATTTTATGAAAACAAGATTTACCTACACTTTTTATAATTTAATTATTTAAATATCGATTACATTTTCTATTTTTTTGTAAAAAAAACCGTTTGAATTAAATTTAAAAAAAAAATTGATTTGATACCCGTGATAAAAATAATGCAAAGGAATACATTTTGTATAAGGTATAAAAGCTAAGTGTCCCTTGAGTCAGTCTATTATTAGCTTTGGGCCCTTTTTTTTTGTATATTTTCCAAGTAACAAAAATTTAGCCTATCCGCCTGTGGTTAGATACCATAAAATAATTGCAACTGTTTAGTGATTCTTTTTGAAAACATTTTCGTCAATGATAATTAACAGTATTAGTAAATCACTAAATACTTACCTTTTCTAATGTTTTTCAGAGCTCTATCGACTTTCCAAACATAAATGGTAACGCGTATATTTTATTAGCTTCTTAAACTAAAAGTAATTTGCCGAAAACCAGTTATGGATAATTACTTTTTGAGTTATTTAAATTTTAAATTTAGGTCGGGAATAATGGTGGAGTGTAGTATTATTTTTAACTGCGCACTCTACCGCACTCCCCTTGCCGTCGTCGAATTTTAAAGTTTAATAACTCTAAAAGTAATCATTCAAAACACATATAAACCAGTAAAAATTGTCAGCAAATTAATCTTAATTTTAAAAGTAATTAAATACATTACGCACGTTACCGTTTAAGTTTTTTAAAAGCTAGTAGATCTCTGGAAGAAAATAAAAACAGTTGAATATTGTCTAATATTGTAAAACAATATAGGTAAACTAAAGTGTCTCCAAATAGGAACAGTACATACATAAATGCAATCATTTTAAGCGGGCGTCGCACCGGTGATTTTCAGTGTTAAAAACATGTTTAAGCAGACTGAAAATAACTCGCTTAATTTTTGATTTAGAGTAAAAGCACCCATTATAAAATTAAAAGAGAACAGTCATTTAAAAATGTTAAAATAGTCGTTATTTCTAAACTGTGTATTGAGCGTTATACTTGGAATAACGAAAAAAACGCACCGTCTTGCTCTCCGAAATATTGTTCTCTTTTAATTCAGAGATGAATAAACATCTTTAAATCGCTTTCAAGGATGCTGCGGCCTGTGATAGTCCAAAAAATAAATTAACCACCAAAATAGAGTCCGAGTTATTGAACTTACATCATTACACGTCACAGTTTAACCTTTAAATTAAGATTTTGTAAAAAAAACCGCCTGTACTTTACCACTTAAAAATGGGCGGTGCGACGCCCTCTTAAGACAAATCTAGTGTCTTGTCCTTAATGAATCACTGTGAACAGTTACCTCTGTGCACGAGACCCTTTGAGTGAATTGATTGTGTTTCCTTCGCAGGTCTGGATCCGGCAAGACCGCTGGTGGACAGGTACGGTTCGCGCGAGTTCCGGTTGACCAGGGACGACGCCAACTTGGTCCAGGTGATTCACACAAACGCCGGATTCCTAGGAGAAGTGCCGCAGGTGGGGCACGTGGACTTCTGCGTCAACGGCGGCCGTCTTCAGCCGAGCTGCGCCAAAGAGCCCAGAAACCTCCGTAATAAATATTGCTCGTCCATTAAACGAAACGACGAACTAGCAGAGCTAAGATGTAGGGTCACCATTTAATCACGATCGATTTTTTAAGTATAAAACAAGAGAGTAGTAGTTTTTTTTTCTTCGATTTTTTTTTTTGTTTTTTTGTTCGGTAAATTGCGCACATAGACGGCTATTTAATAACGACGATTAATAATATAACAATAATGTGTTAATTGTTTTGCAGAACGTATTAGTGCCGTGCCGTGGTCGATTATACACACTCTATATTATTATTATTATTATTATTGGTACACTCGCACACTATATTGTAATAATAATAATATTTAATACGATGTATAATGTAATTGCTTGTAAAACAAACCGCTGTCGGATTGAAACGCTTTTCATATATGTTGTGTAATGTATAGCAATTTATCGAGTAGTAGATAGTGTGTATATACATAAGTTTACATATTATATATCTAGATAATAATATGTTTAGAACGCAGCAATTTACAAGGAGAGCGGGCTGTCGATATCGCGTCTACGAATAGTAAAAGTATTTATTAAAAAAAACATGGCAAATATATATATATATATGTATACTATAGCACGATTTCAATTTATAAAAAATTACACGACAAAAAAAATAGTTTTTTGCAAAAGCTCTGTTGAGCTATTAAATAGATTTGCCTAGATATTTTGTTTACAACAATTGTTGGACAGTAAATATTACAGAAAGTAGAAAGTATATATATTTTTTTTAAATGGTGGCTTTTACAGTATTTTAGTCGAGCTTGTTGAAAATATAATAAGCTACAAAGTTGTGCTTAGTAATAATAATAAAAAAATGTTTACAGTGTCGGTGCTAATTAACTAATATATTTTTTCTCATCCCAATATACTAGGTAAGGCTCGGTGCAGCCATTTTTTGAGCGCATGTTTTTTTGCCGCTTCGGTTTCGGAAAATGGTAAACGTCACCGAGGCGTACCCTGTACCAGAACATGCAAGCCTTTTCCCAAAGGAGTAATTAAGAATTCGCTCGTACCCATGGGATTCCATACCCCAGAAAAGTACAGTACACCGTCGTTTTTTTATAGCCATTTAATTATTATCCAATGTACATATTATTATAATACAATGGGTTTACCTATGTTTTTTTTAGCGCCCGAGGAACGTTCTGCATTGAAATGCACAACACCAAATCGTGTCCATTTGATTGATTATAAGTTTTTGAGGCATTAATTATATAAATATTATGTTATAATAAATATTAGTTTAATTTGGATTGTTTTAAAATGTGATACTTCAATAAAAATATAAAAACTTGTGATTCGATTGTTTGATATATACACACCAAGACCCTTTTCAATATAAAAATAACGATGGGTAATAAATAAAATGGATTAACACACGATACCCTGGTATTAAATCACCGTATCACAGTATAGGACCCTGGTCAAAAGTTGCTCTATACAAACAAATTACAAACATATTTTTGCAACGCTCGATAAAAATAAATAGTATATGTTTGTCGCATTTTTTTAAAAATCACAATGATAACCGGGTTTTCTTGCCTTAACAATTAATTATTATATTTTAGGCAAATAACCGCAGAATGTTAAAACAAAATTTAATGTGATCAAATAATGGATGGAATGTTGCAAATAAAATATAAACCGAACAAATACACACATACACACGCACACACACAAGATATAAAAACCAAATCAAATCATTTAATAATGATTTTTAAGTATTCAAATAAGTAGGTATATAAATACAAGAGTATCAAAATTAAATTTATATGGTAACCTTATTATATGTATAGATATTTAATTACATACAGAACATAAAATATTTTTTAGAGTCGACGTATCTGATAAAATATCGCGACGTAGGTGTATTTCTTGAAATTAGTTTGTAACACTAATCATGAGTCCCAAAATATATGTTTTTTACATTTAAATATCATTTTTCATTGGGAATTTTAAAATACACCGACTCTTGATAAAAATTTACGTAATGTGCGAGTATAAATTAACGGCAAACAGACAAAATCTTATATACTATTGATTTCAAAGTCGTATACAGTTACAAATTATAATTTCAAAGTACATAATTATAATAATGATATTATTATGTTAGTATTTTAAATAACAATGATAACATTTAACTGATCTTCAATATGATAGTGATATATTTTTGAACATCAAATTAAAAAGGAAGGTTACACATATAATATTTAGCATTAATATTTATTACAAGCCTGCCAAATGTAAATTTTATAACAAAATATAATTTATTTTATTTTGATAATGATTGTGGTTTGTTTATGGTTATAGGATTTAGTTTAGTTTATTATACAACTTATAAAGGATTTAAAAAATAATAAAATATGTTACGTAGATATAGCAATTTAATAACTTACAAGAAACCTTCTCCACTACCAGAGGTTAAAAACTCAATAGACAATAAAAAGCTTTTGAAATAAAATAAATAAAACATAAAAATTAACACAAACACAAAACTAGTCTTCTTTCTGGAAGACAATTCACACATGTAAATATATATATATATATTTAAATTCATTAATTGAACATTTAAAATCACTGATTAATGTGAATATTATTAATTTAATAAAGCATTTAATTAATTTAATAGGTTTGTCTACAATAATTAATATAATATAAAAATAAATAATCAAAACACTCTAAAAAAAAAAAACACCCAAGACAAATTTAACCAAAGCGAAAAAAGCTACAGACTAATTATGAACTTTAGTATTGAGTTTGTTATACCTATGCTGTTATTCGCGATTCAATATAACATTTAAATTAGAGTTAATATACAATACTCAATTTATAATAAAGGTTTATGAAGAACAAACATTTTTTTTTTTTTTATTGTTTATTAAGTATAGTTAGGAAAATTATGAAATTTACAGTCAGTACGAAAATATGAGAACAATTAAATTTATTTTTATTAAAATCATTTTAGTACCTATGTAATTTGTACACATTTAAAAAGAATATTCTTAAATTAATGTAATACTGTAAAAAAGTACACAAAGAACGATTTGTTTTGTTTGTAGAAAGTTTTTGTTATTTTAACAGCGGACACAAAAAAATAAAACTTATGTTAAAATAAAATAAAATATTTTTTTACAAAAGCGCATCACATAAAATCGTTATACAGTTTTTCATATACTTCAATAATAAGGTGCACAAAAAAATATTAATTTTAATTTTCTTAAAAGTTTTAAAGTAGTTATAATAATAATATTATTAATATTATCATTATTTATTTATTAATAGTATTATTTATTAACAAGAATCAACTAAGCTAAACATAAAAGAAAAAAATGTAACCAAAATTAAAGAAATATTTTTACAAAAAAAGCGAATAATAAAAGAAACAAACAAAAATACTGAAGACTGATAAAATAAAATAAAGACTAGCTCATAAATGAATGTATCAATATAAAGTTATCAATTATACCTAATGAAGTGTACAAATATCAACAACAATGGACCATAAATATAGATTTGTTACAATATATATACACACACACTTGCGTGTTTAGTATAAAAATCTAATTAATAGTTAAAGCTTTTAACTGTGCCAATTTGATTTTAACATCCTTAAAATTTGGTCTTCTTTCTGGTAATAAATCCCAAGCCTAAATGTGTAAAAAAAAAAAAACCGCAGATACCGATTATAGATTGCTATTAGAGGACTCAAATATTTTGTATTACTTACCTGTCTCATAATTTCATATATTTCCGGTGGACAACATTCGGGGGCTTCCATCCGATAACCTTTCTCAACGTGCTTTACTACGTCTACTAATGGCTAAAATGTTAATTGAAACATCATTTATATTAGTGATCAAAACTAAAGAGGAAGGAGGGAACTTACTATTCTCGAATAGGGGACTCGACCGAATGAATAAATTTCCCATAACAGCACACCAAAACTCCACATGTCAGACTTGTTAGAAAACATCTGAAATAATAATAATAAAAACAAATTTTTATAAATTGATAAAAAACATTGGTGTTCATCATTAATAATAGTACCTTATGCTGATTACGAATCTGCAAAAAATTTGCAATGCTCACACTCAGGTTGTAAGTTAATGATACTTAAAACAATATTTTTTCTTAAAATAATTGCAACTTTTGTAGTTTTTCTTTTTGAAAACCATTTTGTTGTTTATGTTATTTTACAATATTAGAAAATTACTAAATATTTACTTTTTATATTATTTTCCAGAGCTCTAACCAATTTAATGATAACTTATATAATACATATATTTAATTAAGAATAACTTACAGAAAATTTTGACTGATCGGTAACCAGTTTTTATTATTACTTATAAAGTTTAAAATTTAGAATAGTAGAAAGGGTGTGGAGTTGAGTATTATTTTTTTTTTTATCTGAGCGCATTACTCTAGTGCACTCCTGAATCGCATTGCTATAACTTCCAAATTTAGTGCGACGGACACAAAACTTTTACAGATTCCTAATCAGCATGAAAAGTACTATACAACATTTATAAAAAGGTGTCAAGTAAAGAACATTTGTTCCAAAATATTTTCTTTAAAAATATTGATATTAATCTCAATTGTTATACCCCTTGTCTGAGTGCTTCAGGCGCTGTCCATTTTATGGGCAATTTTCCAGCATCAACAGTGTAGTTTTCTTCTCGTGCCAAACCGAAATCTGCTACTTTAGCCACTCCCGTTTCTGATATAAGTACGTTTCGAGCAGCTAAATCTCTGTGCACGACCTTTCTGAATTCTAAATATTCCATACCACTGCAAGTATCGCTGAAAATGTTTTAGAATTGATTTGTTTTATTTATATTTTCAAAAATACTTAACAAAATATAACCACTGAATAAAGACTATTATTAATGAAAAACTGGCCAGTTATATTCATTAGAAAGTGAAGATGACTGGTGACGTGAGCTGGAGTGCGGTAGAGTAAACCGCGTAGTTATATTTATTTGCACGCGTTACCTACTGCACTCCACCTCCTGCCACCAGTCATCTTCACTTTTAAATGAATATAACTTTTGAACGGATATATAAAAATACAAATTTTTTTCACCAATTCTTTTTTAAAAACTATTTTGAATAAAATGGCTATCTTGGAAAAAAATAATTTAAAAAGGAAAATTAGGTAAGTGCAATAAAAATCATGGTGCTTATAGCACAAGTAAGTATAAGTTATTTTAAAAAAACAAATCTCAAAAATATTCATTAGAACAAAAGTTATTTCATTTGTCAAATCATGGTGGGCCACCGGTGCTAGTTTTCGCTAGAATTTGAACGGTGCTACTTTTGTACGGGGCGTCGATATTATGTTGATAAAATTGTTTGTAGATATATTGTAATACTCACACAGCAAAATTGATTTGATCTTTTTTGGTCACATGAAGACGGCCTCTCGATCGCAAATATTCAACGAGGCTTCCTTTTCCCATGTATTCCGTTACCAACAACAAGTGTTTCTCATTTAAAACAAGCCCGAGTAATTCGACTAAATTTTCATGTCTCAACGACCTAATGAATACAATTAAAATGTAAATAAAATTTATAAATGTACATGAAAAATGTATTGTCATCATATATATATAGCATTGTAAATTACGTCATGAGCAAAGCTTCTGTTAAGAACTTTTGGGCTTCCACGCTAGAATCTTTTAACATTTTAACGGCTACCTTTTCGCCCTGATACACTCCTAATAAGACATCGCCGAATTCTCCCTTACCAATCGTTTCATTCAACTAAAAGATGACCAGAAAAAAAAATTAGTCATTTTGATAGAAAATTATTTTTACTTTTCGATTATTACTTGTAATTCATGCTCTTGTATAACCCATCCAGCATCGATAAAAGATTTAGTGTCGATGCAAAAATCTTGTTTGCCTTTTTTAGGAAGACTCTTGGTTAATTGCGTACACAAACCATCGGCGTCGTTTTGATAATGCTAAAATAAAAACAATGGCATTAATTATATGATTATTATTTGACACATTTCAAGCAGTAATTCACACACTTCTACAAGTTTTGATAAGTTTTCGAAAAATTCTTCATCGTCAATTGTTAATTGATTGTCTTTGTATTTTACCCGATAGTGTTCTACTTTACCCTGGAAACACACGCAAAGAGTGTAATCTCCTGGATAATTAGTAGACTCCCGGACTAAAAACAATCCGTTCTCTTTAGGAGTCAACAAATCTTCTGCCATTTCTCTGGATATTTTACCGTGAAACCATCTAAACATGATTTTAAAAAAATTAAATTTTACATTAGTAGTATTTGATGTAGCTATTAATAAAAATCTTAATAAAATGCACCTTAGCTTTAAATTTTTTTAAAAATTTTTCGTTTAGGTATGAGAACAACAAGCCGAATTCCTAAACGTGCCAGTGGTCACATATACATGTATGTATAGAAACAGTTTTCTATTACAAAATTTATCGATATAGTATTACGTTACAAAAGGTTAAAGAGAACACATTTTTTACTGTCAAATCTATATTGAAAAAGTATTCAATGTATGCCTTTATTAAATTCACTTGAAATTGATTTTTCAAATATGAAGATTGTAGTTTTGTGACTACTTACACTACCAAAATACGGTTTATGGAAAAATAGTGGCTGTTAAAAGAAGAAAAATATGATGAGAAGATGTCTTAGTGGAGTTAATGTGCATTTCAGTTTTTTTTGTTACTTATATTATTAAATATAATCAGAATGAAAACAATCATATTTCAAATTGGAGGTTTAAATAAAAAACTAAAATTAACAACTTACGGCATAGTATTCAATTTGACTTGAGCTTTGCGCTGTAACGAATTCATATTAGTGTCATCTTTTGCATGGTGCACTAAGGGTGAAAAGGTTCCAATATTGGTAACTGGTGATATCGGCGATGTCCGATCGCAAAATGGATTCATTGCTATTTTTTGTGAGCTTGTTCCAAACTGTGACAAAAATAAAAAAATATCACCATTTTCATATTGTCATGTTATAAATTAAAATAATAATTAACTTAATTAATAGGTAAATTTCTTACATGAGCTCTTCCTGTATTCTGATAACCGTGATCCATTTCTCCAATATTCATCTAATATTTCACCAACGACCATTTGATCTCCTCTATCTTTGACAAACCATTGAATAAAAAACAAATGATCGATCTGTAAATACTAGCGATAACAAAAAACAATTATCGTAACAACAAAATTACAGTATCTATTATTGTAAAGATAGGAGTGGTCTACTAACAACTACTTAGTATGAATCATCACACCCACCACTATAATAACTAGATAAACAAGAAACAAAAAATTTGCATACACTATAAAAACATATTGTTATTAGTAATATCGACAATACAACATTGCCCATGTCAAACACTTACTAAACGACGGAATTAATAACAATTTGTAATGATATTATCATTTGCAGACAATTAAGTTATCAATTATATATTTTAAAAGACGACCAATATTTTAATACTTAGGAAACGTTTTATCGAAAATACATTCTATGAGTAAAAAATAAGACTTACCGATTGTTTTCGAGATCATCAGACAAAACAGGTTGTGTTCGAACAATTGCACAATAAATTCGTGTTTCAATATAAAAACAAAAATTGTTATTAAAAATACGAACAAATTGGCAGGTAGGTGTTCTATCACAAACGTAAATTGTGACCAACACACATAATTATACTGGCCAACTCGAAAGTTGAATTTAATCAGAGACTATTTTTCGCGTTATGTCGATTTAAATAAAAATTGAATACAAACGATACGAATTCAACAAAGTTCGGCACGTCCTATCCACAAATATTGCGAAGCGAAAAATTCCACATAAAAACAATTAACATAATAAAACACATATTAATTGTGATAATCGACAATTGATAATATAATAGTAAACAGAAGAAAGCCGTGGTTGATACAATAAAATGGAGCTAGCGGCTACACTGGTTGTGTATTGAAGTTTTGCAACTGTTAACTTCAACAGCTCAACAGTTGTGTTGGTAGTCGTGACTGACTCATCAGTGACCACTGATCAGTCATAAAATGAATTGATTTATATTTCATGTCCAATGACTGACCATTGTGGTCTGTCGGGTTGTACTATATAATATTTTAATATTATAATTCATTAGTCATTACTATGATACTGCGTTGACTAATACGCTGGGCACTTAAAATTATTTATGAATGTGACCAATCCGACTTTGTTGCTATGAGCTATCCATAAAATGGAAATATTATTTATTAAGAACATCGTCGTCGACTGACTCGGGCCATAAACCAACATGGAAGAGAAAGTGGGAAAGTTAGCCTAATCGTGTTGAGACATGACGAAATGTTTATTCGTCTAGCTGGTCATGATTAAAGTCAAGAACAATGAACATGGACGTCAATCAGGTGCGAATAACTCTACGATGAGTTAAGTTTTATTTTAAAAGTTCATTATTGCAATTAAAAATCACCGCTAGATCGCAGTACTTATGTGTTGTGTAGAACCTCTACTCGACGTTCTCTTTGCATCGAGATACATCTTGGTCTTTTTCAATTTTTCATTTGATTTCAGGTTTGTATGATACCACTATACCAGTGTATCATACCAGATAGGCCAGTATACCACATATCTCTTTAGGTAGGAACCTATTTAGTTCGTCAATATTGTGATCATTAATTATAAATAGGTACCCCCCACATAGAAAACGATTAATAATTTTTTTTTTTAAAACAATAATTATTATATTATTTGTATACAATGTAAATTGATACCTAACTATAGATACCTACTATGGCTAAGCTAACAGTATCTATACCGATTGCAAGCGGGCAGGAGTTTTATATAGTATGTAATATTTAAGAAAAACTTAGTTTTAATAAATTTCGACCATGTCCTTTTATTTTCCGGTTAATTTATAGATATAAGCTTCAGGGTAATTTTGGTAAAAAGTACTTTTGATGTAACGAAACTGTGCTAGACTTTGGCTGGTTTAATTTACATTTCTGTTAAAAGATAGAATTTGTTGGCTTCTCTACTGGCTTATGTAAGAAACCGATTTTTATTTTAAACAATTTATTTAGTTTAAAAAATGTTCAACATCAAAATGCAATAATTTTTATACTAAAAAAAAACAAAAAAATGTAAAATCGGTTTCCAACATAACTTAGTAAAGTAACCAAAGAACTTTTTACAAAATTGAAATTGGACAATCAGAATATTCCAGCACAACTAAATAGCAAATTTCAAACTAAATAAACCTATCTAAAGAATGTTTTGTACAGCAATATTCAAACACCATAACTATACCAAAACAAAAATGTTGTGGCCGCTTACACCAATTATACTTAGAATTTAAGGGTGGTTATATAATAAACTATAAGTTAAACTCTGCTTAAAATGTAAGTATAGTTGAAGCGAATGACCTTTTAAGATTAAAATATACAATAGTCGTATTTAATACATGTTATATTTACAAAAAAAATTAAGACTGGATGAAACAAAGAAACTCTTTAACGATGTTGTTAAAAGGAAACATGCGCATAAACATTTATTTGGGGTCCTGGCTTCTGACAATTATTGTATAAATGATTTTTCATCTAGTTTCCATAATATAAAACAGGGATGCGGTATGCCTGTGACAGCCTATCATTGCAGAGAGCAGGTACAGTATTCATGGAGACATATAACTTTGTACTACAGTCTACAATTTATAAACGATAAAATATTTAGGAAAAATATATATTTAAAAAAAAAAATTGCAATTCAATATTTATTTATTTTTTATATTGATAGGATCCAAGGGGAGGGGGGCAGGGGTCCATTCCTTTGATTGCACCACCGATAATTATTATTACCTGCAGCCGTTAACCGTTGGTTTTGGTTTAAGATAGAATACAAGAAGATCCTCGGAACAGTCGAACTCCATGTCGGGGATATAAGGAATCCTTTGTAGGAAGGTAAGGGGGTGACCACCCCTTCACTCGGCTCTTTGCCGATCACGGGGGTATGTAATAATTGCAGCAACTTGTAATGAGTAACATTTGTAGAAAATCGAATTATTGAAAATAGAGTATCGTCTGGCCGGTGTTTTTCTAATGTGATTTACACTTAAAAAGGTTGCCGTCCGCCGACCGACGATCCGTGTAATGTGTATAGGCTGTATACGTGTGAATCCCTCGGGATTCGATCGTGCACGCTCCTCTTGTTCACACTTGCATCCGTCTTATCCCTGCACCCTATAGTTAATTTAGTTTGAACGATCCAGACGCACAAAAAAGGGGAACAATCCAATCGTGTTCTACACGGTGAATTTATATTTGCGGACAGCAATAAATTCTCATCGGAACCACGTTGAAACAATACTGTGTAAATAGAGTAGTTATTTTCAACTCGAGCATCAATTTAGAATAATTTGCATATACTTAGATAGATACTAAAAAAAATGAACATCAGATCAATCATTCCATATGGGGTTCCGTACAAGAGTTTGAAAGCGCAGTTTGGTTGAAGCTTGGGTGTGCTTAGCACCCCCCAAAATTGTTTGTCTTTCATACCGTAAGCAGAGAGGTAATTTAGCGAAATTGCGCCCCTGCAAGCGCCGTATATTATGTCCTAAAATCTGATTATTTGCTATTATAACTGATAAAAAAAGATCAACATTATTTAGATGTTTACCTACAATTTCAAATAATTTATGCCAATTTCAATTTTTATCAGACACAAATAGAGCTGTCTTACTTTGGTGTCCACTTTGTAAAATATGCACAGTTAACAGTTAATTTATAACCGCGAGTCTTCAAATAGTACTTTTCTGCTTTTGTGGACAATTAAATCTTAAAATATTTGCCAGCGTTTATTAATGTCGGAACAAAGGTATAGTGAGCAGAGTACCGAGTACGTAACTGTGGCATTTGAAATTTAAAGTCCAAATCCATTATTTAAACTTATTTTTATAGCCTTTAGCTGTTTCGGCTAAGTGTTGCCTGAGACATTTTTTTTATAGGTTTACATAATATACAATTTATGTGTTGCGCGATAACGAGCAAAAGCTTTGTCAATTAATAATACCGTTGATATTAGAATATTAAATTAATAAAAAGATATTAACTTTTTTTCGGAATTTCTCAGGTTCACACAACTGTGCACACACCATCGATCCGATGGCGAAGTTTGTAAATTGTACAGCAGGGTGTTGTACGACGGGGTTGAGCGAGGAACTATGTAGACACAGGTGTTCGGCGGTCGGATACCATTATGTACGGTGTAAAATCCAAAAGCTGCAGAAGGGACTTTTGTATTTACATCAATAAACCCCCGAACGAAGACATTTCTTGCGAAAAGAAATAAAAACATCGTATCGAATTTTCAAATAGGTAAGTAAGTATTATACGTGCAAGGGTTGGTTATCTATTATTGTAGTTACTTAAAAAAAGTTCAATTATTTAACAGTGTATACTAATTATTATTATAAGATGTATAATAACGTCGATATAAGCAATGTTTTTTTTATTTTTGGAGTCGAGAATTATCTAGGACAGAATAATACAACCGATATAAAAATACACGCCTTAGAAATTCTCACTAAAAAGTGTCAACATTTTTTTTTTTTTAAATATGAAAAAACAAGGTTTTACGCATCTCCACTATTAACACTGATGGATGAAAAAGAAAGATAGTACAAGAATAGAAAGATAGTAGTTTTTCCTAGTAAGCAACGATGTAGGTATTAAATCACCGCCAAGCAGCTGCTTTTTTTTTAAAAGTGATCATATCTTAGAGCAATATTGTGATAAATAAGTGCAACACAAACATGAATGGTATAATTGTAATCTTTGTGCGTTAAAAAGAAAAAAAAACAATTTTCATTAGTGTAAAGGTAGTATTTTATCGTTCATTCAAATTGTATATTCTACTGTGTCTCTTTTGCTTGTGTGTAGTAAAGAGGTTTTTTTCTGTTATAAAGTACGATTACACTACTGATAAGTGATATGTAATATTTGATTGCGGAATGTTTGAGGCTTTTTTTTAACAAACATAAAGTATATAATTATCACTATATTTTTTTTAAATAGAAATGTACAATAGATGTATTGTTTCTAAATACTAATATTATTTAAATAACAATACTATTTATCAAAATAATTACAACACCAAAGGCTGAAGTTGCCGTGGTTATAATAAATATAAACAATAATGTACACACGTTATAAGCAGGATCTAACATGACTCCTGTAATTATCAGATTGTGGACGTGTAGAAGAAATGTCTGAGAATGAATGTTGCAGTGTAAACACATGATACTTGATGATAATTTTTGCACATTTTATTTTGTTTGTAATTTATTGAATTTCGGTTAAACCCCTAAAGACACTGCAACAGTCACTTTAGTCTAGAACACACTATATATAATATTATGATTTCAAAAATTCTAATTGCTACCACGACTGAACATTGTTCAAGGCAAAACTCTTAAGGTCTAATTTGGTCATGTTCCCCCCCTAGAAATCTTTGGTTAAAAACATTAAATACACAGTACAGTTAACGGGGTTGGTTTTACGCTTCCAAAAATTGATTCAAATACATTATGTAGCAAATGGCCAGCCTTAGGATTTCGATTTTCGATAACTTCTTGTCCGGTGGAATGGTCGGCAAAAGCTTGCGTAGCTCACCAAAGGCCACGTTGAACGCCTCCACCCTGACTCTTTCCCGTGTGGCATGAGCCATTCTGTACTTTTGTGTGGCTCGTCTTCTTCTCCTCCGCTCTTCTCTGGTAAGCGTTGCCATTCCCGGCGTTGAGGTTTTTTCGCGGCTAAAAATTACAAATTTCCCAAGTATAGTAGCGGGGACGAGGTGGAAATATACAGTCCTCAGATGATACCTACGAGAAGAAGAGGCTCGCGAAGGAAACGGAGGTGACTCAAGTGTAAATTGTGGAGATGAACTTGTGGAGTACCTATAGTGACTAGTAGCAACGCAGAATGAATGCATAAGAGTTGATTTTGAAGTTGCGTCGATAGCAGCAAAAGCGAGAAAGAACAGGGGGGGGGGGTTTGGACAAATTATCAAAACAAGACAGAAAATGGTAAAACAAATAAGAGTGATTTATGTAGAGGTAGACCATTAAACAAGTGAATGGATGTGATAAACAAAGATCAAAAAATATGTGTAGTCAAGTGAATAAAAAAAAATTTGCTAATAGAATGAGATAATATGTTTAAAAAGAAAATGATTTGAATAGACCAATCACATTTTTTATGGGATAAGGTGAAAAATAATAATACAATTATTGAGATTTCCTAAGCAACACATATAGGGTCCATGTATGGACAGTTTATTAATTAACAATTATCAACTCCATTATAATTTAGAAGAAGAAAATGTATTCTTCCTATTTGCGTTTCGGAGTTAATTCAACAAGTAGGTAACTATTTGTATACTGGCGGTAATGATAAAAATATAGAGAGGAACACCTTGTACTGAAGTTACCCCTTTTTTCCAGTGTGATATTTATTAATATATTACCAGCGCCTGCTCTATAGACTATAGTTTCTGACAATAGACTTTTTTTATAATTTAGACAATATTATAACCAAATTAATTAAACATTATGTAAGTTACAGTCTCTAACCTAAGATCATCCCACCCGATCAAGTTTGAATCTACCTAGTGCCGAAGTGTAAGCGAAGAAATATTCGAATTTTTACAAAAAAAAACATTTTTGATTTTAACATATTCTGAATTTCATCAATTTGTATCTTCTGTTTTATTCTTTCTTCTACAAGTCGTATACAGTCACTTATTTTAGACACGATTTGTAGAAATTTATCGTTACTCTGAATTTAAAAAAAAGGCCGAAAAAGTAATGAAGAAATATAAAAAATTGAATTAAAAAATCTATAAAATACTTTAAATAAGAATTTATTGCATTTTAACATTTATCTACGTTTTTTTTATATTGTTTTGTTTTTAAAAATACATTTTATTATAGTATTGGTTCAATAAGACGAATTAACCTCAGTTGTAGTTTTTTTTTGCAAATCCGGAAGTCCCGTTCCTAAAGGTCAAAGTCAGAAAAAATATATAGAATGCATACACTGGAATATCGAGTAAAATATTATTCACCACAATATTATTATAAACTGATTCATTTTTTATGTTTTTTAGTATTGGATACTTGAACGTTAATGTTTTTATTTATTTTTTCGCCATTACCTCCCAAAAATATTAGGTAATTATATAATTTTTCTTCTTATTATAATAGGCATTGAACAGACATTACCCTCTTATTATCGAAAACAGTCAAAACACCCTGCTAATACGATTTCGGTAATAGGCACATTTATAACTATTTAATATTATACTAAAGTGGTTACCTTTTTTTTGATAATGTACCCCGTACATTGTCTGAGTCTGGTAGTGTAGAATCTGCCATTGAATACATTCCACATTGCAAGTAATCCATCTGTAATTGAAGTACAAATAAATGTTTAAAAAAATAGCGCCTATATTAATATTGTAATTAATTATTATTTCAAGTAATCACTGTAAAACAATAAACAACCTGTAGCCTCCTTACACACAGTCTCAACTTATACATAATTTGTTAACTTGTTATTACCATTCTAGAAAATCTGAAGAAACTTCTATTTAGTAAATAATCGATGGTGTTTCCCCGGAATAAGTTGGACCGTATTGAATTGCAATAATGCCGTTAATGTATTATTTATTTTTATGTTGTTTTCTCTGTTTTGTTGGGACATTGGTGTACTGTGTATGTACAACGTATCTAGTCTCCAAGGGATAAGCCAACTGCAGCGGCGGGACACGTGTCGGGTAATAAATGCTTTTGTTGGATGATCAAATATGCATGATGGTTTTGGCATGACTTGATTTTATATTATGGTTTTAACTTCAGCATACCGTGATGACAACATCTATATTATTACATCCTGTTATAACCCAATTTGTGCTGCTGGCTGTGGTATCAATGGGATAGGCCTGATCTAACTCTGGATAATGTTAATCTTAAAGTTAACCTAAACATTTTATTTTTTTCCCCTTTTAACTATTTATTAAATTATAGTGATCGTGGCTAACCTTTATGACGGTATCTCGTATCAAACAGAAAATATAGAATCAACACATTTTTTTGTAGGTAATCATTTCAAAGTAAGTACCAATTTAATTCAAAACAAATACCTAACTTATTTTTATTATCTGTTTAATATTATCGCAACTAGATATAAATTATATTTCTATCTATGTTTTAATTCTAGATGACTGATGAAATGTCCCCAAAGAAAATTTAACACACTCAGTTAGGCATCTTAATCTACGATAGGCGGTACACAATTATATATAAATTATATATAATATCAATAATATTAATATTATAATATTATATTATTATTAATATATATATGCCTATTTATGTAAACAGAAGTTAGGTTTTGTTATCAAAATTACTATTATTTTTCAAAAGTTCAATTCAAACTTGTTTTAAACAACATTTTTATTTCACAAATCTTTTTTATTTTTTACAAAGTACTACGTTGTTTTTGAAAAAAAATGCAATACCTACACAACCACATTTTTAAGGAATTTTTAAGAAAGATAACTGAACATTCAATGAATGGACAGATATAAGAATTAAGAATATATATAAAATTGGATGTAGTAATTTTGCTTTTAAAGCATCAAAACGAAAATGTTACCTACATTTACGTCGCAGTACGAAATCAGACAAACTAATTCTAAAAAGTACTCAAGAATCTAAAAAAAATAAATACAAATATTACAAAATGAACGAGTATTCACGTGTCTAATTGTAAATGGTCTTACAATTTGTTCAAAAATAATAATAATATTTTAAAAACAAACTTATTTTTTTAATTAATAGAGATTACAAAAACTGTAACGACTATACAGTTGTGTTCGATTGAAGCTATGATAAATTAGTTAAAAAATATTTTAAAGTTCTATATTGTTGTTGCGGTAAGTTACTTAAAAAATATTCAGTTTATGAAAAAAAAAAATGCCATTTTATTGTTATTATTTCTAAAAATTGAGACTAGGAAAAACTAAACGCTGAACTTTCCCTTCTCCAAAAACAAAATAAGACTGTTTGTTTTTTATTAAAACATTTAGTATGATCCATAAGTAATAATAAACACACACTAAATATTATACTTACATTTTTAATTTAAAAAGCGCAATCGTTAAAATTAGTTATATTAATTCTGTAAATGATAAACTGTAAACATTTATTTTTTGAACAAGATTTTTTGATTAAAATAAAAAATGATTATGTAATTTCGTCATTTATATAGACTATTGTGATGTATTATGAAAAACTCGGTTCGTTTTAATTGATTAGTTTTATATACACGAAGAAAATTTTAATTTTCGCACACACTTTTCAATATCTTCGGTGTTGAGAAGGTATTTTTTTTTTCAATTGGATCATAGGTATTATTGCACATTAAACATTTATAAACTTTAATTTCTATTATTATTGTTATAAAATATTTTTTTTTAACAAACATAAGTAGATTGTATGATTATTGTTATCGCAATACCTACATTTTACAAACATTTATCATACTAAGTAAAAAAAACCTAGTCTGTTTATTAAAATGGTACAATATTGTAATTAACAGTACATACCTTTTGCGCTTTTGAGACGAACGGCTACTCAAATAAACAGACACCGTCTGGTCAATGTCAGATTACTTGAAGCAAATGAAAGCAGGATCCTGCGTCGTTTTCAGCATCCAGATGTGAGAAGTTTCGCGGTACGTCACTGGACCAATCACGTTTAACACGCCCTTTGGAAATCATTATAAATCCCATCATATGGGCGGAGACTGGCGATTTTCCTTTCCCCTCTAATTTCCATTCACGAGTTATACCTATGTATGTATATATACACGGAATTTTCACAGTATTCAATGCAATTACAAAATATTTACTAATAAACATTTATACCACCTATACCTAGTTAATAATATGGATATCTTATCCAAACCACTGAACTGATTCCTTCGAGAAGCGAGTCGATATACATCAGAAATCGTACCTAAAAGGTACTATATTAGATAAAAAAATTTAAAAGTTCACGCTCTTCGACTCCAAAATCGAGAAATTAATTTTTTTTTGAATAGTTGAATTACTTCCAAAATTGTATGGAATTTTTTCCAATATACAAATTCACCACCCTCTTCAAATTATTTTATGTTAAACAAAATCATTTTTAAAAATCTGTAAGATATTATAACTTCTTGTTTTGCGTTAGACACGTTTGATATTTTTTCAGACTTGTAGGTATATTTTTTTTTTTTTTGAAACTCACGGGAATTTCTTAAATAAAATATGAAAAATATGTTGGACCAGAGGTAAAAAAGCGTTAGGACAAATCAAAAATGGTTTATCTGCTAAAAAATACACCCTTAAAAAAAGAAGTTGAATAAATAAAAAAGAGTAATTGCATTGAACTTTATTATTGACACATTCAATTATACCTTAAATCGAATTACAAGTAATACAACATTGTAATAGATGTATTCCCCTTCGAAAATAAACCAGATTTTTAAAATTATATTTTACAACATAAGCTTTATAGAGCGTCCAACTTATTCCTTATTTGATATGCAAACTTGTTCGTCTCGTTTTTACAAAAAGTTTTGATACAATAAATAAATAATATAATAAATCTCATAAATTGTGACTTTTCCCATTCTTGAATAAGCGATTCGAGTGACTTGTATAGATTTTTGTTATCTTATCTGATAACCGTGCTTGGAGAACATAAAAAGTTGAATATCTTATTACTAATTGATAAAACCTATTTGTATGTACTTTTAGTAGCCATAGAAACGGATAACACAGCCAATGTAAAGCAATGTTCGTGGCGACACAGTTACAAGTATCCAAGTAATACATCTTTTAATTTCTAGCTAAATAGTTATGTTTATTTGCTGTTTCATAACCGACTTTTGACTTAATATTTTTTTTTAGATTAAACCATCCAAGTAATTCCTATAGGTAATCCATCAAGACTTTGCGTAAAATATGTCCGTCAATTATTCGTGCAACCAAGTGAGAGTTTTTTTTTTGTATATTTATACATTTGTTTTTAAGTAATGCAACAAATCATTATTACAACAACATTCAATATTATATAATATTAGGTGCCAATGTTGAACATCGGCGCCTAATATTTCGTCCCTGTTCACGCAAAACACACTTTTTTTTAAGAATAAGCTTTTTAAAATTTTATAAATTCTATAATGTTTCTCTAAAGTACCTAATTTCTTTATTCCTTGATTTATTTTATTTTCATTTATACTAAGTAGTTTAGTATGAATATTTGTTACTAATAATATAATTAAACATTTTTTTATTTTTATTTAAATGTAAACGATTTTATAAAGTTAGTATTTAATGTGGTTTGGGTGAACGGGGACGATTTGACACCTTAAACTGAAAACACAATTACAATTTTCAACATTGTAGGACTAAATCTCTTAAGTACAATCATCATAAAATTTAATTCGTTTCAAGTCATCCGATAAATTGTATTTTATCAATTTTTAATTGAATTTTATCACTCATGATAATTACAATTAATAAATGGACAGATTACGTTTGATATGTTAAATGATTATGTTAAATTTAGTAAAATCACAATCGAGTAATGATTGGATATAGTTGACAAATATCTATGTTAGAATAGACAAAAGCTAGTACTATGGACAAAACATACAGTGTTCAAAAAGTTTGAAACCCATTGATTTTCAGATCCGCTTATGATTTTTTTTGAAATTTTATAATAGCGGTATAATGATTTTGTTTTGTCTGTTTTTTTATGATTTAATCGACATAAGGTCGCAATGTACAAACTGCAAGTGTCATTTTAGTCAATGTATGCTGGACCGCCCCACTGAAACACACATCCTATTGAATTTCATCATTCTAGTCTTTGTTAAAGTTTATTTTAGTCCATCTAATACAATATAATAGTAATATAAAAAAATATTAATGATTCCACCTCTAGGTTGTTTAAGGACCGGTCTATTGGCATTAAACAATATGTTAGCTTCGAAGGGATAAAATAATCCATCCCGATCATTAATCAACCCCCTTTGAATCACGTCTAAACAGTGACAAACTATATATTATACAAAATCCATATAATCCGAATGAGCCATCTACTAGTAAAAAAAAAAAAAATAGTATCCACTGCAGGTGCATTTATTTTTTTATGGACCAGCCAATTTATTGAAGGGAAAAAACAGTAGCATTATAACTTAGTAATGAATATTAAATAAGAGGGTGCGGCCAATACATTTTATAGCCACTAGCCAACCTGTTTTATAAATAAAAACAAAATTCCAATAAAAAAAAACAATCAGATTCCATTTAGTTTGTAAGACTCTATTTTAGTTTCTAATTTGTATTTGTTTGTTAAAACTTCCATTTGTTAACTTCATTAAAACAAGACAAGCCTGTGGTGCTCGGGTAAAATGGAAATGTTTCAACCATATTATACATTATACTGTATTTGTTTTCTTATTTTATGATAATATATTATGTGTAATATGTACCCATAAAGATTTTCGGTTTTGAGAATGACAACTTGACTGATATAGAGTATTACGGAACGCCCAACGAGGGTTACATTTTTTTTTTGTGGGGGTGGGGGAGTTTCCTACACGTGCTCATGTGTTGTTATACCAATAAGGGGTTGCATATTTTCAATAGACATAATATAACCGTACAAGGATTGTTTGGTATAATCATCCATCATATTTTCACGATTTCATCGCGCGCGACACACATAACATTATTTAATATTCTTGTACTCGAATTCGATTTGTGCAGACAAGACGGTGAAACAGATTTCGTGTAAAAAACAATAGATGTTATTTTTATTATAATTAAAATTATGATAGAGATGCGACCTTAATTTAATAATCTACAGGTAATGTTCTGTGAAAGTCTCAACTCGATCCGTGTATTTTTCGCTGGAATAAAGCAATATGTATTTCAGGGTTTTTCGGTTTGCAGGATTGTGCTTACTTTAACAACGGCATTTGCCTTTATTTAACTAAACTGTGCGTGAGTATAGTATTATATTGCACAGCCTTATTGCTACACGAATACACTATTACGGTGCAATCATTATATAAGAGTCGAAAATATATTTTTGGTCTATTATTCAATAATTGTATATATAAAAATTAAAATTTTTTGGATGCAAGCTTACCCGAGTGCTTATTACTAAAATATAATAAGTATAATTTTTTTTAAAAAAAAGTTTACAATTGGAATTGGGGCCACTGTGGTCCCGGGCTGTATAATAATAATAATAATTTATTGTAAAAATTAATAAAATATATGTATATTATATGCATGTACTAATCTCTTGTTTGCAAACAATTAGAGTTGCGACAACGGTTTATCATTGTCAGAGGGGGGAAGACCGACTTGCCGTGGTTATAATAGTAATAATAATAATTATAATAATCCTGGGATGAACATTAAAAAAACAGCAGCGTGTGCCTTGCTCTGGTGTTCACACACAGGCGAGGGACTGTCGTTGTTGGTGGTTATTGTGTAGCACACATTTGGGCGGAATAAATAATAACACCCATGTCGTGTCCCTGGTCGATTTATCCATTTGAATATTGTATACATGTTATTATTATTATACACTCGGAAGTATTGCAATCCCTTAAAGGACACGTGCAATTACACCGCAGCTTGAAAATAGCGGAGTTGACGGTGTTTATTTTTTGTAATAATCTATTTTGAAGGTGAACTAACAACTTCATTTGACTTCGAAAGGATTTGAAACACTATCGAAGAGTCTGATTTCTAAGTTTGTTCAAGTCTCTTTTAAAATATCTTGAAATCATCGACTATTGTCTATTGTTAATTATTGTTATTATGCTAATTCTGCTAGAATATTTATTATGTCGTTCCTAACTGATATAAATCTTCACTTAATTTATCACTTAAGAGAAACATTGCCATCTGTGTGTCTGATGAGTGTCTGTGGCGGCATATGAAACATTATACAATATTTCCTCCGTTTGCAATAATGGTTTTTTTTTTTTTTTTTATAGTTCGAAAAGGCGTACAAACCGACTAGATTGGGCAATTGGGAAGTACCGAAATGGCATTTGAATCGTCCAAAAGGTCGGTCGACCGTGACAAAAGTGATCGTAAACGACAGAGGGCATCTACTGCCTGGAGTACAGAAAACCGATCAAAAACATTGGGCAGGACTGTACTTGGGGACGTATCAACTACCAAAACGAATCACGAAGGACATTGGTAAAATTTTATCACTTTCACGCTCATCAAGTTCATCGTTATAGTAAATTACCTGTTATTTAATTTTTTTTTTTTGTATTTCCAAACGTGTGTAGTTCAAGAACTAATCGCTCCAAAGTGTCAATCGTACATGAAGCGTTCGTACCATCAACCCATTTTGGAAAGTAAATCAAAGGCTGAAAACAAAACATGCAATAATCGGTTAAAAGGTTTGAACGCAAGCGAACAACGTACAATTAATAACGACCAAGAAGAAGACAAGGAATCGATAAAAACCGTTAAAACTACAGTGAGTAACGCCCGAAGTTGATGTAACATTGTGTACCATACTATGTATTATTAATAAACGCTTGTAAAATTTTTAAATCCTGTGATTTGTTTAGCACGAGAATTTTTGTTGGTTTTATAAATAGTAAACAGCCTGGTTGTATGCACATTGTAGTTTGTAAAAAAAAATTCCCCCCCCTAATTGAGCGAGAACGATTTTCAATAGTCGTGGAATATCTATAATTATTATAGTGCATTTCATAGCAGAATTTTGAGAATATTGTAGCAAAAATGACGGACACTAGGTAAGTATTTACAAAATTAAACAACAAGAAAAAGTCATATATAATATGAGTCATAAATAGAATCGCTTCACGCAAAAATGGCCTTGATCCTTAACTTTAATCTTTTAGAAAAATGAAAAAAACTTTTGATACGTTATATATTTCATATTTAAGATGCTTGTTTACAATGGGTTCTAGTAATGGGACTAAAGCCGTTTTAACATGAATCTAGGTTCGCAGTTACTTTGAATGAAATATTTTTAAATATGATTTTCACTTTACCTATTGTATATTGACGTTCTGCCAAATCCTCGAACAAACAAAAAATACAAGCCTTTCAAAATATATGTCTACACAAATAATGATCCCACCTTTTTTTTAAGCCATCTCTCTGCGAGTAGCATTAATTGTATTATTATGCTCAACTTTATTCTGCTTTATACTTTTATATTTAAGGCGTCTATTTTCAAAACCAGCTAAAAACACAATTTTGCAAAAATGTTTTGTTTTCTAAGTGACCACCTGTATTACATAGCACATAAAAATGTCTAACATCAAACCATCCTATAGGCCATAACTGTTATACATTGTGTTGGGAAAGATGTGGTTGGTTTCAAAATCACCCATTTGACGACAAGTCTTTCAAATGCAGCTATAACACAAATATAACACGTTTTTTATCAGTTTTAATAGGTAGTAATATTTTCAATGTTTGTTTTGTAACCACATATGACATATATGGAATATTTAAAAATCAAAACCAGCCGTATGTAACTAAATCCCACCAAAATCATGGTCGCGAAAACAGCTATATAAAATAAAATGAGTACAAAACCCGACCGCTATAACAAAAAAAAAAATTTCTATAACTATTGAAATCATTTTTTTTAAGTAAAATTGTAATAATTTTACATACTATTTTAATAGAGTCCAAAGCAAATATCGAATCAAAATGTTGATATCATATCGATTATACTATAAGTTATTATTCTACACCTTTAATACGTTTTTTGTTGATTGTAAATAATTCTGTATAATTGTTTATAGCCGATTTTGAAATTAGACAAACTTATTCTTGTATAGTGTACAACACACTTGTACTATAGTATGTACATTGCTAATACATTTTGGAATAGTCCCGTGTGTTAAAAAAACATAAATAGTCGTTGGTACATAAATTATTTTGTACGTTTTAAAATATACACATATTTTTCAGATATCGAATTCGTCGAAAACGACTTCAGTGTCGAACTGCTCCTCCGGCCGAGGTCGACGAAATCCGTCGGAACAACAGTTGTTCAATTCGACTCTACCCGAACACGTGACGACGCCCAGCAGAGCGCATTCGAGCCCGGCGTTGAGCCGCATCAGCGGGGATGAAAACAAACACCACGAGCACCACGGCCGGAGCAACAAACACCATCGTCTTCCCGACACAATAGAAGACGCCGTGTACCGATCGCTGCAAATGAAACGGGACAAACATCCCGGCCTGGGATTGGACGGGTTTTGGCCGAAATGTTCGGCCGTGGCCTATAAATCGTTCAACGATCCCGGCCCGACGCAATGCAGCAAACTCCGCGTGTACAGGCCGAAAACTTCCAAGGACGGCGGCGGCAACGGTCGGCAGGAAACGGCCGGTAACGGACGGCCAAAAACTTGCGGATCCCTCCAAGCGTTGACCGACATCAAACTCGCCCTCTGTTGGGATCTGGACGCGCCGTTCGACGGCCGACGGTCGGCGGACAAACCGGCGGTGTTCCAGAAGATAGTGAAAAAAGACAGCGCCGAAATGCATTCCGGAAAACCTGTCCCGCGGGCACCCAATTCCTCGGCGGTCATGGGTTTCGTGCGACCGGCGGACGAACCGGAGTCGCCGCGTGTCTCGAGGCCCCGGAACTTGTCGGCAATCGTGAATTTGATTCCGGAAAAACTTGCACGGAATAATGACGAAAGCGGAGGCGACCGAGAAGAACCAGATCCGGCCAAGAGCCCCCCCGCCAGTCGCGAGAAGATACCGGAAGAGGTTGGAAACGTCGACGACAAACCGGAACAAAGCGATCGCGCAAACGCGTTCGGAGCGTGCGAAAAACAACATTGTAGACCTTGTGTGGCCTGCGACTACCGCCGGTACTATCCGGCGGCGGCGAAACGGTGCCAGAAGTCACACGAGGAAAAGAACCCGTACAAGATGGCGTTCAAAGCCGGCGTACCCGTGACGTCACCGGTGAAACACGGCCGAACTAAATGCAAGAAAAAACTCAAAGTGCCCAAACCGAAGACGACCAATTCGGACAAGAAGAAGTACGTGATCGGAACGCTGTTGCCGCCGTTTTCCATGTGGCCCGGAACTACGGCCAGAGATTACCCGGAACACTGGCGGCTGACTTCCGTTTATAGACAAGCGTTCAAGCCGTTGGAGTCGCGGAAGCAATCCTTCCTCGACACTATTTACTTGTAAATACCCACGTGGGTACGAAAAATCCAGGTTGTTGACAACTCAAATGGCATATGATACTGTGCATAGAAGCTGATACATAGGCGTAGCAAGATTCATTTCTGTGGGGGAGAGGGGGGGCTATAGCCTTTACACCATTATTATGAACATTTAGACTTGAGGGGGACTTTTTGTCTCAAATCCGGCCAATGCTTAAACCTACACCGCCCCAAAAAAAATTGTATATTTTGTATACCTACATAGGCATCTGGCTATAGTTGTGTAAGAGTTTGGTTGGTCCAATTTCAATTTTGTAAAAATATAAGAAACTGTTGGCGTCTTGGGTTATGTTGAAAAAATAGATTTCATAACCTAGTCAAGTAACCAAAGAACTCACAAAACTTAGTATGTCAGCCCTAATGTTTAATGCAAAATACATTTACTAATAGTTTTGGATTTTAAATTGATTTGGCAACAGTCCTTGTATATTATTTATTTACCAACAAATTAAAATAGTAAATAATTGCCAATTATAATTGGTATGGTTAGCTTCCTTTACAAAAAAAAAAATAGTTAATTAACAATATTAGTGCACATTAGGTATACCATTTAACAGATATACAAGATAAGCAATGCCAAAAATTGAGAGCTAGAGTATTAGAATTTAAATTTTGATCAGTATATATACATTTTATGGAGAAAATATTTAACAGTTATCCGGAAATAAAAATTAAATTATGCCTACGAAATGATAACCGAGTAAAATATAGTTTACCATGTTTTGAAAAATACAATTAAGGAAATTAATTTTTTACTGTAATAGTTATTGGGTAATATTAATACAAGTATGACAGTTATAATAGTTTTAATTTATGTAAAAAAATTTAACTCATTTTGCGTTTCATCTATGTGTGCAATTTGTTTTTATTGTTATTTCGAACGTAATAGTTGTTATAATTTATAGTAAATAGTGACATGTATTGAAAAGTAATAAATTAACAATATACAAAAATGTATAATAATGTTGTTCGTTATTATTAAAATATTATGTCCGATGCTGACTTTTATGTTGATAGTTTTTTGTAAGTACCTCAAAAGTTTCCATCGGAATTGTGTCGAGTACAGTGTGTAGTAACTACACATTGGCTGTAAATTTGGACTAAACAATCTTGGATACACAAACTAAACAACTCGAGAATAAATTGTATGCATTAAAAAGGGATATGAAAACAAAACCGACTAACTTATCAGCGATTTTTAGTTAGCACAAAAATGTTGGTAATTTTATACAAGAACACAAAATACTGCAGTTACTGAAATTAATAACTGTATTTAATTTTAAACAATTTTAAAATAAGAATACCTTCTATGTTATTATTATTTAGTAAATCGCTATTATAATATATTATACAAATCTTATCATATTATATAATATAAATGAAACCTACTTAATAGCTACAAATAATTATAATGCAAATATATCTAAATATATCACTTAAATAAATATTATATATATATATATAGATATATAAATATATAGAACTATATTAACTATACTAGAATTAGTACAGTTAAATAAAAAATAATTATACTCATTGTGTACATATATATATAAATACATACTTTAAGTGAACATTACGCACGAAGAGCATAGAAATTGTGTTTTCAAATATATAAGCGAAGGAATTCTTATTGCCACAGTACACATAAATAACTTTAGTTTGCAATATGTAAATAAAAAAAAAAAGAATAAAATGTAAAAAAAAACACAAGTTTTCAGAAACAAAATAGAAATGTCCATTAGAATGTTTATCCGACACAAACACATTTAATGAGGCGACTCTTTTTTCACGACATCCGGAAGTGGCAACTTCTCTTCGCGAGGTTTAGCTCCTCCAAATATGCTTGTGTGCTGCGTACTATCAGCCAATTGATTTAACGGCTCTTTGACTGACCTTGGCTTCAATTGTAATTTCGGCCTACCAGGATCGGCTGGAAATAAATTAAATGTAAATATTTAAACAAGTTTAACAACAGTGATGCATTTTTAAAAAAAAAAATTTCTGTCTAGAACCACAATGTTTTCTAAACCACTAAATCAACATCTTCTTATAGCAACTCCATAAATCAGAAAGCTTAGTACCTAAAAGGTACTATGTCAGGTCAAAATTAAAAAAGTTCACTTTTTTAAAAATTGTGTTCTATTATATCCCGACTCCACTGTATTGGCAGCTTTGTTTCAATTTCGAACCGTTTAAAAGTTTACCTGGTGGTGGAGCTGGCAAACTATCGAACTCCGATCTACGTTCGCGGCTTCCCGGAAATTGTTGTGCATTTGGCCGATTGAAATCTCTAGAACCACTTTCTGGGAACCTGTTCATGCCACCACGGTTACCCCCTGGTTGATCCATAAAATTACTTCGTCCACCCATTCCTCCTCCATTTTGATTACGAAAATTGTTTCCGAATCCTGTATAAACAAAAAAAGTAATCGAATAATAAAAATAGTAAAAATAATTAATCGGCAGTGGAGATTGTTTTCATCACGACTGTTATTTCAAACATTTATAAAATGATAAATAAACCGAAAATGTATTTTTAGAAATTGAGACTTATTAATTATTTTACTTAGAACTATTTCCTAGACTATTGCTAATGATGTGCTTACATTTTTCTCGACAAATTATTTTTCCATTGTTAACATTATTGACAACACACAATGGCACACAATACAACTAAATAAAATCAAGAATAGTAAAATATAATTTCAGTTATGCTATAATTATCGCATTACTACTTACATTAATTTGTGTGGTTGAAAATTTTGAAGTTTTTAGTTGTTAATTTTTATATGATTTAAATCAGCTCATAATTTTAGATTGTGAACAAATAAATGGATTTTTAAATTTTTAACGATGTGAAAAGACGTTTAATAATTTAGAACGAATTATTATTTTAAGATAATAAGCAACCATTTTTTGGTTAACGCAAAATATGTTAATTTTTACCAGAACAATTTTCGAACAACCGACAGTAAAAACAAACCAGTGTTTATTACTGAAAATACTTAGCATTTTTTTTTGCAGTTAATTCTCATACAATTTAAATCAACACATTAGTTCAGATTGTGAACAGCATGTTATAATAATCATAGATTTTAAATAATGTAATTAAAACAAACTAGTATTAAGTTATATTATGACTATGGAATTACCCAAGTAATTTAATTTTCTGTGTAATAGTTACTAACACTAGTACACTAGAGCTGTGTGATTATTTCAACGAATCGATTAATTTCTCAAAATTAGAAAAACTAATTAATAGTAATACAATTTTTTTATCAAAGTATAATCGATTACACACTAATACTGCATTCCAAAAGAGAACATACCGATTTTGCGCATCACGACTGACGGCTGGCAGCCGCTGAGAGGTAAATTTCTCCCACTCTTGCCAAAATGTGTCGCCGATTATACACGACGGTCTCTGTCTGAGCCATGAACCTAACCAAAGCACCTCGCGGTGGGATGTTTTAGTTGGGAAGTGCGCGCAGCCAAACATTGGCCGGTCGCCGTCCAGTATGTTTCTTTTGGAACACAGTATAGTACAATTGTTGATTACCCTAGTTTTTACATCTAATACCAACCTCAATTTGGTTAAATAGGTAATCTATTGATCAACTTTTAGAATAATTTAATACATAGCTATGTATGTAAATTATTAAAAAATCAGTCACTTAACATATTACTTCAAACAAATTTAGCTAATTATTGATTAATCGCATTCGAATTAGTCGATTTATTATTAGAATACAATTTTTCTGATTAACTGATTTCTTTTATCAGTACACAGTCCTACTATTGACTAAAAATTCGTAAATACCTTGTTGTAATTGTTAATTCTCATACAGATTAAATCAGCACATAATTTTAGATTGTGAACAGCATGTTGTATTAATCATAGATTTTTAAATAATATCATGAATTTTTAAGCAAATTCACACAGCTATATTTTTAGTAACTTATTTCTAATCACGCTGTGTTTTACACCAGAAAGAAACTGTTTTCAATCAAACTAGTTACTATTACAATTTTTTTTTTTAAATTTTGAAGTAAGTAGTCATATATTTTGCTCAACATATAGTTTCAGCTTGTGAACAGCAATGTATAATAATCATATAGCTTCTTTTTTTTTAATTTTGAAGGAAGTAGTCATATATTTTGCTCAACATATAGTTTCAGCTTGTGAACAGCAATGTATAATAATCATATAGCTTCTTTTTTTTTAATTTTGAAGTAAGTAGTCATATATTTTGCTCAACATATGGTTTCAGCTTGTGAACAGCAATGTATAATAATCATATAGCTTAGTAATAAAAAAATTATAATTTAAAAACAAAGAATAACTTTCTAACTAAATCCACAATATTATATTATATCCTCATAGAATTTCCTCAGCAAAATTTTCAGTTTGTGAACAGCATTGTATAGTAATCATTGGATTAAAAAAATTTGTTCATATGGTTAGCAGCAATATTAAAAAGTATTTATACCATTTTTAAAAATATATTATTTGCTAAAGAAAAATCTATAAATAAGATGTGGCATTTATTGATCATAATTATACTAGATAATTTTAAATTTTATTGTAAAATTTGTCTAACATTTCTTCGGCGGATAGTTACAATTAGTAAAAAATATGAAATTATTATTTACCATTGACCTTAAAATTAGTTATTGATAAAAATAAAAAACATAAATTATTCTCATACAAATTGTTCAGCAAATGACTTCAGATTGTGAACAGCATAAAGTAATAATCATTGAACAAATTTAAATTTATAGATATTATTATCATTGACTATCTTTTAGTTAAAAAGTGGTTTATTATGATAAAAACTAGATTTTTAGTAACCAAAACTAGAATAATTCTCTTTCACTAATGTTCTGTTAAATTTTTTTTTTTTTTAATTATGAAGTCTAATTTAAAATATAATTGAATAACATTTCATTATTTCAACCTAGCACACAAATTCAGATTTACTTTCACTACAAAAACTAACACTTTTAAAATTAAATTAGGTAATTTTTTTAAGGTTAATAAACTTAATTAGAACATTGAATAAACAACAACAGAACTTCGTTAACAGGAAAACAAGATTACAGTTTACAACTAACCTGCGTTTTGAGTAAAATCATCAGATCGACTTCGCATCCCAGGATTATTATTAAAACTACCAGGAGCACCTCCTGAAAAATGTTAGAAATAGTAAATCGTTCAAAAAAGCCTTAAAAAAATTATGCAAAAATTACCTCTACCGCCGCCGGGACCACCTCGATTTGACCTATCAAAACCAGATCTTTCATTTTTTTTGCCTGACGCAACATCAATTTTTATTTTCTGTCCTTCAATAAACACTTCCATCTGCAGTGCGTCTTGTAGATGTTCCAGTGTAACAAACTCAACATAACCGAATCCTTTGAACATGTCAGTTTCTTTGTCGTGGACTAATCTAATATTTCGTATTTGGAACTGAAATGATATTTATTATTATTGTTATTAAGTTCTAACTAAAACATGAACATTAAAGATATTATGTTTAAAACAAACAATTTTTTAATTTAAACAATATGTACCCGGGTTCCATTAAATATATTTTCAACATCTCCTTGCGTTATTCCTTGTGGTAAATTTCCAAGATAAGCCACAAATGGTGGATTTGTTGGTAACGGCTTATTGAAATTTCTAAAACAAATAATATCTTCATAAAATAATAGTCTTGTGTGTTGTGCAGCAAAGTATACAATGAGCAGAATAAATGTAAATTCAACTTATAATGCGTATGTATTTTATTTATAACATTATCACAAACAAAAAAGTTGAAATTAACATGGTGAAATAGAGTAAAAGTGTAGTGTACTTAAGCATAATAGACAGTTTGACACTCATCACTACTAGTTTCTCATATAACAGGCATTCATATTGTGTTACGTCTGTTTATGATACATTTTATAACAGTTATTTTTGTTATAATAAAAATTTAAAAAAATTTGTTTTCAAATAATGTTTATGCATACAAAGTACTTAACATATTTATGTATAACTTTGACATTAGAAATTCTCTAATGGAGTAAATAAAATACAGGGATAATAAGTCAACAATAATATACCTAATCGACCAAAACATTTTGAAACAGTTTAGTTTTTTAAAACTGTTTATTACTATACAATCAGTTCTAAGCCGATTTTAAATCATTAACCAGTTTTAAAATGTTTGAAAATGGTTAAGGTAGTGGTAGGTTTCAATCGGTTTTAATTAGGTCTTGAAAATATATTATTTGGTAAATAAAAAAAACATTTTTACCCTAAAATATAATTTTTAAGTTAACACATTTTATAATTATATTTGTTGAAAGTTTTAAAACGATGAACGTTAATACAATACCACTGGAAAACAAGCCAAAAAAAAAATCTGTTAAACTAGTTGTATTTGCACTTAATAACCAAAAAAACAATGACCTTTAATTAGAAGTTTTGTTTATTTTTGGCAAATCGGTTTTAGCATGATTCCGACACTTTGAAGTACCTACACAAATAACGCATAAACGCTTTCCTACACTAATTTGTACTACATTCCTTTTAATATGAATATATATACATAGAAACGAGCATGTATACCAAGTAGTTGTATATTCCTTATCGTAGGGAGTAAAATATAATAGGTTTACACCTATTGTGCTGTAATAAACGTTTAATTAGCTGTAAGTAGACATCCTATCTGTAATCGCCATAACTGCCTAAATAATATTACCTATCAACGAGAATAGTTTCACACAGCAAGGATACGGGTTTAAAATTTTAAATATTACTGTAGTCGAAATAATCAAATAGTTAAAAAACAGCGTGTTATATGTGATGATAAATTGTCCAACTATAACTTATAAAATAATAATAATACAACATCACGTTACCTGCTGTCGAAATCATTGAAAGCACTTCTACCGGCCATGTTTGTGGCACTAGAAAAACAATAATTTACCGGTTTCAAAGAAAAATACTCTTAATTTTAAAAATCACGCCACTGCCACAAGTTTTTAATACTTAGCAGCAACTCTTGTTGCAACTCGATATTACCAATTTATTACAGGCTGCAGGCACAATACAAAGTAGTGGAAACACACAGTCTATGAGAAAACATGAGGTTAACCATGGACAAGAAAACCGTTCATGGAAAAATCATTTGTTTTGATAATTGTATCAGTATATTGTTACTGATAACTTTCGGCGGCAAATTATTTCGAAATCAGATAGTTTTAAATTAATATAATACATACATTATTATATCAGCATTACAAATTATACCAAAATAAATTTAACGTCGAACTATATATTTCCTAAAATTATTATTCACGCCAAACTCCAATTCACATTTGTTTTTTTTAATATTATCGTCTTTAATTGATTTTTTTTATTACAAATATATTCCTGCTAATCTTATAATATCAATGCGATGCCTCTTTTCCATCGTATTATAGTGTGCTAGCGTTATTATAAATTATTTTCTAATAAATATAGAAAATAGTTGGTAAGTACATATATAGATCTAATATACTTAAAAATATTTTTGGGCTACATGTATTTGTGTATTAGTTCCCGAATGGAATTATTCCTGCAGATTCCAAATCTTCAAAATATTTTTTGCCATGTTTGTAGCCGACTTCCTAAAAATAAATAACATATATAATAATATTTACACCGAGCATATTGAAATAAAATAAGTTTTATTATATTTAGTCGATCGGTTTAATACCTATATGCGTTTGGTGTCTTTAATACGTTTTTGTATATTTTCTTCATAAAAATAAATAAATAAACAATGAACTATATAATATGTTCATACGTAAAGACATGTTCAAAATGCATCAGTACAATTTAAAACGTTTTTTTTTTTTAATTAAGAATTATCGCAATATCAGTGAAGCAAAATAAGTATACATTGTTCTAAAACAATCTTCCAAAAGATAATAGCAGCATAAAATTGCTGTTACTTAAAAATCAGAGATAAAGAGCAGTTAAGCCAGCACAAAATAAATATGAAATATAACAGTTGATTTAAATATAATATATTTTTATCACCTTTATCTCTTCGAAATCAGCAAACTGAAGCGTCTTGTATTTGTCAATAGGAGGTCTTATATATTGACAATAATCACTATTTTTTACTACCTGTAAATAAAATTTGGAATTTTAATAATTTCAAACATGGACACCTAGTACTCTAAACCTGTAGTTAAGTTACAACTTAAACTTTAAATATAGTTATACTATCCAAACCTCGAGTTGTCGAACACAAGAGACGTATGCCAATCGAGATTGAATATCTGCAATACTTGGGACTTTCACAGTAATCGCAAAAGGATTTATTTTTCTCCACAGTAGCCAAAATCCTTGTAAACTGTCTTTGTAGTTAGTAAAATCCATGTTGTCTTGTGATCCAACATCTATTGCAAGTATGTATTTCGCCCCTAAGCTTCTCATGACATCAGCTACAATAATATCAGTAAGCTAAATTAAATATTTAGGTAGGTAGGTACCATTCAAACAAGTTAAATTTTATACTGGAAATGTACACAAATTGGTCTCTATGTTGGCGTTTTTTTTTTACACAATGGTCAATTTTACCATTGTGTACTTGGGCAAAAATAGTTCTTATACTATAACCTGGTAAATTATTTATGTATCCACCGTCCAATAATAAATGGCCATCGATTGGATCGCACAAGGGAGGCAAGTACCAGGATTGAGACATTGAAGACCGTACATAACGCCATAACGACCCTAGATAATGAAATATAAATTAACATAGGTAAGGTAACTCGGAGACGAAGTTTCGATATTTTTATATCCTATATTAAATATTAATTATTGGGTACCTACCGTGGGTGTGTATTCTCATTTCACTAGCAGTGATATCCGCAGTCACGGTAAAATAAGGTAACCACAGGTCTTCGATTTGTGTATCCCCAAAAGTTGAGATTAAAGTTGAATTGAAATATTGCCCTGTAAACACTGACGTAACTGGATAAGTCACATCCATTATATGTCGCCACCAGTATGTCATCGTCTAAAACATAATTGACTTGACGTAAGCCCAATAGTAGTTGCATTAGGTGAAATTTGAGGGGGAGGGAGACTTGGGTGTGCTTAGCCTTAGCAACTACACTTTATCCCAAAAATGTTTAAAATTTAGTCCAGGCGCAAAAATTAAGAAATTAGTAAAATATGTTAACAAAAAATATCAAAAATATAATTTAATTATAAAAAGTCATTTGATTGTTATGATTTATCATATTATTAGGGCGAGTTATAGTCGAGAAAATATTTAAAAATTATGTTTTCAAGTTTATGATCAAATGCTTATGGAACTAGAAGATAGATTTGAAGTCATATCTAAAATTTCTGGCGATTTTGTATTTCTGCGTGGTATAAGTTTAATGGTTAACTCTGTGGACTACATTCAAAAATGCCCATTTCATTTTCTCTTAATTATTTAACTGATCTAAATGCTTCTGAAATAAAATGTATGTCAATTATCAAGCGATTTCTCTTTTAACTGACTTGAAGAAGATAAACCCACTTCAATTAGTTCACGCACACACATAAATATTCTTTATAATATGTAGCTTTAAGTGTCTTTTTGACTTTGTTGATAGCTGGGGCTACATGTGAGAGATCATTTAGTTAAAGTTAAAGCTCATGACAAAATAGTTGAGGTCATGTTATGTACTTATATTCCGTTCTAAGGGATTCTATTTAGGAATTTGCTCTGACACTATAATCTTCGGATGCTACTAGGGTTATAATTATCATAAATCATTAGAGACAAACTAAATAAAAACATACTTTAGCCCATAATCTAGCTTTTCGTATCATCTGTAAGACATCTTTTTCGCTGCTAAAAATAGCTCCCATGAATGCACCAATGCTGACACCTCCGACCATGTCAATTGGAATACCGGCTTCCTTGGGAGTACGCAGTAGATACACAGTATGTAATTTTTAATATTATCTTCACTAGTATTTTATGAAATTGTATTGATCGTTGCAACAAACTTGAATTGCTTTAATCATCCCCATATGAGCGGAACCTCTTGCACCACCACCTCCTAGGACTAAGCCGATAGAAGTTCCAGTCAACCATCTTGCCAAACGAGAAAAATCCGAATGTATATTAACTTTGGGTGACTGTGCACATTTCCCCTTCAAACGTACGATTGTTTTTTTTTATCGATAGTAATACAAATTGATCGGTACATATACTTACTTCGTAGTTTAATACAGAACATCTGGAAAATAAATCTAGGGAACAACGTATATGATGGTGAGAAGAGACCCAAGACCGAATGTCTAACCAAGCCACCGTGTTGGTGGGTAAGCTAGCATTTTCTTTGCGCAACAAAACCAATTCTTTTTGTGTACGCAATGCTAAGCGTTCTATTTCTTTTTCGTACTGAAATAATACAATACAGACAGTTTTAATATTAATACGATAGTGCGAGTTGCTGCGGTATATATGAGTTGCTGTTGTGGTAATTAAGTAGTGACATTAACCTTCCCTATTGTGGGTCGTCTGTCTCCGAGGGTTACCAGCAGTATGCAATCAGCTTGCCGAATGCAACGTTGTGTCCACGGAGAAAATGTATCGTCACACTGGTATAAGACTATTTTGTGGTGATCTTCTTGGTAGGCCAGCCAAGTGGTTAGCCGATATTCGTTGCTGTGCTCCATAATGGCTGATCCTAAAACATTCCTTACATAATCCGATGTCAACCGAAGAGTAGACCCAATGGCACATAACGAATGGTACAATTCGTACGTAAAACTTGTCAAGGGCACGTCTTCCAATATGGGCACAATGGCGATATTTGAAAAATTGCTCTGAGACGGTCTGGTGTCAACCGTTTTACTAACTGTAGATTTTTTCCACGTGCCTACGAAATTGCATAAATGCAAGTAAAAAGTATAAAGTAATTACTGCATTAAAATTTTCCGGGTACGGCCACAGCCCACAGGCCACAGAACTATGGCAACCGTTATACTTCTCATGACCCAATTACCAACCAATACACCACTTATATGATAATTATAACTCTAATTACTAATGTTACCTAAAATCGTGCGACCGAGAAGATTATAGACCGTAGAACCGACTACCGGAAACCGTATTTTAATTGCGTTAAATAAGCCTTTGGGCAATTTAGCAAGTTCCGAGTCTCTAACAGCTATCAGCGTAGTACTTCGAGGCGTTTCAGTGCCAACTTCTACCTGTGCAATGACAATATTGAAACGATAAAAGAATCTTTAAGTTAAATTTAAATCCCAACAATTCCAACAAGATCTCCTTTCCCGTATTCGGCGACCAATTCTTTTTTCATATTATCTTGAGTAATAACCGAACGTAATCGTCCACTCAATACAATAAATATACCATCCGATTCGTCGCCTTGCCTAAAACCGTGATTACCTATTAATTAACATTGTTCTGGAATATAATGGATTGTTTTAAATGGATGTAAATGAAGTAATTTGGAATTATGTCTTTGTCAGGAAATTAAAATACAATGACTTGGGACAACGACGAAAGAGGAGAGGAAAATAACATAGTGAACTGGATAAATAGGATTAGTCTAACGTTGTTTAATGGCAAACGTAGACCGAAGAAAAAAGCAAGACTTTACATGGAGGTACATAGAGTAGATAGAGAAGTGGTGACGGGTCCAGAAATATGGTTATAAATGTAAAGTACAAGACAAGGAAGAAGAAAATTTCGAAATTAAGATTAATCCGTTTTTTTGGAGATTTTAATTTAATTAGTACTTTAAGTGATTTGAGAAAAAAATATTCTAAAAGTGCATGTTTGAGTGATTCTGAACCCGGTCAAAAACAGAAGGTTTACTATATTATGTTATTAATTTACCTATATACAGCACGTCCGCTTTCGATGAACAACCATTCCAAAGCAAAATCTACTTGACGCACAAAAGGTGGTAGCAAAGCAATAACAGTGTTCGCAATTGGCAAAATAATTTTTTGATTTTCACGCATTAGTCTATGTTAGTTGAAATTCAAATGTATATCTGTATTTTAAATTATGTAACGTGTGTATACACTCATTGTTGGTAATCCAACTTACTCATAAATTGTATCCTTGGATAATATTGCAATGACACTTGGGCTACTAGTCTTAAAAGACAAGAACCCTATTTCTTCGGTGAGAACGGCCAAACCCCCAATAATATTACCCGGATTTATGGTACAAATTTGAGCCTGAGTTAATCCTTCGGGATCGATTTTCCGAAATACTGTGATAGATCCATCTAATAATAAAACCAAGGCTGTTTCCTATGTACAATATATTATATCATAATCAAATAATCTCAATTATTCAAATTTTGCATTATTATTATTTTTAGGGAATAAGACAAAATACCAAACTATACATATTTCAAATATAAATAAATTAGTATTACTAACAATGTACTGTTAAATAGTAAAAAAAAAAATGTTCGTAGCAAAATCATTAACAGAATCTCACCATAAATACATTTTCGTTCATCAAATCTGAGTTAGTTGGTATATTATGAATTTCTACTTTCCCTGATATTAGTTGATCATCATTTAGTTCTAACTCTTTCATAAAAATATGTGTTCCCCTTTTAAGATATTCCTCGTTGGAATTTTCAATTGTATCATCATAATTATTATCTCTTGTTAAATCGATTTCTAAAATACATATAAAATTATTATTACCATCGAATTTAATTTAACGTGTTCTATATTAACTTAATTAGCAATTTTTTACAGTACAAATTCTTAAAAATAATATAATAAATAAACAAATTAAATTATTTAAAAAAACTAATATTTAGCTTACCTTGATTTGACGTATTATTTGTATAACTTACTAAACTCTCGAAATTGTTCCCTATATTTTCCTTAAAAAATAATTACACAAACCTTATGTAGAGTAGGTACTATTTTACAGCCATAACAATATTAGTTTGTAAGGTTTTTACATGGACATACATTTTGAGGTATTTCTGTTGAAAGGCCTAAATACTGGTATAGAGCCGCGAATGTAACTCTCTGCAGACGAACCATAGTCACCTGAATGATTTGTATTAACGAATCTGGATAATCTTTTAAAACTTCTTGAAATGCCGCAACGGGCAATCGTACAACGGTACTATCTTCAACAGCTCGCGCACTGATGGTTCTATATGGTTTTGTATGACCCTGTAAAACTTTATCTTGGTAAGACAACACATTTATGCTCAGTCATGATCAAAGAGCTCCCGCAGGGAGGGGCAGGAAAAGGACAACTCCCCCCTAGATTTTCTGCAAGTTAAAAAAAATATATCCAATATCCCAAATTTGCAAAATCATAGGCCCCCCCCAATTTAAATTTTTACCTGCGGGTACCCTTGTTCATGATCCTTTTTAATATTTTCCCATGTTCTCATAATATATAATACTGATGAGACCTGTAGACCTGTAGACCTGTGACCTTCCCTGGCCCAATATGTTCCATCCCACATTTACTCATAATAATTAATATAATTAGATAATACCGCGATTAGTGTATACTTACAGTGAGTACATCAGTAATACTTAACAAAGAAGCAATACTGTCGCCAGATTTTACTAATTTCAGAGGAATAGTACTGCCGTCCACTAATGTAATGTTCAAGCTGACTGATCCACTTTTGACAACAAAAACATTTTCATCTGGATCACCCATTTTAAACAAATAAAACCCTGCGGGTACATTTATAGTTTCAGTGTGTCGACAGAGTTCAGTGAATATTGCTTTGGAAAATAAACCAAATATCCTACAATTGTAATATTTTATACTGGCGTTAGTTTTAAATACACATATACGTACTTGTAAAAAACGAAAACTTTTAGAAATTAACTAACCTAATGCTCTGTAACATATAATAGGCATCTGGAGAATTATGTACATCGTCTTTTTTTATTGACTCTTCTTCCAGGTATTCAGCAGGATATTCTAGTACCTTAGGTGGAAATAAATAGAAAAAAAAACATCACTTCCGAGAATAAAGTTTGATTTTAAAATGCAAGTTGCAACGTTATTTTAAGATAGTAAAATAAGATATAAGATATAAGATAGAATAATACAAAAAACATTGGAAAGTATTCGAGTAAATTGAAGCAGACATTTGTAAATGGATTTAGCCAATGACTGAACTATCGAGTTTATGTTCAGAGGCACTTTAGTCTTTATTAATTATAACTGAAGTTCAGATATTATACTTATATTACTGTTATGTTAAACTAAATTAAAAAAATATCTATGATAAAGAATTTATTAATAGCCTCACGTTTAATCTTAAAGGCATCGTATCTTTTCGCATTTGTAGTAAACGGCGAGAACATTTAATTAAGAACATTCTTTTCTTTTCTTCACTGATTCCTTGGTGAGATATAGCTATCACCTGGAATATTGGAGATAAATTAAATTACGAGAAAAATTCTTGAGTTTGCTATAATATATTAGGTAGCTATTACATTCTAAATTTAATTCTAAAAATGATACACCCCGTTTAATTTGTAGACATTTTTTTTTATACAGCCTCAGGAGGAAATGTGCACATTACCTTTCTCAATATTTTACGACCATAAAGTATTATATTGATTTGCTTGTCCAATTTAGTTTTTATGGGATCATCCGTTATGTTCATAATTTGATGTTTCGAATCTAATAATCATATGTAATATTAGTTATCATATTGAACCATACAATTTGACAAACAACTATTTTTACAAATATTTAACGTCCATTTGTAATGTACAGCCACGAATATCATAAATATTACTGTTGATATTATTGTGCACGCCAACGCAATTAAAACCAACATTCTGTCTGCAAAGCGTACCTGATAGTATGGTTAGGTATTTATCTATCTATTATTTAATATTGAAGCACCTAGTACCTTAAGTAATGAACACAAATTATCAAATTAAAGAAACTAACTGTTTTGCAAAGGTGATTAGTGTTGTCATAGAAACCACCACAGTCGATATAATTGGCAAATAAACACGTTTTGGCAAAATCAATGTATACCTTCTTAAAAACGTTAATTAATATAATATTTTATTATAATTTTAAATGGATAATATGTGTTTGGGCTGGATACACAAATTATTTTTACGTTAGGCCATTGGAATCTTGTGTGTCTAGCGCGACCGGTTCAATCCCTGGCCATAAATCCAAATTTTTTTAATTTTTTTCAACCAGTTATTTTCGAATTATAAACTAAAATGATTGCTTTTTATACTTACAGTACTTTACAATACCTATATAAATTATAATTAACTGTAAATACAATAATTTTAAATTTATTTCAGGTAAAAATAATGTTTTAATTAAAAAAAATAAATACAGACATTATATACATATATTTATATTATTATAGGTATTATAAAATAAAATAATAATATATTAAATTTGTTCATTGATACCGTTAATTATGAATACCAAATTGTATTTATAATCAACGATTATTTCTATTTATATATCATACATACATAGTTTAAAGACATGGAAAGTCAACGAGAGTTGTTACGAATGAACAATAACAATAATAAAGCACCTTTAGCAAATTTATAGGAAAGAAGTTTCCCTTTAAATTTTTAAATTCTCAAGAAATGATTTATAAATGTATATATATAAATAATATATAATAAATTATTGTTTTTGTTAAAATTATATTTAACTTTAAACCAACTTTCTGGTATCACTGTACAATAGTTGAATACATATTTTTTTGATTTTTTCTGTGAGACGTTGTCGTTTCTTGGTTTCCAAATTGAAATGGAATTTTTCCTGCCAATTTTAAACCGGCGAAATATGTTTTGCCGTGTTGATAGCCAACTTCCTAAATTTGTGTAATGGATTCATATTAAAATTAAACAATAATAACATAATTTAAAAACTATTATTATGATGTTTTTTTTTTATCTTATAATATATTGAATACAATTTATTACTTTTATTTCTTCAAAGCTTGCAAATTGAAGAGTTTTATATTTGTCGATTGGTGGCCTTATATATTGACAGTAATCACAACTTTTTACAATCTAAATTTAAAACAGATGACATAATTATTTAACTAGAACTAAATATAAATATTTTCATGACAGGAGCATACCTCGAGTTGGCGAACACAAGAAATGTATGCCAATCGAGATTGTATATCTGGAAGACTTGGGACTTTGACTGATGCGGTAAATGGATTTAACTTTTTCCATACCAACCAAAATCCTGATAAACTGTCTCCATAGTTTGTAAAGTCCATATCGTCTTGTGATCCTACGTCTATAGCGAGTACATACTTGGCACCTTGACTTCTCATAACATCCGCTAAAAGTCATTAAAATAATTAATTAATTAATTAATCATTTTTTTACAATACTTTTTCAATACAATAATGTTTTTATAATATATATTCGTGTAACACGTGTTTTAACACAAACCTCATGTCGTTTGATAGATATTAATTATTTTTTAACTTATCTGTAAGCGCATTTACATAAATATAGACCATTTATAATTTCATCAGTTGATAAATCAATAATGAACAAGTCCAAACTCCAAATACCAATTAAGAAAACATACAGTTTAATACGATTCTAGCTTCCATGTAATACTTGATATTACACCTCAAAATTAACAAGTCAAATGAAGAATGCTTTTCAGAAATTAAAAATGGTTTCAAATCCAAAATTTACCTTATATTTGTTATAACTATAACAAATATCGATTAAAACTATTCTGGCAATACATTAATAAGTTGTCATGCAGTAGCAAATAAACTTTTAAAAAAGATAAAAATGGCGCTAAAACAGGCCATTTAATCTCCTATATATAAAAATTGTACACAATTAGGTCATAGTTTTTAAGTGACATTTTTTTTTCTATTGTAAATTCCTTTCTGATTTAGGCAAATGAACAAAAAATACTTATAATGCATTTTTGTTTCAATAAAAACCTAGTCTAGATAATTGGTAATTATAATATACATACCCTTCTTTGGCGTTAATACATAGCTCGAAAGGTATTTATCAGTAAAGTGACACATGGTACATATATATATATATATTATTACAAGGTCAAGTTACAGACAGGACAATTACTGAGGTTAAACATGTAGAAACATCAGACTTTAGATACTTTACCTGGAAGGTTATTCACATAACTTCCGTCAATAAGTAAATGTCCATCGTCTGAATCACAAATAGGAGGAAGTAAACCCGCTATCGACATACTTGCTCGTACATTTCGCCAGATGGTGCCTGTCTACCACATATAACACATACATACATATACACCTCCGAAAAAAAAAATGTTTATCCATTTTTTTCTTTAAATAAGGAACACCACACACTTTTAGACTAATCTATGACACACAAGTGTGGGAAACTCTACACAGGATGAAAAAAATCAGTTTGACCCACAGAACAAATATAATTTCAACAATGCTCGATCCAGTATAATTTTAACATACCCTAACAGATTGCTCACAATGGCAATTACAATAAAATCCATCATTATACAATTATTGAAATAGTTTATAATATGTTTGTTTAATTTTTAAGGTTGTGTAGTACTTTAATTAGTTATCCTATACAAATAATTTGCTAGGTGATGAAAATTTGCTATCTGTTTAAAATTGTTTTATTTTATATAAGCTCTAACTACTTGAACCATTAACACTATAATTATTTTTGGTGGATTTTTTAATATTTGTTATTTGTACGATAACTCCATTTAAAATCAGCTTAAGTCTAACTTTTTTTTATAATAATAATTTTTGAAGAAGCTAAAAAATTTGTTACCTGAATGTTTACTAATGGATTCTAAAACTTAAAAGCACATTGACATAAGCCAATAAGATACGTAGCAAGAAAAACCAAAATTACTCAAAATTGTAAGAATTATAAACAAGGTAAGGTCTTAATGTTAATAAAATAAAAAACAAACTAATTTAAATTATAAACAATGTTAATCTTACATTAGCCAGTTTTATTATAAAATTATTTTCAAGACCGTCAACACATCAAAAATTCAAGAAAAAAACTTTTTTTTTTATATTTCTTTTCAGATTTTTAAAATAAGACAACAGAGGATAAAATCCAAGTCAAGACAATAACGCAAGCAATTACACAAGATATGCTACTAAAATAAATGCGCATTAATGCTAATTGCTATAATTTTTTTACTTTCATACATTTCTCTTAAAGTTTAATTTATTAAAATGAAGTGATTGATTTACCTGGTAAATTATTTATGTAGCCACCATCCAATAATAAATGACCGTCAATTGGATCGCATAACGGTGGCATGTATCCAGAGAGAGACATTGATGACCGAACATAGCGCCACAACGATCCTAAAATATAAAATTCCCCTTTACTTTTGGTATTTTAACTCTTACTGAAGAAAAAACCATTAAAATAAATATTAAAGTCTTGTTTTTTTAGTAAATCAATCACAGTTTCATTATAATAATTATCTACAAAAACTATAATTTATAAATTATGTTTGTTGTTAACTGGTATGTACGGTCTTTATTACTACTAATTAAAATGCACATTTGATTTTAGTGTTTAAGTATTAATTCGATTAGCCGAATTATATTATGAAAAATATTAAATGTGGGTTACATTAATGTGTAATACTAGTAATGGTTTTAATTATAGCAATTTAAAAAATAATTATTTTGAATTCAGGTAACCACTTTAGGCAAATACTAATATTAAAATAAAACAATAAGTTAACAAAAAAAAAAAAAAGTGAAAAAAAAATTATTTTATTAATTAAAAAATATATTCCTAAATGAGCAGGGCTGATTTTTAAGAGGTCGGGCTCGTCTTTGTTTTGGTATTTATTTTTTATTTTTCAGTTTTTAAAATTAACAAAAAAAAAATGAAATTTAAAATTATGTATTTTTACAACAAAAAGTTGTACTTATTATATTTATACCGGGGCATAAAAATGTTAAAAATTTTCGTCAAAACGTAGTCAATAACAAGAGTATTAGTATCACAAACATGAGTTAACATAATACAATTGTTAACCCATAACAAATGAATGAAAACGAGACAAAACAAATTTTAATGATAAGAGACTGACATTTCCTAGAACTGTTTACATATATTAAACAAGACTTTTTTTGCAATAATATTATAAAATAGTTAAAGTTGAAGGTATAACTAACAGTGCAACTAAATAATGTTTCAATAACGAATAGCTATAAACGTGAAATACAAGTTTAGTTTAGATGCGTAATACTAATAAGTAACACTCATTTTTTCTTCCTTCAAATTTAAGCCCTGGTTTATAGTGTTTTTTATACATTTATATATTTTTTTATTTGAATGATTAAAATTATAATTTTTTGCTTAATGATTTGTTAATAAAAATTTTATTTGTTCAAAATGATTGGAATGACTTTAGCTAAAATCCTATGAAATTAATAAAAGAAAAAAATGGATAATTTTGAAATTAACTTATTTTGGTTTATAATAATATAATATGCATTCAATACAAAAAATTGTATTTGTATACCGTGTGTGTGTATTCTCATTTCGCTTGCCGATATATCTGTGGTAATAGTAAAATATGGTATCCATAAGTCTTCGATTTGGGTATCACCAAATGTTGAGATCAATGTGAAATTAAAATCTTTTCCGCTAAACATTGATGTTACTGGATATGTCAAATCCAAAATTTGGCGCCACCAATGAGTCATGCTCTAAAAAAATCAAACATTAAACAAATTAAAAAAATTATTTGTATTAAAAAATTTTTGTTTTTTCATTTAGAGGTAGAACTATAAAGGTATTCACGAATTTGGAATAAGCACATAATACTGTTATAAAAATACTATAATTAGTGATCCGATTAAAACTTTCTTAATTTTTATTATTTTTATCTCATAGCTTTGACAATAAGCACTAAAAGACTTTTATACTTTAGCCCAATGTCCAGCTTTTCGAATCATGCCTATGATATCTCGTTCGCCGCACCATACAGCACCCATAAAAGCACCAATACTAACTCCACCAACCATATCAATAGGAATACCAGCTTCCTGGAAGAAGATAAACAATACATTTGTGATTTATAATTTATGCTTCAATATATTTTTAACAAAACTATTAATAATTTGGATAAACTTTAGTCTACGATAACTTCATACTTGTATAGCTTTAATCATTCCTATATGTGCAGCTCCTCTTGCACCGCCACCTCCCAATACTATTCCAACAGAAGTTCCGGTTAACCATCTCGCTAAACGACAGAAGTCTGAATGTATGTTTACTTGGGTTTGCAGTCTTTTTTCATATTGGTCATTCTAATAGAAACCGTTATTGGAATAGGATTAAAACGTTATTTCAAAATAAATGTACAAAACAAATTGCTTTTAATGTTTATTTTAAAATAGCCACTATAACTTTTATGATCATTGTATGTTAAAACCAAAAAACTTACAATACTCGAAACCGAACGTTTGGTAAATATACGCTTTGGACATTGTATATGATGATGCGAAGAGACCCACGATCGTATGTTTAACCAATCAACAGTATTGTTGGGTAAATCCGATTCTTCTCTGTGTAACAAAACAAGTTCTTTTTGGGTGCGAAGTGCTAAGCGTTCAATTTCTTTTTCGTACTAAAAAATAAAACACAACCAATGAAAATAATATTTTTTTTAAAGAAAATTTTTCTAACATCAATATTATAAAATTGTCGAAGCTCATGGTTCAAGTTTATTATTTTTATTTTTCACTTTTTTTAATATTCATAATATATTAACGGTGAACAAAAGGGCATCATTTTTTGGTACTTGGATGTAAATAGACATTGTTTTCTATCAGTTGCTTACTCATACTCACATTGATATGGTAAGTTTTCAAAAGTATTTATCCACTTTTAAGATTTTGGCTAAGCGTTAACATTATGACTTTTATTAGAGCGTATCATTTAAAAAAAACTTAAAAAAAAACATTTTTGTAAGTACTACCATATAAAAAAATGTAAGACCTGCCCAAGTACACAACAATCTTTTTTTTTTCTTAGGTAAAAACTTAATAAATATGATACATATATTTACACAATAAATGTGGGGTAAACATCAAATTAACTTTATTTTTTACCTATTTTCAATAAGAAAAATATTTTTTTAAAGTATAGATTTATTGAAGTATTACTATGCATATAAAATTAAATAGCGAAACTAAACTTTTCTTTTCCAAATGTTATTCAGTTTTTTGATCCTACTGTAAAATTGTATTGACGTCTGTCATCCATTAAAATTACATCACTTGTAATTTGTTAACAATAGACACTAAAGTGACTCATTGTAGTAAACCTTGTAAGTTCAACAAGGATTAACCCTATTAAAATAAATATGTTAATTTCTTTTTCAACTCGCCTTTCCAATGGTTGGTTCTTTATTTCCTAGCGTTACAAGTAGTATACAATCAGCCTGTCGAATGCAACGTTGTGTCCAAGGTGAAAACGAGTAGTCACATTGATAAATATTTATTTTGTGCTGATCTTCTTGGTGAGCTAGCCAAGTAGTTAGCCGGTATTCGTTATTGTAGTCCATTATGGATTTCCCTAAGATACTTCGAACATAATCTGAAGTCAGTCGTAGAGTTGACCCGATTGAACACAAAGAATGATACAGCTCGTACGTAAAACAAGTAAGTGGTACGTCTTCAGACAAAGGTACAATAGCAATAGTGGAAATATTACTCTGAGTTGGCCTTGTGTCTACTGTTTTACCGATTGTGGGTTTTTGCCAAGTACCTAAGAATGGTTCAACAATTAATCAGTTTTTCAGACTATGTCGTAATACAATATGAGTACTACTATTAAATTATGAAAACCTTAACTCCACACACTTGTCTTTGTACAAATATTTTTACCTAAAATTCTGTGACCAAGTAAATTAATAAGTGTGGACACGACTCCAGGAAATCTCAGTTTTATGAAATTAAATAAACCTTCCGGTAATTTGGCTAGCTCTGAATCTCGAACAGCCATAACTGTTGTTCCTCGAGGCATTTTGGTAACCACTTCAACCTATTTAAAAAAAATGAACCAAATTTAAATTGTCACATTAAATGATAATAATACCTAAGAGTTGATTCAAAAATGCTTACAATTCCGACAAGATCTCCTTTACCGTATTCGGCAACCAATTCCTTTTTGCCGTTTTCATGTGTTATTACTGACCGTAATCGTCCACTTAACACAATAAATGTGCTATCGGACTCTTCACCTTGCCTAAAAAAAATGAGTTATTAAAATTGAATTATTTGATAATAACACTACTATAAATATAAAGTAAAAAAGAAATAACTATATTTAATAAAATTACAAATATAATATATGAAATTATTATCTGTCTGAAACAAAAATCTCATATATTTTTTTACACACTTATATGTATATATTACCTGTAGACTGCTCGGCCACTCTCAATAAACAACCAATCCAAACCAAAATCCACTTGGCGTACAAACGGTGATAATCGAGTAACAACAGTTTGAGCAATAGGCAAAATAATCTGCGGCCTCTCTTTCATCATCCTTTTTTTTTTTTAAATAAAAAATTCATTGGTTATAATACATATTTAAACACAAATCGTTTTGCTAACAACCTCGAAAGGACTGAGGACACAGTATAAAACATTCAATACTAGTATTTGATATAAAAAATATTCAATTTTACTCAATAAAATTTTATTCATAAATAAAACAGTAACTATGTCTGTATACTGTAGCATATAACCACTACAGGATTTGTGTCAAGTGTTAAATTTGAATTAAAATTACGCCATTAATCAAAATATACAAATAGTATGACATTTTTGGTACACTAAAACAATGTAAAATACAACTATAAAACAATTCAAATTCGAACATTATAATAGAAAACAGGCATAATTACCAACTTTAGTTATAAATTGAGTTTATTTTATTAAAATTCTTATTTAGAAAACAATAAACAAACAACAATAATTTAATGAGAATAAAAGAAATTAATAACCTGTGTAAAATTAAGTAGGAGAAATATCAGGAAACGCTCGTACGTTGATACTGAGGAACAAAGAAATTAAGGACAAAGAACTTTAATTTATTGATTAAACGGATAACTTCATTAATTATTTTAACTTACGCATAGACTGTATTTTTAGATAAGATAGCAACAACACTAGGTCGATTGGTCCTATACGATAAAAAACCTGGTTCTCCCGATAGAATTGCTAAAGCTCCGACAATATCCCCAGGATTTACTGAATACATATGAGCTTCATTTATACCTTCCGAATCCATTTTTTGAGATACTATCATGGAACCATTCAACAACAAAACTAATGCTGCATCCTATTAAGGAAAAAAAACATTATAAAATTTTTAAAAATCACACACACTAAAACTCTCTGTATAGGGCTTTGAACCCGAATTATTAATTTGAATTAGTTTTAATTTGAGTTCAATAACCTAATTTTATACAAGCTAATTTTTTTTAATTTTTCAAATAATCACTAATGTAAAATTACAAAAAAAAATATTTTGAATTACTCTACAATTACACCACTAATTTTTTTAATATCATAAATTTGTTATGCCGTATATTAAAATTTTGTAAATCATATGTAAATAAAGGTAAGGGTAAGGTAAGCAGTCTAGTAACCTATTTGGTTAAGCGCAAAGCTCCAATTTTGGTTTCTGTTGAAGTCACAGCCCCTCCACAGAATTTTGTCGGCCTACGCTTATACGAATAATAAAAAAAAAACATACCTTATGAGAATCTTCTCTCATTATAAAGGTATTGTTTGGTATATTACGTATCTCTATTTTTTCTTGTAACAGATTATCGTTTTCCAATTTAAATTCCTTTTCAAAAACTTTTTTGGCAATTTTGAGATACCACTCGTTCTTGTCAGTTGTCAAATCATCATCGGTTATACAATTTTTTTTTGAATCCTTGTCGATAGTTGTGTTATTTTCTACAACAACCCAAATAAAACATATTAGAATTTATCACACAAATATTTCATAAAAAATTTTATTTTTTTTACAGAAAAAAAATCACCTTCTAAAAATAACGAATTAATTTTTGAAGCTGATATGAAAGGACTGATCTGATCGTCATCTGTACCCTGAAAAAAAGAAATAGAATGCATTAAGAGATAGATTATATTATATTACTACAAAATACTAAAATAAAAAATGGGAGCAATTGATTAAACATAATTTGTTTTTTTCACTTATCCCATTTTCTAATAACAAATAGTATAATAATAACCAACAATATGACTTACGTTTTGTACTAATTCAGTTGAAAGTCCTAGATACTGATGAAGAGCAGTGAACGTAACTCTTTGTAAGCGCACCATGATCACTTGAATGATTTGAATTAAAGAATCGGGATAATCAAGCAAAACTTCTTGGAATGCAGCCACGGGTAATCTGACTATTGTACTGTCTTCAACGGCTAGTGCACTAACTGTTTTGTATAATTTTTTGTTACCCTAAAAATAACGATCAACGATTCGTTTAGAAGAAAATATTTTATAATACAGTTATTGACGTCTGAATTATTCTTACAGTCAAAACATCGGTAAAACTTAATAACGATGCGATACTGTCACCAGTTTTCACTAGTTTCAAAGGAATTGTGCTGCCGTCGCTGGATTTAATATTCACACTAATTAGTCCACTTTGAACAACAAAAACATTTTCATCGAGATCACCAACATTAAATAAATGTGCACCTGCGTGTATGTTTAAAATTTCAGTATGACGGCACAACTTTAAAAATATTGGTTTTTCAAAATGGCCAAAAATCCTAGAAATAAATTACGTACATAAATATATGAATTTATAAATAATAAAACACGCATTGTTAAGTATTTCCATACAGTCATAAGTAGTATAAAATCCATTATTAAATTTAAATAGCAAAATATAAATGTAAATAATAATTATTAATAGTTTAACACACCGAATACTTTGCAACATATAAAACGCGTCAGGAGGAACATTTTGACCATCTTTCATGATCAATTCCTCTTCCAAATACTCGGCAGGCGGTTCTAATACCTAAAATTAAAACATAAAACATTATACGTTTTTTAAATTGAAGTTAATTTGTGTGGTCATTTAATATTGTATCGTAAAAATAGCACTACATGGCCATGCCATGCTACAAAAGACGACAGCAGTCTCTTTCTCTTTAAACAGTCATCGGCCCATAGAGAGAGAGACTACCCGTAGCTGAGTGCTGAATTAACAGTACGCTAATTGCCTAAGGCAATTACTCAGCCACTCGTCCTCCACTATGATAATAAAATGACAAAATAATCACTTGGTGTATTAAATAATGTATAGCAGTTGAGCTTAATAAAAATATTGAGATAACTTAATAATAAATAAAAGTGATTCATTAATTAATAATAATATTACATTTAAACGCTGAGGCAGAGTCTCTTTGCGCATTTGTAACAAACGGCGAGCAAATTTAATGACTAATTTCCTTTTTTTTCCTTGACCGTGAACTTGTCCAGATATGTTTTTCACCTAAAAAATATTTAGTATACAATTGTTATCTTATTTAATAAATGTTTATATAACAATTATTTTTTTTACAAAAACTACAATTTTATTCTTCTTACTAACTCATCGCGCATTTAGTGATAGTTTATATCAGTTGCCGTACCTGTATTTTAAATAGTACATTAAAATAGCGGTCTTACCTTTCTTAGCATTTTACGACCGTAAAACAATACTTTGTCCCTTTTGCGGAACCTCGTTTTTATTGGTGTAATAACATCTTTACCACGATAACCTAAATCTGTAACATAAAAAAATGAAAATGTAGGAATTTGATTTATAATTAATATATCCTAACTACAGTCGAAGGCTTTAATAAACATAATTAAAACAAATATTTTTGTACTCTTACTTTTAATTCGCCATTTGTAAAATAAAACTGTACACAATAAACTGAGAACTGTAGTTATTACACATCCAATTATTATTGTTAACATTTTCTAAAACAAAATATTAAATTTAATTAATTAATATTTCACAAATAGAATAACATATACAATGGTAGATTTTACGGTCATTTAATTATCAACTGTCTTTTGTCAATGAACCAAAATACGTACCAAGAATAATTCTGAAAGATGTGGCCATATTGCTTAATGTGTTTATTTAAGTCAAATTTTTATGAATTATAAGTTTAAAAAATGATATAATATCAATTTTTTATTTTATTTCAATTGAGAACAGGCACCGACAAAAAAGGAAAAAATAATTTTTTATTAGCCTGTGTGATATCCTTGGTTGATATGCGACAATAAATATTTATGAGGTTGGAAACACTTTGTGTATGTTTTCAAAACTGCTAAGGTCGACTTTATAAAAAAAAAACATGTCCCCTCTAAAACTTTTACTTTTTTATTTTTAAATATGCGTTTGTCATAGACAAAAGTCGAAAATGACTTAAATATATTATGTATATTAGCAACAGATAGTTCTATATAGAATACAAATAAAAACTAATGTTATTAGTAAAAAAAAAAAATATGTTACTACTATTTTGCAAAACCCGATAAAAAATGTATTATATGCTTTATTTTTAAAAGTCAAAAATCTACGATCTTACATTATGTCGATGCCAAATTTTATACATTCTATAACAAACATACAAGTACTTACTTCTGTTAACACATGTTGGTAAGTAGAAATTATCCATTTTCGTAATAACGTATAATTAATATCATTTTTCAAAGATAAAATTACATTTAACAGTTCCATCACGTCTTGTAAATTTATATCTCATTAATACAAAAAATTTAATTAAATAAATCGAAAAACAAATTAACGTGGTTGTGTGAAAACATTTGTTATTATTTACTGTAAAATATTGTTTTTGTTTTTTTCAACAGAGTAGGTGTATAATCTGCCCTCACTCCTCACTCTTTCGAGTTCCAACCATGACTAAATTGTTTACATCTACTTTAACGTCTCTATAATATTATGACTATAATAGCCATTAGCCATAATTTCTATGCTAAAAAAATATTTGTTATCATTACGTCACTATCAGTATTATGAATGAAATGTTCATAATAAATCATTATTTAACATCCAGCTGTTCTTTTCGTGTTGCCATGATTATTTGGATCATACAATATTTTTAATTTTAATACTTACTAATAATACACTTTACTTAGACGATACCGCTTTTACCGTAATCCTCCATGTCTATAGACTGTACTTCGTTCATTTGATAAATTGTATTTGCGTTTAATTAAAATAATGGACGTATTATAACTTTTATTTCCTTGCAACAATTAACTATGAAAATATATATATATATATATATATATATACGCGGGAACCTACACAAAATGCTACAAATTTTACTTTTGAGGTCAACGTACTTGGCTTATTTATTAAGGGCCATTATAGATTTTACATTATTATGATAAAAAAAAATGTGCTTAAAGATATATTACGATCTGTTATTTCACTGAGAATGAATAAATTTCCCTTTTTAAAAACTCTTCAAAGCTAGTCTGTTGATGGTAATCAATTAAACGTAAGACAATCATTTTCTCGTATAATAATTGCATTTTGTAGTTTTTCTTTTTGTTATTTTAAAATATTATACAATTGCCAATTACTAAATATGTACCTACCTATTCTAGTATTTTCTAGAGCTCTATCGATCTTTGAAACATTAATAATAACGTTATATTTGATATTTTTATTAACTTTCTAAATGGAGAATAATTCCCTAAAAATGTTTACTGGTCGATAACCAGTTTTGGATAACTACATATTATAAAGTTTAAAATTTAGGACGTGTAAAAGGGTGGAGTGCAGTAGATTTTCAATTATTCAAAAATTAATGTGTTGCTTAATAAAATTAAGTTTGAAAAAAAGTCCCCAAAAACTACCTTAAAAAAACTTAATAAAGAAGGATGCTTCTACCCCTTCTAAACGAAAGGGCAAATCACATATTTTTGTAATGGTATATCTAAAGTAAGGTTAAAAACAAATATAATTAATTCCCAATTAATCCCAATTAATTCTACTATTATTTGGGAAAATTATTGTAGCCCATATGGTTTAAAAACAGTAAAAATAAAATGTCAGTTTTAAAAAATGAGGATTTTCCGATTTTGAAAGTCAAGGGATGAATTTTTACTAATATTAGTCTTAGGCGGCGATCCGGATCGAAGTTAAATATGTTTGACGGTTTAAAGTAAAAATTATTATCAGTCATAAAAATATTGACAAATTTTTAACAGGTCTTTTACACGAGGGGGTTGTTCTGAGAAAGTGAAAACATTGAAAATGTAACTGAATGCAATGAAAACTTTTAAATGAGTCTTTATTATTATCTAAATAAAATATTATGATATTTGGTAAATTTTTAAATTATTTACTATCACAAATGAATGACGTGGTTAGTGTGATAACAAACCGCAAGTGAATTTTGATGGTACAAGTGGCGGTCAAATAATATGTGACTTGGCCAGATATTTATTCATTTTTAGTTTACTAATGTGTAAATATTATTTTCACAATAAAATTGATTGTATACGTTTTTAATGACACGTATATTATACTTGCATAGAGTATTTTCATACGTAAACTAATGTAACCGATATATTTTGCTCTTAATAATTATGAGTTCTCCAAAATTATTAGATTTTTTTTGTGTATTTATTTATTTGCTTCATTTATCATTAGGGCAATATGCACAGGCTCCGCCAGGTGTAAATCCCCAACTGTATCAACAGCAACAAGTATATTATTTTAATTTAATTGTATTTGTAATATTTTACTATTCGTGTATTTAACAGTAAAATGGGTATTATACTTTTTTATTATAGGTTCCGCAGCATATACCTTCAGCACAGAATATTCCCCATCAACAAGAAGTGCCTTACCAACAACATCCACAAGCTCAACAACAACACCAATCGGTGACTATTATTTAGTTGTATTATGTTAGAATCCCAATTGACTTGAAAAAAATGTATTGGTTTTACAAATGTGTTTTTTTTACAAACAAGTGTAGCTTATCATAATATTTGTTTCTTACATTGAAAACGTTTAAGTCTGTAGCACTTATGGTGTTTTTACTCGATAATGTACATAATATTATGAGCTAATAGTTTGAATAAATGTTTTAGAGTTATGGAACTCAAGATCAAACTCGTCAACCTCACACGCCTCATCATCAGCAGCAAGTGTTGCATGCGTCAAATATGGCTGAAGAGAGCGAGTATGTTTTCTTTTTTTTTCTATTCATAGGGTGATTTTTTTAAAATCCTCTTAGTATCTCATAGAGTTACTATCGTAACTAGTAGAATACTATCGTCTCCAGTTTATGACCTAAATAATTGTTTTATAGTAGAATAATGTAATTTAAAAACACATATATTATAAATTAGACATTTTTTTTTTTATATGAAATCTATAAATTGTATAAAGATATTTAAATATGTCAACATAATTTGTTTTTAAATAATTTTTAGACACATAAAAAAACACATGGAAATGCCACTAGATACAAGTAAAATGTCAGAACAGGAATTACAATTCCATTACTTCAAAATGCACGATGCAGATAATAATAACAAATTAGATGGATGTGAATTAATCAAATCACTTATTCATTGGCACGGTAACATATTTTGTTAATTATAAATACTTTATTGTTCTGCTAAATATGGTTGTTACTATTTTTTTTTCTGGTCCTGTTTTTTTCCCAATAACAATTATATTTTTTTAACACATAATATAAATTTTATTCATACAAAAAAGAAACATACACAATAAATGGTTAATGGATAAGAAGAAGAAGTTATAGAGAAAGAAGAAAGATACATACACAAAAAAGAATAATGTATAAACATGTTACATAGATTAGAAGAAGAAGAAGTTATAAAGATACATAAACAAAAAATAATTTACAAAAATGATAAATAGATAAGAAGAAGCAGATACTGGGATACATACACAAAAAGATATTATTAAGAACACATTCTTTGACATTGTTGGCATTTTCCGTTGAAGGCTTGAAGATAAGCGCTTGTGGTCGGTACTCTTCGGCGGACCTGTAATCGGAGTACAAGCCGCATGCTTTGAAAGCGGCCATACATGCAGCACTGTCAAAAGCGTTAAATGCCATTGATCGAACCCCTTTTCGTGCGGCCAATATGCCGCCGGCCAGAGCACTGCTGGTAATTGTATTCCAGGGGTCTTCCTTCTTCCTAATGCCGACCATTGTACATTCGATGGCCGCATACAGTATGTAGAAAATATTGGAATAGAATGGACAGTTGTGGGAGGAAAAAGAATATAATACATATTATAGTTAACAATAAAAATAGATTTTCTGTTGCTTTAGGTAAAACTATTTTTAAAAATGGCTTTGTAATACTTATACGAATACAATTATTATTAATATGCATAAATCAAATTTTGTGCAGGTGTAAATTTTAGCTATAATATTTAAAGAGATATCATTGTTGCCCACTGACCGTCATTCCCCCATGTTCCCCTAATTTTTTTATTTATTATATTTTATTTGTTCATTTTATACATCTTACTTTATTTATTATACATGGTAAATTAAGTTAATATAATTTTTTTTAGTTCAAGGTGGCAATGATCCAGCTCGAGGCAGTGCACCGCCGCCCGAAGATAAAGTTTTTACAGACGAAGAACTAATGCAGCTTATTGATCCAATTTTAACTATGGACGATGCCAATTTTGATGGATTCATTGATTACCCAGAGTTTGTTATAGCTCAAAATAAAGCAGCTAACAGTCATAAAAAACCAGCATAAAGTATATAAATAATAAATAAAATATATTTATACATTTTGGGAAGTATCTTTTTTTTAAAATAAATTGGAAATTCTTATGGAACGCAAATAAAAATTAATGTGTTTTAAAATATAATATTTTTTACAAATAAATTTAGAATTGTACATGAGTACATTTATTAATTATTTATAATAAATAATACAAAAAAAAAACAAGTACAATTTATTTTTTATAAGTTAAAAAGACTAAAAAAGTATACCTCTTGTTTAATTCAGAAATCACATTGACAGGTTAATGTGTACAGCTAAAGGCTAATCACTTAATTTTTTTTTATTAATACATTTTTTATTTTTTTTATATTTGAGTTTGTTCATTAACATCTCTACGTTTTCTTCAATACACTCGGTTGGTGGCTTATCAAGTTTACGTCCGATGAAGATTAGTCCAATCAACGTTAAACCTAATATATGTTATATAAATAATAAATGACGATATATTGTTATTTAAATGTATAATAACTGTGTGTGCTAATTTACCATTGAGAATAGTAGGAAACACAATAAAAAAATTCAATGTCGTTGAATGATAATACATAGCCTCGCTCAGATACAAAAATATGGAAATAACTATAGGCAACGCTCCAATACTAAACATTCTGAAAAAAAAAAAAGATATTTTTTAACAATGACTAAATTGATAATTAATGCTAAACATAATAAAATTTCTATTACAAAAATAACTGCTCATGTTTTGTGTTAAAATATACACACACTTTCTTAATAGTTCAAATTTAATCTAATAAAAACTGAAAATTGAAAAAACAATTTATGACATATAAAATTACTAGTTGTGTAATTCATATAAAGTATGGTGGTTTTAAGAATTTCTAAATAAATTTGAAAAAGAAACTTACGGTTTGTAATGAATAAATAATGAGCAATGGATTAAGCAAATAGCTTTGAGAAAAGAAAACATTCCAAGAACTCTTGGCAAAGTAGAATCTTCTGTAAATTATAAAAAACAAAGAATTAATATATAAAAATAAACAAGTCTTTACAATAATATTTTAATAATTTTTTAAGTCTATACAAATTATACATAATTCAAATTTAAATTTTCATAAAAATATCAATCTACTGTTTATTAAAAAACCCCAGTTTGGAAAATCGACTATAAATTTAAGTGGTATTAAACATAAGTTGCATTATAGAAAATTAATTTAATATTCAACAGTATATGAAGTTTCAAAAAATGGTTGGAAGTACACAACATTTTTTAAATAATTTGTATTTTTGTAAATCATTTGCAAATGACTAGGTAGATTACACGTTGGGGAGAAGCTATGCGCAAGCGGTCCCTCCCTGGACGTAAGTATTAAACAGAAAAAAGAAAAGATAGATTACATAGTCAGAATTGATTAATTAAAAATAAGAAAACGACTTAATATAATTGTATACCATGTATAAAATGTTCATCTGCTAATAAATTTGAGTGTATCCCCAAAATGCATTTGTTTTCAAAGTACGATCTGAACGTAACTCCTAGATCCATGAAAGCTACGAAAGCCAACCAACCGCGGAAAGCATAAAGTATTTTGTCCTCTACCATATTGTTTAACCATTTACTATGTAAATATTAATGATATAGTATAAATGTTCTATAATTCACTACAAAAATATACAAGATTGAATGTTACAATATGCATTTTAATTTTGCAAATAATTGACAGCACACAATATAAAAACTGATTTAACGGTTCACGAAAAATAAATCTATACTGAGGGATTACAAGAACATTTCAAGACTTATTGCACTAGATAAATAACATATACAGTTTTTTTCTAGGTAGGTCAAAAGAACATTTTTAAATAACAAAACTATGTACGTTTTAAAAATTATATCATAGAATGACCGAAGTGTCCTAAAACTATATAATAACCGTCTATAAAACATCTATCACAAATCTTTGGATTATTTAATTATTTCAAAAGTAACGTGCGCGATATAAAACAAGACCTCAATTCATATTTTTTAGAACATAATGCATAAATATTTCCACGAAATATGAAATCTAATATAAACAAAATATTACTCTACACCACGGTTGTAGACAACCGTGCTCTACACTATTGGCGTTTTGCGGTGAAAAATCAATAGGTATGTAAGCAACAAGGCTGCTGCTATTATCCTATAAGAAATACACAGCCGCCCGACCACAGCGACAACTACATTAATTTCCTTATCACAATTTGAAGACATACCTATTTACTTTACCAATGTATATAGTTTGTATTTTGTGTTATCAATTTTCACAATATGGCTGCTGTTCCTCATCGACTGTAGGGGCTCTCAATATTTTATTATTTTATTTACAATTATAAATAATTAAATTACATTTTGACCCATTATTTTTTGGCTTTATTTGTGTAATGTGTACGACCGACCACGTATGAACACACAATTTTTAATTTGAACGTTTCTTTAGTTGTTTAAAAAAAATTCTAATAATTAAAAAACATGTCTGCCCTAATGATTATGTTATCTATGAATTATGATAAGTGATAACATTACGCCTGCTGTTAGTGCTGTATAGTGTATACCATGTGCTATATAGTTATTAGTTTAATAATTTAATTGTAAATTGTAATTTGTAAACACTACTCAGTTTGCAGTAAGTAATAACTGTATTGTAAAATGCATTTAATTGTGACAATAGAATAGTAGTGACTAGTGATTGTAACTTCTAACTCTTTATTTGGAATAACATAGTAAATTCAGCAAACTTATTATTTTAACTCTAGTATCTGTTTTGCTAGTTTAGTTTTTATTATGAAGAAGAAAGGGCCTTTTATAAAAAATGGAGACTCTAAAAAAGTTAATAATCGTCGTGGAAGACTCATTATCCGAAATCTTCCATTCACTGTGAGTATAATATTCCATGCATTTAGAATCATTTTATAATTGTAATTACATTTATGGTAAATTTACGCATATTCATTAATTTTCTATTAGTAATTGATGAAATTAAACATTTGTGTTTAGTTCGAATTATATTGTCTTCTCTTTTGTTTATACAGACAAATGAAGAACAACTGCAAGAACATTTTTCCAAGTTTGGCGAATTAAATGATGTTAAACTACTGAAAAAACCTGATGGAAAACTCATTGGTTGTGGATTCGTACAGTTTGTTGTTAAACAAAATGCAGCTAAAGCTATTGCTCATACTAGTGGCAAAGATTTTTTGGGTAGGTAATTTACAAATGAATTATGCGAAAAAAATATTTTTAGGCTGTACATTATTATTAGGTTATAAAGTAAATAAAAAAATTGCAGCTAATGTTATAAATGTGAATAGGTCGTTCGATTGTAGTCGATTGGGCTATACCAAAGTGTAAATATGAAACCATCCACAAGCCAGCAGTTGAAGCTAAAAACACCATAAAAGAAGAAGTGGAAATCAAAGAAGAAACCTTATCAAGTGACGATAATGATGATGAAAAAAAAGAAGAAATCCATAAATCTAAAACTCTTGAAGATTATCTTGCTATTGAACCACAAAACGATGTTAAAGAGGAAAATTTAGTTGATTTTGAAGAAGGAGATTTAGAGTAAATTAATAATATTATTCTTCAATATTTTATATTAGACATAAAAAGTATTAATGTTAGTATTTGATTTTTAAGGAATGACACTAGTTTAAAAAGAAAGAACACTGAGGATAATGAATCTGTGACAACTACTGAAAATAAAAAAAGGTTCAAGTCACATGATGTCAAAGAAGGGTTGACGGTATTTTTAAGAAATGTTTCATTCAGTGTAAACAATGATGAATTGAAGCGTTTCTTAAAAGAAAAATTTGGACCAATATATTATGCTCTCGTTTGCATAGATCGATTGACAGAACATTCTAAAGGAACCGCTTTTGTTAAATTTAGAGTAAATATAAACAAAAAAAATTAAACTTTGTATTAATTTATTAGATAATTAAAGATAGAAGACTTCCTAAAGTGGTATAGAAACACAAGTTATAGATATGACTTCTTATAGAATAATGGTAAAGCATAGTGATCAGCTCAGTCCCGCCTGGCTCATTCTAATCCGATTTTGGCTCGATCCAATTATCTGGATTGGACTGCAATTGAAAATTTAAATAAATTGTTTATTGTTAATATATAAATTATAATATAAAAACATCTTTTTGGACCTGATTAGATTGAGATTACATTTTTTCGGAACGAACCTGGCTGGGATAAAAACAATTTTTATTGGATTGAGATTTCATTTTTAAAAACAATTTCTGATTGCTAATCTTAAAAAGCATCTGCCCTGTACATTTTTTTTACACACAATATTTTATTAAATCAATATAAAACACAATAGACAGACTTATCAAGAAATCTCACAATAGAAACACTTTAACATGATTAAATGAATAATAGATTATTGGTCAATACTATAACTGCAGATTAGAAATTCAAAATCTACAAAGAATAACAAAACTGAAAAACTAATAAGCATAACATAATAGAACAATATTTTTTACTAATGTTATTTTATATGATTCAGGATACTAATAGTGTCGAAGCATGTATGTCTGCTAGCCCTGAAGATTTGACGTTAAATGGATCGACAATGGAACCTCAGATGGCCATCGATAAAGACGTTTTGGAAAAATCAAAACATGAGAAATTCACACACAAAGATAACAGAAATTTGTATCTTATTAAAGAAGGAGGTAATTAATCTACAATTTTTGGTTAATTAGCATGTTTTTTAATCATAAGTTTTCATTGAACTGTTTGAGTGCGTGTTTAACAACAAACCAATTATTTTTTTCAAAATCAAAAATATAGTATAGTTCAATTTGTTAAGTTATTTCATTGATATTATAGTCATAATTGCCGGTACTGCTGCTGCTAATGGTGTGTCGGTGAGCGATATGAACAAACGCCTAGAACTAGAACAATGGAAGTCTCAAGTTCTAAAAAATTTAAATATGTTTGTCGCTCGCAACAGGCTTATTGTGCATAACTTACCGGCAAGTATGGATAATAAAAATCTTAAAGATTTGTTCATAAAACATTCTCATCCGAAAGCGGTTTTAAAAGTGAGTTATAACATTACAATTGAAATACCAATACCAATACCTAAAAAAAAAAATCTTTTTCAGGCTGTAGTTATGAAAAATCTAAAAAAAATTGATGCTAAAGAAAATCCTGTCTCTAAAGAGTATGGATTTGTTACATTTAAAGAGCACGAAGATGCTTTAAAAGCACTAAGAGCAATCAATAATAATCCAAATATTTTTCACCCAAACAAGGTAATATGAACTAAAGTTCCCAAGGTTTGATTTCCTTCCACTAAGATACATAATTTACTTGCCCGTTCCATACAAATTAAATTATTATTGAAAAGGTTTTTTATTTTCATAACATAATTTTATCATTTTAATTGTGGGACGAAGTGGCCGAGTGGACTAGGTGGCGGTTCTAATGCACGCACTGTTGCCAGTTCGAACTCGGCCCCGGGCGGCATCTCTCCTTGGGCAAACAACTGTCTAGGGAAAGAGGCCGCCATTCTCCCACTAAAAACTTGGCAGAAACTTACGGGTGACCTGCCCATTTTGCCAAGCAGGCGTCCAACTTAAGCCTCCCGGACATTACGCCATATACACAAAACAAATTTTAATTGTGTAAAAATTGTTTTTTTTGTTTACAAATTTTTAGAGGCCAATTGTAGCTTTTTCTATTGAAAATAGATTAGTATTGCAAGCAAGACAAAGAAGAATAGACAAAAGTAAAATGTGTAATGTTTTAAATAATAAGAAACATGACCAAGTTATAAAAAATAAAAATGAAAAAATTGATCACAAAAATAAAAAACAAAATTTTGTCGACAAAAAAGCAACAAAAAGTGACCTTCCTAACTACTCTGGTATTACTGCTAGACAAGTAAGTAACAAATTTTTAACTGTAAAAGAAATATTCGGGTCGTGTGCTAATAGAATTCCAATTTGTTTCAAAGGGTCATATGGCCATTCGCCCCAAGTTCAAGTTAAAGATACAATCCGAAGCTCATGAAAAAAATGTTAGAACCAAAAAGAAATTAACTATGAAGAAGAAGCAACAACTGTCTATAAGAAATGAAAAGAAAAGAGAACCCAAGGTGTGTGTATATATATATATATATTTACTCGACGGTCCATATGAATACTAGTATTATGTTAATTACCAATGAAAAAAATCATACTTCGGCTTGTATAAACTGATGTGTTTTTTTTTGTTCGCAACTGTGCTAACTTGATACATTTCCAATGGAATGTCACACTCAACTTTTACACACAACCAATATTTGTTGATTATATTTAAAAAAAAAATATGTACATTTCTTTTTCAGATTAAAAGTAAAAAGAAGAACGTGGGTAAACAAGATGTTTCATTTACAAATTTAGTTAATAAATATAAATCCAAGATTAGTGCACCGGAAACTTTGAAAAAATGGTACGAAACCAAATAGTACATAATATGTTTTTTTTCTGTTAATGTATTCACTATAATATATTCAAATTTAACTGTTTTGAATTGCCTAAGTTTTTTTTTGATAAATTTATAATCTTTATCGTTTTACTAACTTAACATATAGATTTAGTTAGGTTTTGATTTAGCAACACGAGATGATTGCAGCTAGCTACCAGTATAATACTGATAAAACAACGGTTTGGTTTACTTTCAGTATAGTTTAACGTAACAAGTTGTTTTACAACTTTTACTCAATGCATTTTGTACTTGGAAAATTATTTTTTATTAGTTGAAAATAGTTTACAAAATCTATTTTCTAAAACCACCGTTTTTCCAAATAATTTTTTTGGACAATTTATCCATTTTGTTATGTAAATATCTAAATTGGCTATGATAGTCTTTTAATACTGTCTTTGAAAAAATTGTATGATGGAAAACTGTTTAGCTTGAGTACTTTTTATTAATTTATACTAAAAAAATACCCTTCTTGGCTTTAATTTGTAGCAAAAAAAAAATATTCATAAGTACGGGGGTTATCCTAGCTTAAGACAATACCAAATAAACAACAATTAAAAAATTAAGAATACTTTTACTATTAAGAATAAGTTGTTTTCAAATTGTAATGTAATTTTATAAATGAGTTTCACCATTTTTAGGAATAGATAGTAAAATGTGTCTGGAACTTAACCCATCTTTTTACTTTTTGACCTCCAAAAAATACCAATTGAATAGTTTCTGATCAATTGGCTGTACTTATATTGGCCAAGTAGTAAAGAGATTATTTAATCTTTTAACATAACAATAAACATAAAAATAATATTAAATGTATATTTAACAATTTACATATAAAAATAAATTAATATAAAAACAATTAAAAAAAATATTTCATTTAAATAATGATTAATATAAAATGTAATTTGTAAATAATAAATACATAAAATATAAAAATAATTATTGTCAAGTCGTGCAAATAATGTATAAGTTCAATGATAGGCTACTAAAATGATCTTCGAAGAATAGACCAATGTCCATTGGTCAATTTAACTTTTTAATATTTATTATATTTAAACAAGAATTAACATAATACAACAAACAACAAGAGAGACTTTTTGCGACGTCTACAGTTCATAATTCAATTAATATAAAATGTAATAATCAATTGCTAAGGTATGGTCAGTGTCAAAATGTTACCGAGAATTGATCATAAGGCACAATAACACTTAAATGGCATTCCGGCATTAAAAGGGAATATAATTTAATACAAAACACAACTTCTATATTATGGTAATTACAAAACGATGTTTATTCAGGTCTAGTCCACAATTGCAGACCAGTGATCTCGATCACAAACTCCACTTGAATGTCGAATTTGACAACAAACTAACAGTAAATTAAATACTATCAGTTGTTGATGTCCAATAAATATTGTTGAAAAGCTTGTTTCGCATAATGCCTGAGAAAAAAAAAGTATATGTATTAAATAAAACAAAATTATATTTTGGTAAAAGTTAACTAGAGTACAATAATATTTTCAAGCATATTGATGATTAAATAATAATTAAAAATCAATGCCGAGTTTTGAGTAAGTATATAAAAAAAAATTATTTTTATGATAAAGTTTTGTACCATTGCAGGTTTTTTCTACTAAGTACTTCAATAACGATTCAAATTTTTAGTTTAGAAATGTAATTCTAGTAAACAAATTAATGTTTTTTTTTAAAGTTCTGTTTATCTTAGTGTAAAACATTTAACCATTTTTAGAAGTTTTTGGAAATTTTTAAACGGAAGTATGCATACATTGAAGTTTAACTAACACTAGCTATAGTAGAATATTTTAAGTGGACGTTTATTTTAAAAGCTGACTTAATATTTATTATTTAGCACGATATTTTTACCTGATCGTTATCATGTTATGTTTTATTGGATATGCTAAACACATTGTCAGTCCATTTGAATGTAATGCGTAAAAATTATGGTTTTTCCCCACACCTGATATTTCTCCGACTGTCTCATCATCTACATAAACAAAATTATAATTTTAAGAAAATATTAAAAACAAAAGCTAATAATTAATTAAAAAATATACAAAACCTTTTACAAGGCGCGATGCAACCGTTTCATAAAAATGTTGTAATTCACTTTGTACACTCGTATTTAAATAATAATAATTTTGTATAAACTGTGACGTGTTTGTATTTATAAAAATGTATCTAAATATGTAAAAAAAAAAAATGATTAAAACTTAACAGTTATTTTTTCCACAAATTTATAATCGAATATTTTAAAAATATTTTGCAATTTAGTATTACCCAGAAGCGAGCTCGATTTTCGTGTGATTTGGTCGAAAATAACTTATAATCGATCTGAATAATTTTGCTGCACTGATTTCAATATTATCTAAATTTGGTAAGGGTCCACAAATACCAGCTATCCATACACCCTGTACTATCATACAACATACAAGCCTTAATAAGGACTGAAACACATAAATAATACATAATTTATCATACTGAGCATAGCATAGGTTCTGAAAACTATAGGAGTAAAAAAAAAATATTTTGCAACCAACTCTCCGTGTCTTATTTGTTAAATCGTTGAAAGGTTAATATTGAAAAAATTAAGTTCTAATACATAATTAGTGTTGCAAAAGGAATGTACTTTTAGTTTGAAATAAATTCAAATCATGCTTATTATTACCTTATTAGATAAATGAGGTAAAAAAATAGGAAAGTCTGCAGATGTATTTAACTCGTAACAATTACTTATAATAATTGTAACCAAAAGCTTTCGATCGTTAATATGCAAATTCCACCAATCATTTGTAGCAGCACAAACTTTCTTGTCAACGATGATCCAACACAAATCGCTACAAATTATTTCTGACCAACTGCACAAACAACTCTAAAAACAATACGTAATAATATTATGTTAACGACGTACCAGGCTTAGAACATAATCCTCCATTGATTTTCGGTCACACTTAAATAAAGTTTGACTGACGTACATTTTTTACCTGAGTCATAGTGTGACTGGTCTACAACTGTAGACCACCCGCCTAATGAAAGGATAAAAAAAATATTATTTACTTGTATCACTTTGTTCTCTTTCAACGATTGTACTTCAATTGAACTTATTAAATTTTTTTCTATAGATCCTGACCTTAATATGTTTGATAAATGATCGATAATAGGAATACACGGCTACAAAATAAAATTATTTATAATTTTTTATCACGACGATTATAGACTATTATTATAATTTTTTTTTACTTTTATTTCTCGTTTCAATCTATCCGTATTCTTAATGCTTATGTTTTCTTCACCAACCATCATTTTGATCAAACATGATATCAATTTTAAACATGAAGATATTGTACATTCATTCAAATCACCGATACCAGCAATAACTAAGCTAAAAAAAATAAAGAGATACATCATCATCAAACTTATACCTTTTCAGCTTCACATTGAAACTAAAACATAATTAAGTATATTTAACTTCATTTAGGTAGTTGTGTACAAAAAATATTATAGATTCTATAATAATAATGTAAATCTATTATATATGTTTACCTGTTTGCAACATTATGCCATACAAAACAGTGTTTATCGGTGCGTATCGTTTTAAAATGAACATTTTGTACATCGGCAAATGTTATTACAGCGTTTAATGTAGAAAATGTTGTAAAAGGTACCTGAAAACAAATAATTTAAATGTTAAATAGGAATGATGTTTAAAAATACAATAGAATGTCTAAAATGGAATTATGTGAGACAAAAAAATCTGTATTAGCAGCAAATATAATTTTTTTTATACACTCCAATTTTGGCAATGACTATTGTTTTGATTTTTTATTATTTCTGAAATTTGCTAATGTACATATAATAATGGTCTTATTTTTCATGTACATCGCCACATTATAATCAATTACTCGCTCAATCAATATTGCCAAAAAAAACAATACCTAGCTGTTAACCCTTAAATTTTTTATTGCAAACCCGAAACCAACCTAAAAAGTAGGTACTGTAATTTAAGATGTTAAAAAGAATGTCCAGTGAATTATACCTAATAAACACATATTACCTTTTAATTTAATCAATCTTTAATTATAAATTATAAAAAATGAATAATTTTTTCCCGTAACCAAATCTAACTACCGAAAAACTTACTGAATTTTCTGTACCACTTTTCCGATAAAATATCGGAATACCGCCATTTACTGTTGTGCATATTATATCAAACATTGTATTAAAATGAAAAAAAAATGTTTAATTCTAATCTATTTTAGTTGTTTTATTTTATATTTTTTCATTATTATTTATAAGAAGAAAATATATATTTTTTTATAATTAATTTTTTTTTTTAATTTTAACAATAAAGCTATACTATTTTTTTGTCGTTTTCATTCAGTCTTTAGTCTTTATTATATAAAAAAAAAAAATTCAGCTAATATTTTAATTCATAAATTAGAAAAAAATCGTGTACGGTGTAACTTCCAAGTTCAAACTACATGGTTAATTGGTTTTAATTGTTGTTTCATGTTTGTCTAATGTTTTTATATTTAAATTGTTATCTTAGAGAGATAAGAGATAATATTTATTAGATTTGGCTCGTTTGCCTTACCACGGTAAGTTGTTGTATAAATGGACCAGTTACCAGACGACTGGTAAGTGGCCGTGCAACACGGCTACCATAATGTACTACATATTATATACAAATTACAGTTCATAACCTACAAATTCTTTCACTCTGCAGCATAAGCAAAGCGATCGGATTCATTTTTACACTCGTGTCTTTTGGTAAGTACTAAGTAAAGTTTTTGAAAATTGTTGATTATTTTTCCCTTTGCACTGTACTAATCTACTGGTGTGTCTGCTTTTGCATTTAAGTGTTTGTCCGCCGTCAACACACAGCCATGTCTTCGAAAGTGTCTAAGGATACTCTGTACGAGTGCGTCAACGAGGTCTTGAGTCATGCTAAGTCCCACAAAAAGAATTTTCTCCAGACGGTCGAACTACAAATCGGTTTGAAGAACTACGACCCGCAAAAGGACAAACGTTTCTCAGGCACGATTAAGCTAAAACACATCCCGAGGCCCAAGATGAAGGTTTGCATTCTTGGTGATCAACAGCATTGTGACGAAGCCGAGGTGGGTACAATCAAATGAATATCACTTGTAAGCGCACAAGTAGAGTTTCAATAGTAATTTATTTACGAAAATCGCTGCAGGTAAACAAGGTACCGTTTATGGACGTTGAAGCGCTTAAAAAGCTCAACAAGAACAAGAAGTTGGTTAAGAAATTGGCCAAGAGGTACGACGCATTTTTGGCTAGTGATGCTCTCATCAAACAGATCCCTCGTTTGTTGGGACCTGGTTTAAACAAGGCGGGTAAATTCCCTGGTTTATTGTCTCATCAAGAGTCCATGAACATGAAAATTGACGAGGTGAAAGCCACCATCAAATTCCAAATGAAGAAGGTCAGTTGGCATCTATAACTGTCGTCGACTATTGGATCAGATAGATATGTTTAATCTAACACTTTCATTTTTATTTTCAATAGGTATTGTGTTTATGTGTTGCTGTTGGACACGTCGATATGAAATCTGAAGAATTAGCTCAGAACATCCATCTTTCAATTAACTTTTTAGTTTCATTGTTGAAAAAGCATTGGCAAAATGTCAGGTCGCTGCATATTAAGTCAACCATGGGTCCACCTCAACGTTTGTACTAATATGTATTGAAATGTTTGATATTTTGAATAAAGACCACATTGTTATCAATGTATATTAGCGTTTAATTCATTTCTAAATGTATATCAAAAAACAAACAATCTGTATATTAAATAAACAATTTTGAGCATACATGTATAACTAAACGAGATGGTAATCATGATTTTTTTTATTTTAATTAAATATTGATATTTGGTTGTTAGATAACCAAACTTTTATGATGACATGTGCTAAAACGGTGAAATTACCAAGTTTTAAATATATGAGAGAATTATTCTTGACTTATTTTACCATATTTTGTTAAAAAAAACTTGTTTGTTTCAATAAAAGTAAGTGTCTGTTATAGAGTTTGATACTGTCGTATAAGTATTATAAAGTCTAATCTTAAATATTAATTTATTATGCTCAACGGGGATATACATTTAATATCGGATATCTAATAAGTAATATTTATATTAGTATTAATTCATAAAAAAATGCTATTAATTAATTACAAAATGCACCTTATAAAACAGTTAAACCCTAGGAAAATAAAATTAACCTTATTATATTAAGTACACCTCTTGCTATAATGGATATTTTTGTAACAGTTTTTGGAATTTAGATCAGAAAGTCAGACTGATGATAAATATATTTATATGCTTTTAATTACCTAGTGCACTATGTTTTTATTGTAAAGTATTGTACCTGACTACAAGATTGTTCATACTAGTAAATTTAAAATTTGTTTGCAAAAAAACAATTTTGCTTTGAATTGGTTTTTAAATCAATTTGTCAGATTATGATTTAACACCATTCCAGTCATCAACATGACAGCTTTAGATTTTAACAACAAGTATTTATAATCAATGTTTTGTTGCGCACATTAAGATTAATGCCTAAAAATGCAGCACCCTATTTACACAAACACAAGCATGAATAACTTGTTTTTGTGTCCATGCAAGCCCTTCTCTCATAATACAAGGAATAGATAATTTGTAGAACTTCAAAAACTTCAATTATATCGTATTGCTATTGATATAATAAAGAAATAATGAAAGAAAAATTGAATATTTTAGTATCGTTGCGTTATATTTCGTTTAAAAATTTAATAATAGTTTTTTTATTTGTAGTAATTCATAAAAAAAATTAACAAAAGTGAAATTAATTTAGCTGACATGTAAATTATAAATAATTTAAGAAAAGTTTATGACAGTTATAAAACAAAATGTAATGATAATCATGTATTTGCTAAACATGAAAAGGATACAAGGTATTGTCTACAATTTAATTTGGAGCTATGTACAATATAAAAGTCATGGCAGACGAATGATATATTTTTACAATGAAATTATTAAATACATGACAAACATTTATGGCATTTGTTATTCATCCCATTTTTTCCATTCCATGCCTTCCGGAGGTTTAATATCGACTTTATCTTTGGCCACGTCTTTCCAGTTTGTACTGAGAACTGTGCCGCCGGATTCTAAAAACGACTTGTTCATAGCTTTGCGCACTTCATCACTGCCTTCAGAATAAATTTTTCTAAACAAACTATTAACATCGTTTTCATCATCGTCTTTTGTCATTTCACTGACTAGTTTGTCCCAATTGCGTTTTTCAATGCTTACACTGGGTGTGGGCTTGACGCATTCCAATGTGTCCCATCTTCCCGATTCAGCTTTAGCAAGGACTACTTCCAATTTTGATGACAAAACTTTATAATTACAACGATCTGGTACAATATTTTTAAAAAGCTTTAAGCACAACGTGTACAGTTGACCGGTAGCAAATTTTGCTTCAACGGTTATACTGTCTGGTTCAAATCGTATAGAGCAATCTTCTTTCGATGAATGTTTACCCAGTATAGTAATATATACATGAGTTTCTGATTGATACCAGTCTTTTTTAATTGCAGTTTCTGTTTGATCAGTTTTACAGGCCATAATCTGGAAAAAAAAACAAAAATTAATAATACAATTATGCAAAAAGTAATGGTTCAATTTCAAAGTTTGGCTAGTAAAAATTTATCAAAACTATCATTCAAATAAGAGAATAGTTGTAGTCGCACATACAAAAAGTGGCTAGTGAAAGGATAGTTAATTGATTTTATTACAATGAGAACTGCTTATACAAAATTACTCTCAGAAATTTATCGGTAAATTTTCTTGTCATATGTTTATTAAAAAGTAAGATAAGCAAATTAAAATTAATAATTTATAAATAAAAACAGACTAATCACAAATATGCTTATACAAATAACCAAAAATTAAACAATCCAAAAAATAAAATTAAAATACAAAATATACTTAATTGTAAATAGTAATTAATTAAAATATAGTTTGGATCTTATTTTAAAAATTAATTGCTATTTTTTCTATAATAATTTTGTTAACTCATAATGTTGATTCATTATATTATTATGCTTTGAATTAAAAATATAATAAGATTTAAAAAAAAAGTCTATTGACGATTGTATTATTTACATAACAAAAGTACCTAATAATATGACCAGCTGGTGTACAACGAGCCTTTGACTAAATCTGAGGAAATTGCTATGTATTATTAAAAAGTTTGTTAGACTACTAATCAAATACACATAATCTTTATAAACATTAGATTACTTGAATTGATAAATAAAAAATTACCATTGAAAGCTATCTATTAATGAATATTTACAGGTAAATCGAATAAATTATTTGATTGCGGATGGAGGGGGTAATCGTGGTACTTTTGTTACCTGTATTTTTCGACAAAACTTCTCCTTACATCATATATAATATTTAATAATTAATACTATGAATAAAATCAGTCTAGTTGTTTAGAAACGTCAGTATTGTATTATATTATGTAATTGTATGCCCTAACAATTTACATAATATAATATGTCAAATAGGTTTACAAAAAAAAAAGTAGGTTCCTTTATTAATAATCAAAATATTATAAATAAGTGTTATTTCAAGATTTTTATCGATTCATTTAAAAAATATATATATAATAGGTCCACTACATAAATAAATTATAATTTAAAAGTAAATACCGTTTTTACAAATTGAGTGGCGATTAAATTATGAAGGATGCCTGAAGTTTTATGACGAATTAAAAATTTAAAACTTGTTTTAAGACTTATACGAAAATATGTTTTAGTATAAGTAGGTACATAACAAAAATGACAATTTTTCTTGTACTGAATGTTCTAGAATTATTTTATAAAGATACAGATTACAGATTACAGTAGCAATGACTATGGTTGGAAACAAACAAACAATATAATGATAACAATTTATTTATGACTATTGATAACGGACAAATGGGGCGTAGACAAGTGTCCAGGTACAGCAAGCCACCCTAAAAGACATTAGGTCTATGAATATGATACATTTTTTTTCTCTCGACAAATTAGGAATTAGAAATTTAAATAATAAAATATACTATATACCTATGTCGTGGCAAAATCGATCATGAAATATATATAGTGCTTGTAAAACAAAATTTCAAATTGATCGGATATTATTAAATAACATTAAATTGTGTAGTATTTTTCGACATATGAAAAAAACGTTAATTTTTTTACTGTTATCCCAATTTTAGTCCAATTTAGGAAAGTTATCCATTTTAGGAATTTTTAGCGTAGAAATCTAAGTTGTATAATTTTACTTTTTTTTTTGTATTAAACTAAATATTTTCAATTCAATTTTCTTTGTTCCGCAACAAACACAGTCTAACATTTAAAAAAATGAACTCGTAAACAAAACCCTAAAAATACGGATCCACTAAATGTCAGAACTTGATTTTTCAATATTTATGTGTTTTTATTTATTTTTTTAATTGTTGTGTCTGTACCCACGATTTCTTTGTGTAGCAACTCTATAGATCAGAAATCGTACCTGTGAGGTACTTATTGGTCCAATAGTGTAAAAAATTCACCCCTTCCCTACAACACTATAAAAATGTATTTATTTTTCAACTTAAAATTTTGGCGCTCCATAACTTTTTTAAAAATAATCGAATCAGTACCAAATTTGTCTGGAATATTTTGTAGTAATACCGATAAACGTTGAAAAACATATAAAATATCATACGTATACCTTTTTCCCTAGAAGAGGTAGAAACTTATTCTTTAATTTTTTAATTTCTTAGCCCTTAGGTGTATTTTTAGGATTTAAGGTCTAAACATTTGACTGAAGCTAGATCCAGAGTGGGGCAATAACATAAACATTTTTCTCAAAAATATGTAATCATATTTTTTTTAAATTACACTTTGACCGTAGTCAGTTTCTAGGTTGCTGTGCGTGTGTGAATTAACAGTCTACGGGTCCAACAGATATTTTCATTATAACATGTTATTTACGATAAATGGGTAATTACGGCAACAAATTGCTATAGACAGGTGATCAATCCTTATCGTATCTATCCTTATATTAAAAATACAATTTTAATCACATTAATGACAAAGATTTATTCATTCTACTATTCGATCGATTATAACATATATTATAGTCAGTTAACCAAACCTCGGTTGTATTATTTCTAGTTTATATTAACAATATTACTTGTTATATTATAGTTATTGTTATGGCGAAAACACCGAAAAGAATTGCCGTTCGATAGGCAGTGCACTTTATTTCGTTTATTTTTTGTGAAGAGCTTTTGGAAATATGTGCTGACGAATTATACAGCAACCGGTAAATATGTTTTATAAATAAATAAAAATAATTATATTAAATACAAATTCAATTATTTTGATATTGGTACAAAACGTAATGTAGTATAATATTTACATATTAATATTATAATTTAGTATATATTAATATAATTTAGGAGCGTTAGGTATCATAGGCTATACCAACAATAACCGTTGCTTACTACGTGAAAATATAAAGGTACGTCTTCAATTTATCTTATCAACCTTCACGAAATGGCCGTTCCTATCTTCCCGTTAATAATAATAGTTTTGCCCCATTTCCTCCCCCTCCCTAAAAGGTCGCGGCCATTTTTCATTATCACAAGCTACTGGCATACCTATTTATTTTGCTATGGTTTATTAACCACGTTGCGAAACGTTTCGCAACAAAATGTTGCAACCGGTGCGTTTCCAGCTTTACGATAACATAAACAATCGCAACGCGTAAAGTAATTTAATAGATAAGAATATAAGATAATAATATAATATAATTTAAGGTTCAACTTACGAATAAACTTTCAGTAAGAACTACCGGTTGTGTATTAAAGGCCGAACTTTAAATTATACTGCGTGTGTCTTAAATAATGAAATTAATGTATTAACCATGTAATTATATCTCAATAAAAGTTCAATTAGTGTATTTCCATTGGTAAACTTACTAATCGTCAGTAGTGTCATCTGTGTAGTTGTAATATTTTATTAAAATAACAACCATTTTTTTTTTTTATAGGTTTTTCAGGTAAATATATTTAATTACGACTTCATTGATGAATCAAGTTATATCACATTGCTATAACTATGTCGAATACCTAAGATATATGTGTATCTGATATGTTATGACTAACTTTGTTATTTTATTATAATAGTGAATTGATTTCGCTTTCAGTACAAATTAACGTTTTATTAAATAAATACAATTTGTAAAATAAAGCTATTAGCTATTAGGTAATATTTATATGTTTGTATTAAATATATAAAAAGTAATGAATTTTAAATTATTTTTTAGAAATTTTGGTATTATGGCTGACCAAGACGACGCATCATGTGATAAATCTAAAGAAAACGATAATGTTCCAGAACTTGATGACACAGAGCTACCTAAAGTTATAAGTACTCCACCGACAATGTCAATAAAAATAACAAGCAACAAACTACAAAAGTCAAATGAGAAATACGACGAAAATAATGATGATTCCGATGAATGTCAAATTATTTTACCGAACACTGATATAATTGACATAAGTGATGATAATGCAGAAAAAGACGATTCAGCTGAAATCAAAGAAGTATCATCTTCAGAGGAAGTTACAAAAAAGCAGTCAACTGAAGTAGTTAAAAATAATAAACAACAACTCGAAACTGAAATGGTATCGGAAGATGAAATGCAAGTTGACACTATGCCCAAAAGTACTGAAGTATCGATTAATAACAAACAACCCGACACCGAAGAAGTATCTGAAGACGACTTACCGTCGGCTACATTATCTGATCAAACTGAAAAATTATCCGACGATGAATTGCCTAACGTAAAAGGTATAAAAGGCAGTAAGAGACCAAAAACATTAGATGAATCCGAGAAACAAAGCAAAATTGATATTGAAATGCAATCACAATCGGCCAAGAAGTTGAAAACTGAAGAACCGAAACCTATTACTGAACTTGACAAGTTTTGGGCGGCTGTAAAGGCCGATCCTTCTGATTTTGTTGGATGGACTTATTTATTGCAGTACGTGGACCAAGATAATAACGTTGATCATGCCAGAGAAGCTTATGGAAAGTTTCTCGCGCTTTATCCATACTGTTATGGATATTGGAGAAAATTTGCCGATTTTGAAAAGAGGAACAATAACAAAGAAGAATGTGAAAAAGTTTTTGAACGTGGACTTACTGCTATACCATTGAGTGTTGATTTATGGATTCATTACATGACCTATTTAAAGACAAACCACGCCGATGATATCGACCATATTCGTAGTAAATTCGAGAAAGGCTTGCAAATTTGCGGACTTGAGTACAGATCGGACCGTTTATGGGACCATTACATTAAATGGGAAATAGATCAGGGCATGGTGCAAAACGCGTTTAACATTTACGATCGTCTTCTTGGTACTCAGACGTTAGGATACTTGCAGCATTTTGAGAATTTCAAAGAGTTTGTTAATAAAAATTCTCCAGATAAGTTGTTGAGTGCCAAAGAATTTCTGGAGTTTCGGCAACAAATATCGGAAGGATTGAGAATCAGTAGTGATGGCGAATTATTAAACGACGATTCCGCTCCGCCTGGAGAAGAAGAGCATATATTTTCATCCGATGTGACTGAAAAAGAAGAATTATTATTAAAAGAAAAGATCATCGACTCCAGGTTGAGGGTTCACAAAGAAACAGCGCAAGAAATAACAAAACGACAAACCTTTGAGGAAGGTATTAAAAGACCATATTTTCATGTGAAACCATTGGAGAAATGTCAAATTGACAATTGGAAAAATTACATAGAATTTGAAAAAGCTGCCGGAGACCATCAACGAATAGTAGTTATTTACGAAAGGTGTCTTATAGCGTGCGCTTTGTATGAAGATTTTTGGTTGAGTTATTTGGATTATTTGGAATCGGCCAATACCGATGTGAGTGATTTAATGGACGATTTATATAAAAGGGCGTGTTTAGTCCATCACCGTAAATCAACTAAATTGCATTTGAAATGGGCTGCTTATGAAGAGACCATGAATAACATGGACAAAGCTGCCGAAATCCTTGAAAATCTTGATAAGGCCGTGCCACATATGCTACAAATCATCTATAGGCGCATTAATTTGGAAAAAAGAAGAGGACTATTCGACAAAGTATCCGACCTTTATTCACATTATATAAACACTTCTCACACCAAGTTTTTGACGTCCAACATTGCAATAAAATACGCACGATTCTTGTGGAAGTCTGTGAGTAAAATTGACAAGGCTATCGAAGTAATTTCAGACATCATAAATAAAGACAAAGATAATATGCAAGAGAACGCTAGACTGTTGTTGCAACTCGTCGAACTGAAAATGAGCGTAAAACCTTTGGACGAGAAATCCGTCATACAAACCTTCGACGACATATTGTCCATGAGCAGCGTTAACTTGGAACAAAAAATTCTGTTTTCTCAACGCAAGTTGGAATTCATTGAAGATTATACGGATGACCTCGTATCGTTGCGCAAAGCCCTGCAGGAGTTCAAGTGTTATTCAGAGTTGTTGGCCAAAGAAAAGAAAAAGGCGATAGCTGCGGCTGAAGAAGAAAAATCTAGAATTGAAAAAGAACTGAAGAATAAACAAGCTCAAGAACTGGCCGTGACACCGAGCACTCAAATCACAGCACCCAATTATCAGTCCTACAACTCAACTTACTACCCACAACAACAGTACTCGTCCGGATATAACCAACCTTATCAACAATACACGTCCACTGGCCAAGACTATACGTACCAGTACCAAAATTGGAGTTATCCTGCTCAGACGAATTACAATCAATCGTGGGGCTCGTATAACTACGGAAGTGGATATTAAAGGTGCATATAATATTATTTACTTGTTCTTAAAAGAAATCATTCACGTAAAATTAAATATAGACAACAGTTGTTTTTTATTACTATTATTACTTATAAATAAAAATTATAGACAGTGTCGATAAGTTACAACAAAATGTATTAAATATTTAGCACAACATACATATATTTTAAGAATATTATAAGTATAGTAGTTATAAAAATAAAATGTATAATTATAATTAACTATAATATTGTAAAAACATTTATATATAATATACATTAACAACAAAACATCACAGCTTTTGATTTAATTTTACTAATTCGGCTAAATCATCCCAAAATTGTACTTTGGCTCCGTTCACTTGGCCATCAACCATATGAGTATCATCACCGTCGATTGATAAGTATTTAGGATTTTCCAAACTTGTACGGTCCCATTTGACTTTAAGATCTGACGAATTCGGGTTTCTAAAAGTAAAATTGTTTTTATTTTTACAGCTGTTATTGTGTTATGAAAAAAACATCTATAAACGAACCCAGTTTTTGCAAAATTAGTCCACAGTTTACACATTGTCCTGCACATACTCAATTCTTTGGAATTTGGTTTAGGTGTGAATGCAAACAATTTACCAAAGAATAAGTAACTTAATTCATCTGCGTGACATGCTCCTGTAAATTTAAAGTGTTAATTAATATTACTTATTAGACATTGATCGTTTCTTCTCAATAATGAGCAAATCATTTTTCCAAGAAAACATTTTGTAATTTACTTCATAAAAATGAAGGATTTATTACAATACTCATTTTTTTTACATAATAAAAAGTGTAAAATAAAATCAACAAACCAGAAAAAAAGAAACGATTGAAAAAGTTAATTAAATGTTCTTTTATGTAAAATTAAACAACACATAAGTTGTTATAGTTAAAATTACAAAATGTACATGTCGTCGTACCTTTCAACTTGAGAAATTTTGGTCTTGTAGCAAAAAGAAGTCTTTTACATACATTAATTTCTCCGTCAAATTTAAATTCATAATTGTAAACTGGCGTATTGCCTTTTACGAGTAAGTAGTTGAATGCTTTGTGGAAATCTTTAGTGAAAAATACATCGCTGAATAGCTATAAAAAAAAAAAACAATAAATTGATATCATACACTAAAAAAAACGTAACATTTAAAAGTCTATTTAACGTTTGCTTATAACTTGATACTTTTTTAAAACTTTAAAAACAAAATGTATAGAATAAGATTACTTGTACTAATCTTGACTTAAAAAGTCCAAATCATTTTTACTTCGGTTTACATTCAAATTACATTAGGTATACAATATTTTAGGTATGTATTATAATATTTTGGAAGATTTTAGAATTGCAATGACAAATAACAGTATAAATTGAATGATAATATTATGTTTTACCGCGCAAATATTTTCCAATTTCTCAATGTCGGTTTTGGAATCGTAATCATTAAAGTAAAACGATTGAATCCTATTTTTGACTTCATCGCATTTGATTTCGCTTTCGAGCAATTTGCTTATTTCTTCGACTTTATTAAAATTCATTAATTTTCCAAATCTATGCTCTGAAAAAATAAAAAAAATTCATGACAGTTTATATGAACGTGACAACGAAAAAAATATACTATAACACAATAACATAAAATATACGTCTTGTATCTTGGATTTTTTTATATTGTATTAATTTGCAGTAACGTAAAAAATCATATTATGTAAACGTTGATGAAAAGATTGATTTATTTTGATGATATTTGTGCAAGCATTACATTTGTTTTAAATTGTCGTTTCAAATCAAATGGTATTGTGTAGTAAAAATTTTACTTATCACATTATACACATTTTTTTTTATAAGTGATATAAATGTGTCAAATTTTTTAATTAATTACGCAAATAACACGCCATTCATTATCGGAGCCTTACAGTATTTCATGCAAAATTAATTAAGAAAATCATTTGCCTCCAAACACTATCATTCCTTCTATATTGTTGACTCCAGATATTAAAGGAATCGAAGTGGCCGTTTTTGACAGCTCTTCTGGATGGGCCGGTAAGAATCTCTCACCGACTAGATCGCTTTCAATAGTCGGAACAAATTGGTAAACCAAAACTTCTCTTTGGCCCTATGAAAAAAAAAGAAATTATTTAATTTTCAAACAGCCAATAAAAAAAATAATATACCTACTAAATAATTTATAACTTTATATTAACAAATATTATTACTATAGTTTGTTTCTTATAGATTATTAAACTAATTTTATTGAAGTTGAAAGTGTTATCTCATAAATACACACAGTTATTTTTCTATACTTATAATTACACGTAAATACATACTTCGAATTTAGATTTGATCGTAGTAGCTTTTACCAAGTCTTGTACAGGAACTTTTCTTAAATACTGCACTATTTTGTGAGGGTCGTCCGACGGACAACCCAAATCCGCCGCTATTTTGAGCGCAGCGTTTTTGTGTTTCGAATTAAATGCCCAAGGATTAAAAGCACATCCACTTTGCATAATAGCTCTTTGGTACACACCTGACAAAACGATTCCGAATAAATATGATGATAGTTTCTAGCGGCCGTAAGTCATAAAAAAAAAATAAATACCTTTTGATAACGGAGAGAGTATATGGTAATGGACTGACGCTGATCCAGCGCTCTCTCCAAAAATTGTTATGTTATTGGCGTCGCCTCCAAAGGCCGATATGTTTTCTTTTACCCACTTGAACGCAAACAATTGGTCCTTTAAACCCACGTTTCCGGGGCAATCGTCGATATCCAGGTTTAGAAATCCTTTTATGTCCATAACAAATATTAACAGAATACAAAATTAAATTATAAAATAGTATAAAGATGAAATCATACCCAGATCATAAAATCAAACATATAAAAATATGTTAACTAAATATTTATGTATCGGTGAATAAAAGGTTTTTAAAGTTCTCATAGTCTTTTACCTAGAACATTAAGGCGATAGTTAAATGTGACCAAGATTACATTTTCTTCGATTAAATAGTCCGGAGAATAGAAGTCTGACGATCCCGAACCAAAGTTAAACGCGCCTCCGTGCACAAACATCATTACAGGTTTCTTTTCATTTAATTCCTATAAAAAAAATGACAATATTAAAATTCGTTAATTCGATAACATGGTTTTAAATTTTACGTACTTGTGGCACAAAAATGTTCAAGTATAAACAATCTTCGCTTCCTACAATTTTTTTCGTTATCATTATATCGTGTTGTACGCATTTGCTTTTTTCTGAAAAAGCCTTGTAAACTCCAGTCCATCCAGGGTGTTTGACTGGTGGCTGCAATAAATAGTTATAATATATTAAAATGGAAAATTATTGGTAAATAATTGGTTTCACCTGGGTACAAATTACAAGCGACATATACTGTTAATTACCTTAAATCGTAGTTCATCGATGGGCGGCTCAGCATAGGGTATCCCTAGAAAACTGACAAATGGTTTGTTCGACAGGCGAGTCTTATAGTATTGACCTTGTAGAACTCCTTGTTCGATATTAATGATCATTTTTCTTCTTGGCTGAACAAAAAAAAAAAAAATGTAAATATTAAATATCACAGAACTGTTAAAACTCTAAAGTTAACAAAAAAATTTGAGACAACATTACAAATAAATGGATAATGAAAAACCAATTTTTAAACCGCTGTAAAAATATTTCAAGCGTTTATCAAACCAAAAAGGTTTTCCTATCGTACAATTTTACTCATCTCTTATTTTGTTAAATAGCCATACTTAGTTTCTACAATAGTATAATGTAGTTAATAATATGTTACATATAGAACAAAACAAATTTGTTTACCGCGACTGTGCACGATTTTTGTCAGTTACTACTGAACTACTATTTTATTCCTGTTTTTTTTCTAATACATAGTGTTTCACAAGGTTTAAGACTCAGGTGTATAATTTATGGGTTCTTTTTTGCAGTTATACATATTAACCGCCGGGCAAAGCCAGGCTACCAGGTAGCCACGGTTATATTATTAATTGAATTACAGTGGAATTTATATTATAAAAGATGTTTTAAAGGTATGCGAAAAGTCTAGGTCATTTCTCGTTGATTTGTATTTTTGTAATGCAAAATGCAATTTTCGTTATTGTTATCACATATCATAATAATATGAGATATGTTAGAGTAGGTTAAATCAGAAAGGACCCTTAAATATGTAAACCATATAATTTTCCGCCATCTCTTCATTTATCCTAATATTAAATCTATACACAATTACTAATGTACAGGAACAACACATTGAACTGAATACAGTGAAAATTCAGTGAAATAATCATAGATCTTACTAAGTAGTAAGTAGTATAAGGTCTACGGAATTTTAATATTGGTTCTCATTATCATTTCAAACGATTCATTTGCAAGATTACATGCATACATAAACGATATTATCGATAATTATCACTGTCATAAGCCCTAAAACTATACACAAAAAGGAAAATAAAGAAAAAGTTTTAACTTGATCTGAGCGAAGGGTTGTTATTTTTTTTTGGTCTGCCAACGTATAATCATAATGATAATATTTGTCTACAGGATATTTCTTTACTACTTTTAAACAAATTCGACTGTTTTTTTAAAAAAACGTTATAGCTGGCCGTAATTTTGGGGTTGTTTTTTGTCGATTTTTTAAATAAGAAGGGGTGAACTTTTTGGGTCTAATGAAGTGTTTGTAGGTATGATTTATGATTTATGGAGTTGATACACGAAGAAATCGGTTTAGCAGTTTAGAAGACATCAGACACAAAAAAATAAAAACACATTATTGTAAAAACAATACCTTCTCAGCTACGTTTCGAAGCTAAAAAATAATGTAAAATATGAATTCTTCCACAGTTCCCAATCACAGTATTTATATAAAACAAGATTTTAATAATTTTAGTACATGTAATACAATAACTAAATATTATTAATTTCGAGAAAAAAAATATTATATATTTAGGACCTCGTTTTAGTCCTGTTTAAAATTGTATGGTCAATACTTGGACTGGAATAATAAGGTTATTAATTATGTTTTTTTTGTAAGTATAGATTATATTTTTTCTAATCATGTCATCTAATCTAATTCAAATGGTTATTTAATGTATAACCGGTATAGCAGGATAATCTTAGTTTTTTTAGAATCTTTTTCACGTGGCATCTTGTACGTCGAAAACGGCCAAATAAAATTAAACAGTCAATTAAATTTATTATTAGTTTGTTCGTTACATTATTTGAGGGTCGGTTCACAAAATACATTAAATTAAATCTTTTCTGTGGTAAACTGTAGTAAGGAAAAAATCGAACTAATCGTCGCGTTTTGAAGATTTTTTTATATAATATCATTATTTGATCATAATCATTATCGTGTAATTATCATCATTATTATTTGATATGTAATAACAGCCCAGATCGTCGAATATTACAATTATAGGTATACATTTGTTTTGTTACACAAGTGTGTATAATTCGACAACGTATACAATTTCTGTGTATCGTCGTCAAAGTCAACGTGGTGTGGAATGTCTAAAACTACAAGGTAATGCATATTATAATATTTGTAAATTACTCAGACATTGTATGGGAAAGACAAACGCGAGTTAGATAATGCGAATAATCGACACAAACAAAAATATCCATTAATCAATAGCAAATTGTTCAGCGTTATTGTACTGTTCGTAGAAGAATCTTTAGAAGCAGTGTCAGTGCCTTTGACGCTAACCATTAGGTTAGGACGACCAATTATATATGTTGTTGTCCCTTAGCAATTGTAGGCTGTATAATAATCTCTTTGTCACCGTTGTTGTTGGAATTCGATAAAATAAATGAACAGATAAAAAAACGTGCGGTGAAGAAATTAAAATGAACCAACACATTAATTTTTTTGAGTTTTCACATTTATACTTAAAGTACAGTTAATATATACCAGCGTACAAGGTCTGTGACTCGATTACATCTGGTGTATCTGATTACATCATCGACCTCGTTGTATAGACAACAGTCGATAAGTTCATCAGACAAGTCTACACAATTTCACCCTTTTCAAATTTGAGAGGCGCCCCCTCATTATTTGCCGCGAAGGATTTATTGCGAAACTTTGTTTTCACGATAGAATTAATAAGTATGTATTAGATGATGATTATCGAATAACCGTAGAAAAATAACAGCACGGTATGTGCCATATTAGTGAGAAGCAAAACGAGTTATTTTTTTTTATTATATAATAAACAAATAGAAAAAAAAATAATGGGTCAAAATCTGCTACTGGTTATGGATTTGCATACTATGATTTATAAACGTTTCCATGCTGTCTATGTAGATGTAATAATTAGCACAGCATAAGTCGTTTGTCCGCAGTTTCACGTCGAAACATTGTGACCATAGATTATATATTATTATGATTTGCTATGTAAAAAAAGTTAATCATTTAATTTTTTTTTTAATTTCAGTTGGTCGCTACTATCTATAGAGAATCTTGGCATAGAAAGCGGTCGACATCAACTCGATGCGGATCGATAATGATCTATAAGAGACGAGTCGGTCTGTCGGTTTCAAAGTCATCGTGGTTAATAACAATACCGCCAAAATATTTTTATCCGAAATCTCTCGTGTAGATGATAATATTATTATTATTATTATTATTATATAGATGATGCCGTTTCAAGGTCTGCATAGATGTGTGTAGAGGTCGTGATATTACTGACCAGATACTCGCAATATAATTTACATCATGTAAAAATTACATTTCAAGGACCCTATTAATCTAGACCGTCCGGTTTGTTTGTTGTTGTTTTTTTTTCAACTTTTATAATTGATCATTTTTGATTATCTTATGCGTTTCGGTATCCTTCGATTTAATTAGTAACTAATTTTGATTTAAAAACACAGAAAACATGAGAAATGTCAGTACTAACAGTAAAACACGGCGTCTACTCTCTCTAATAGTAGGTAGTTAGTAAGTAGTTTTTTTTTTTTTGTTAACTTTTATAAACAAAAAATTTGACTAAATATTTTTAAGAAAGTTGTTTATGTTATAGCCCCACTATAGATATACCTTCGGTTTAATTTTTAGACCTTAAACCCTAGATCTACACCTTGGAAATTGAAATAAACAAAAAGTTTCCACCCCTCTTAGAGGAAAAGGTATATGATATTTTTTTATGTTTGTCAACGCTTAAAAAAGTTATGACTCGCCGGAATTTTAAATTGTAAAATATGTAAATTTTTAAGAAGTTTTTCTGGATTTCGAAAGGGAGAGGGTGATCTTTTAAAATTTTAGGCCCAACAAAGTACATTTTGGGTACGATTTCTGATCAATAGAGTTGCTATACGAAGCAATAGAATCAGCGGTTGCATTGTTAAAAAAACAGAGTAACTTTGTGAAAATATTATCAAAAAAAATGTTTGTCAATTGAGTTTTAATAAAAAACACATCGTTGTAAAATACCTTCCGAGCTCCCATAAATAAATCGCCACTCTCGTTTAACAGGGTTATCACCACGTGCGGCGATGACACAATACGTTTGCTTTCAATACAAATCAATTAAATATCGATTAGTGTGCAGTGGTTTACTTGAAACGGCGAGGAAGGTCTGATAACAATTACAAGGATTGAGCAGCAGCTGTGTTCACACGTCGTTTGCCAATCACAACGCGGTCAGTATCGATAAAACAAAATTACAACCTTACAAAGATTAGCAGCGTTATGGGCAATTTTTTTTTTTACGATCGTTTAACCAAGTCTTATGTGGACCGTGTTCGATGTTAGCAAATTATGTGTTGAATATTCAAATTGCCGCTCGGTTACGACCGTGTTAAAACGTTACCGTGCATTAGCGAAACTAATATAGTGTCGATAGCAGCAATATATTATATTTTTTTTATAGCGTTGTATACCTACGGCCGTATAATTAGGTGTGTATTGTATATTTTGTACGCGATTGATGACTGGTGCAATGCCGGACTTACCACGAGCCTCGATAGGAATCCCATAAATCTATTGTAAATGATGGCCACGGCCAGCCTCCACAGGGCCAATTTCTTCGTGAAACTCGACATGTTATGGCTCGTTTTGTCCGGTTGTCGTTTTTTATGAATGAATTTTCGTTTAGTTTACTTTGAATTATTATTGCCGAACAGAGCAAACACACGACCGCACTGAACAGCCGAGAGCCGATGCACTCGTTCCGCGATACCGCAGACCGTGTGTACAGCGGACAGAGCCACGCGCGTCGCCTCCTTACCCCTACCACACGGGTCTGCCGCAGAGCCATAACCGCGGTCGCTCCTGAAATCCTGCCGATTCCGGCGGTAGTTGTTAAACCTGAAACGTTAGGCTGTATGTAGTCACTCTACCGCGTCGCCGCTACGTTGTTGCACGTTACGTGCGCAGGTATTCAATACAGGGTGTGATCTATCTGATGTGAGACACTCATATTCTAGGGAAATACGAATATGTTGAAAATAATATCCATCCCACCGATACCTTGTAGTAGGCAGAGTTGGGAATTATTTAGTTAATTTATTTTAAAAATAATTTTTCGAATACAAGTTGATTATTTGTAAAACCACGAATAACCATACGAATAATGATTAAATTAACTATTATACGTGATTAATTTCATTTACTCGTGACTAATTTAACTAATATCAATGATTAAATATTTCAATCATGACTATTTTAACTATTATTCGCGTTAATATTTTCAATCATGATTAAAATTTTAAATATTTTCAATCATTGTTATTCGTAATTAATAATTTGTTTTTTACGTAATACATAATAATATTAAATTGAAAAAAAATGTACTTCTTAAATATCTAAAAACTTTATTCGTGTGTACCTATAAAGAAGTTAATTTTTTAATCATGACTAATTTAACTATTGGTCATGATTAATTCTTTTAATCATGATTGATTCGACTTGAGCTCATGATTAACTTTTTCAATCATGACTAATTTAACTATTATTCGCATTAAAATTTACAATCACGATTAATTTAACTATTATTCGCGTTAAAATTTTCAATCATGATTAATTTAACTATTGCCCATGATTAAATATTTCAATCATGACTAATTTAATCGTACTTCAAAGTTGAAATTTGTATTCATGACTAATTTTATTTGTTGTTGTATGATTAAATTAATCATGATTAAAAAGTTAACTTTATGCGATGACTAAAATGTTTAGTCATCGAGTTAACTTTTAACTTAAATAAAAAATGCTCATCTCTGCTTGTAGGTACATAATATTTGACTACATTTTCTAATACTTAAAAAATGTATGTTTATATGCAGACAACAGGTTTTCAAAAATTACTGACATGACATTATAATTACATAAATTAATTCATAAATCGATAAATATTCCATCGATACTTTTTAATAAAAATAATAAAATATATTAGTTAGTTGCATTTTATTTAATAAAAATGAAAAAATATAATATTTATAGTATAAACAAAATAATATAAAAAATATTAAATTAATATTGCAGATAATGCAATAAAACCACTATCAGTGCAACAGAACCTAACTGTTAGAATACGTATGAGTAAAAAATAAATACTTGGAACTACATCATTAAACTAAGTTAAGATAAGTTATCTGCTATTTTATTAGTCTCCAACACTCATACTTTATCTAAACAAGTTAATAAAAGAGATTTTATAGCATATGACACTACTGTGCGATACACAAATAAAGAATTTAGTAAGAAATTTGTAGATTACCTAGGTCTAATTTTTTACAACTCGTTACCATTGGATTTAAAAAAAAAGTATAGTTAAATGTAAAGCGTTCAAAAATAATATCATGTATAATAGATAAAGTAAGATGTATAATATGAACAAATAAAATAAAATAAATAAAAAAATTAGGGGAATATGGGCGAATGACGGTCAGTGGGCAACAATGGTATATCTCTTTAAATATTATAGCTAAAATTTACACCTGCACAAAATTTGATTAATGCATATTAGTAATAATTGTATTCGTATAAGAATTACAAAGCCATTTTTAAAATTAGTTTTACCCAAAGCAACAGAAAATGTGTTTTTATTATTATTTATAATATGTATTATATTCTTTTTCCTCCCACAATAACTGTCCATTCTATAATATTCCAATATTTTCCACATACTATCCTACAAATAGACCCACTGCAACCGTCTTTCTCTTATATTCGTGTAATATTATATATACTGACTAGTAGATTTTCCTTTATTAGTGACTATAAATATGTCAAAACTATGATTATATGTGAATTTTACTATGGTAATGTAACCACCGTCGACCATTATTCTTTTTTGTGTATGTAGCTTTCTTGTATTTTTCTTCTTTCTCTATAACTTCTTCTTCTAATCCATTTACCATTTATCGTGTCACGTATCTTTGAATTAATTTTGTATATTATCTATTTTGTGTATGTATCTTTTTTGAATGAATGTAATTTATATTATGTGTTGAAAAAAAATATAACTGTTATTGGAAAAAAAAACGGGACCGGGTACAATAACTAGACTACATAATAATGATAATAATATTTCTTTTTATTTACGGAGGTAAAACTACATTTTGCATAATATAAAATATAATAAGTAACATAGATATGATAGTATATGCGGTTTTACAGATTTATATATCATACATTAATGTTTTAATTACAATTTGGCAAGTATTAATAAAAACCGTTGGCGCATGAAGTCTAAAACTTTTTCGTCAGTTTTTTTGCAATATTGTCTGATGATTGACTCAAACTTTTTACCACTTATGGTGCCTAAAACAAAACACAAATGATTAATTATATACATATTATATTGTTGGAGTATAAACGCAGTAGTTGTAGGGTTTCCCGAAGAAATGGAAAAAGAAACAAAATTATAAAAAAAAAATACTACCTAAGTATAGTGTTTTAAAATATTTCTTGTAAGATATTTCATCATTTTGTGAAATATTGAAATTTTTTAATTATTTGGTTCTACTGTCTAACATATATAGGCATCCCACCAATTTATTAAAGAGATTAACTAGATAACAGTATTATCATTTTCAACGTACCATCACTACGACGCATTAAAGCGATTTAACTTTTACGTTCAATTGTATGTACAACGTGTTTTTTTCTTATAATCAATCTACTGGTAGGAATTTTTAATTTTTTCCATATTAAATGTGCTATTTATACTAAAACAAACAATAATGTCTATAATATTATCTAAAAAAATTTTCATAGGCGTAATAATGGCCTAACCTAATCTATGTAATAACGCAATCTAATTAACATTCCCAATCGACATACAAGTAGGGTAATTATCTTATTTTTACATTAAATTATTTCAACTATTTTGAACATTATGGTCGTTTTTTCGACTTTTCTATGAATTTTTCCCTAATTTTTTGTTTTTTCTTAGAGTTTTTATGGATATCCCAATTTGAAATTTATACATTTTATGTAAAACCTCCTCCTTATTATATGCTTTAGTGTGAACCCTGAGATATTGAATATTGAACTAATTTTATGAACAACTTTAGCGATTTTAGCTTATCGTTTATTTTAAAAGACCTAAATAATAAAAAATTGGTAGGCAACATACAATAATTTCAGTGTATTAAATCTACTTAAAACTACCGGTGTATAAAACTGGTTGACAGCTTTGAAAACAAAATTTTATTATGTACACTTTAAAAATGTTTTATTTTAATTATGTGTTGATGACGATTATTATTATTAAATATATCAATAGCAGAATCGGTAATATTAAATTTAATTCTATAGTAATATTAAAAAAGAGGAAATTTCTGAATAACAATTATGAGTATAATTAGTTCTGACAAAAGTGGTGGAGCTAGTACAACAAGAAACATTTTATTTATCTTCAATAACTGTGTTTACTGTTTAAAATTCAATTTGAATTTAAAAGTCATTAACATAAGCTGCTGTTAACGCAGGTGTTAAACGAAACAGCCATGGCGAAACAAATAATATGGTAAGTACATTCGTCAATTTTGTATTATTATTTACCCACAAATATTGAGATTCTGTTTCGTTTTCTCGTGAAAAGCAAAAATATATTTTTTGTTAATCTAAGATTACTTTTGGTTAGTTGGCAAGATCGGCATAACTAGAGTGTCTTGCTTAAAAATCCATCTTAGCGCTGTCTGTTTAGGTACCTAATAAAAAAATGACACGAAGACAATTCCTGTGTGTTTTTATGTTCTGTGTGTGCACTCTATTTTTAGAATCGGCAAACACAAATTCACTTAAGGACCAGATAAACTCCTTACTGTCGCACAAGGGGTGGTCCGCTCTGGAACCAATGGACATTCGAGAAAACGGATTGTATTATGACGTGCAGCGCTTATTCAAAAGGCCTATCAACAAGATAAAAAGAAAAGATTTAAAAAAAAAAATTCGGCGTGTACATAAGCTATTAAGTTGTGAGTACGCTTTTTGGTTCACGACATTTTGTAACTACGAAACAAGTTTTGGCCAACAGTGCAAAAGATTTAAGAACCCTCATGTGTTATTTAATTGCATGGACGATTATCTGAAAAATATCAAAGAGAGCGACCACATATTTGGTTCGACAATGATTGCTTCGCTATCATATTTTTACAAGCTTCTCCCAGACATCGCATTCAACCGACAGGTCACGGAAATCATTGAGTATTTTAGAAGTTACTACTACTATAAAAAAGAATTTGACGAATCTAAATTCTTCTATGAAAACGGTGATGGAGTCAATTTATTTAAAATGGTGGTATACATTCAAGAAATCCAAGATGTTATATCAAGTGTCGTAAGATTACTGCGCATGTTTTTCATAAGTAATTGCAGGTTTACGGCAGACTATAGAAAGCTAGCTAACGTTTTCTTTAACAAGCCAGGTGCAAGAAATCATTCTTATTACCAGACGAAGCATCCCATAGCATCTATAAACGAAATAAACGCTAAACTCGATATATTGACGAGAAATTTTTTGAGGTTAAATTACGATCTCGGGTTCATATTAAAATATGATCCTACAAATTTTCGAAGTTTAAATCCTGTGTTTACATTAGACCAGTTGTTGCCGGGTAAAACTTTATCAGTAGTAAATAAAAATGCACGTGTAAACCAGTTAAATGAGCTTCTAGAAAAAACCGAATGGCTGTCAACGGATGATCATGGCAACAATTTGAGTATCGTAGAGTCAGAAGAACGATACAGTTTCAATAAGTTTTTCGAAAGCGGTCCTAAACGTCAACCGGTGACTTTAAAAAACTTTGACATTAAATTTCGACAAGTACATCAGGCCTTAAGCTGCAAGTACGCTGGAACGTTAAAGGATTATGTCGATGTCACCAGAGGTTTAGGACTTCAGTGCCGAAAAATTTTAAATCCTGATTTGTCGTATAATTGTCTTTTCACCGTCATGCAATCTATCAAGAAGAGTGACGCTATGTTAATGACCATGAAATGTTTTTTTTGGTATTTATATCAGATGGGTCCACAAACGCTATACAATACGGACATTGCCACTATTGTAGATTACATTAAATCATACTCTGATAACATAACATTCTTCAGTTCAGCATTCGACAACGATTCACCGAATATAAATTCTGATTTAGTCACAAATGAGTTGTTGTCGATTGAAAATATCCTGTCCTTCGTCGAAAATTATTTGCGCTTATTCTTAAAGAGATTTTGCTGGTTGTTGGATGTTCATGAACGATCTACGGGTATGTCTACTACTACTTATAGCGTTCAAAATCTTTTAGAACCAACGAACTCTGCTACGGACTGTATAAAATATTTAGAAGAGAAACTCGAAGTACAAATGAATAACTTTAAAACCCATCACGAGAAATTTGGATTCGATTATGATGCTGTATTATCTGCTTTGGTTGTCAAAAATATAAAAAGAGTTGTTTTAGGAAAAGACGTAGTACACATATAATGTTTTAATGATTAAATAACGACTGTAACAGTAGAAACAATTTTGAAAAACTATTATAACTGAAAATAGATCCAAATTTAATCACATATAGCCACAGTATTTTAGTTTTTGGTTTTATCCATCAGGTAGAGTTTGTATAAACATATTTGTCTTCTACTTTTAAAGTTTGTTTTAATTTACTATTAAATTGTTATTGACATTGTTTATTATTAATGTAATTCGTGAAATAAAATAGTTTTTAGTTTTATCTGAACGCAGTTTGTTAATGAATTACACAGTTTGTGATAACTTTGCAATGGATTTAATATTATAATTTAATTTTAACGATATAATTAATAATATTTATTATTATAAAATCAAATAAATATACTATATAAAATACAAACAATACTATAATGCATTTTTATGTTAATAATATAATGACATACATGAGCGTTAGATTAACAATATTAAGGCTTCTACGAATTCAGCATTAAACATTTTAAACATCGAAAACATGTTTGAAACTTGATAAAATATAGTAAATGAGTGTAATGTCAAAACTAAAGTGGGAAATAGAGTATTTTTAAAAAAATTTTATTTAAATATAAATGTACTTCACTGGAATAGGGATTCTGCATTGTAGAATAGTTGGAATTGTATAAGCTTTTTTTTAACATGAATATGTTTTATAAATGGAAGTCAGTACAAAATAGTTAAAAATACTGTTTTAAATATTATGATCTTATGACTAGAAAAAAGTTAAATAATGTTTTGAAACCTAGGTGGAATGTTATGGATGTTAGTGTTAGGAAATCACGCAAAACAATTTTGAATATAAAAAAAAAAGAGGAAAAAAGATTTAAGTTACATAAAACAAGTATATATTATACGTAGTTTTTTTTTGTTTCAGTATAATTCAAATTTATAATAATATTTGTCCAACCGAGCATTGCAATAGTCTTTGAGAGAAAAATTATATTACCCATTCAAATTTGTTAATATATTACATTTTACTTAATGTATGATATAAGTCACGACTTGAATTAAAAACTTTTTCAAATCTTTTTTTATAAAACTTACATATTTTATCACGTTCGTTTGTTTAATAGTATTAATTCACATATATTCAATATGACACTTTGTGAAGGTAAAACGTTTAATGTGGACTAGTATTGTTGAATGGAGAATGTGTGATTGATCCTCAATAATATCATGTTATGATCATTTATCGATACAAAACTAAAATATATTAATCGTTAGAAATAAAAATTCAGTTTTGACATTTAATTATGTGTTGAACATAAGAACAATGTAGGTATACATAATCGTTTAGTTAAGTTAAAACTATTTTTTGACGTACTAATAATTACAATGTTTAATAAGTTTAATGTTTTCGATAGGTAATAATGCATTATTATCATTGTCTAACTATACTATAATATGTACATTATGTTCAATACAATTGTTTGGAGATACACTCTTACATTAAAACTGTACAGTGCAAGTATTACAAATTTCAATTTTTTTTTTAAAGTTACATACACATAAATACATTACATACATTTAAATTATAGATTTTCTAGGCGTAAGGTATTTGTGTTATATTTTGTTTATTATTTATCTATTTTTCTAAAAATACATTATATAAAACATTTATCTATATTTATATATATATAATTTAAAAAAAAGTATTTTACAATTTATTTTTTATTTCTAAACAGTTTAAAATAATAATAATTATAATACTATATTAGGTATGGACGTTTGAAATCACGTTATAATTTATCTAAGGGAATGAAAAAGTTCGATACTTGGTTATTTTTTTTCGTTTGTTCAAAAGGTACAAACAAAGTTCTTGTTGGGTTTAATCCAAGCAGTTAACAGTAGGTAATAAGGAAAAAAAAGTATTTTTTACTTATAAAAAAAATAATGCTAACAAGATTTAATGTTACAAAATCATTTTTTTTCCAACTACTTTCGCGCCTTTACTATAATTTTATTTAGTGTAGTATATTATTTTACTGATATATTTTTTGTTTACCAATATTAAAGGAACAGCGAACTCTCTACAACAGAATATAATAATAATTAATGATTTGGTAGAACGAATAAGTGTAACAAAAATAAGATAACTATGTTTTTACAAGCAATGTGTACACTGTTATGTTGCACGGAAGATGAATTAAGAGAATATCTTGGAAATGGGTTGGTAATAATTATAAAAAGAGGTATAATTATTTAAAAAAAATGTTTGCTAACAAGGGAGAGTTAGTGCATTTCAAAAAAAGGTTCATTCAAATGCATAATGGCTTATAGTATATTATAAAGATCTTTGAGCGAAGACATTGATGGTTAAATGCACACATGAGTTAAGTACGATTAAAAAAAAAAAAAATGTGTTATTTACAAAATAGATAATGTTTTGGGTTTACATTTTTTAAGTGAATCCTTAATTGATTGATGTGGTAATCACAAATCTCAAATTAGAGCACACATCTTGGGAGTGTTAAAATTAAAAATCAAGTAACACTATCTCTTGAAAATGCAAATAAAATACAATTTATAATTCTTTTATAAATATAAAAAAAACATTTTTTTTTGTATAGGTACTTTTGACATTTGTTCATAAAATTCACAGTTACATAACCTTACGATCAAGAGTATTCTGTAGTTGTCATTTATTCTGTAAATATTACTTCCAAATTTGGGAATCATTGTTACCAGTTATTTAAGTGGTGATAAACTGAACGAGATAGTTAAAACTTACAATGTGACTATTGTATTGATTATGACTATTTATTTATCACATCTAAAAATAAAAATGTACTTTATAATCAATAGTGTTAAAATAAAACTATTTTTTTAATTTAAATGGGGTCGTTGAAAATTGTTTACAAATAATTTTTTAATTTCAGTATTGGACGACATGATGATTAGAAAATTGTTTTTAAAATAATTTTAGAAATATATGCGAGTTAAAATTAAAAATAAAAAAAAAATTATTAATTTAAACATTATGGTTACTGCGCCAAATAGATTCGTTTTACTAGATATACGGTTAAAGGAGGGTTATTATTGTTAATTATAATCGTTATCATCACAGATACCATCCTATATTTTTTGGATAATGCCACTTACCGCTGATATAACCATAATAAAACCTAGTGAAACGATGGAAATAATTAATTCCACCATTGCTTGTCGCTCGAGACGAACAAAATGTACTCAAATGTCTCCAAAAGGTCGTTAACATACAATAAAATTATGTGCACTTGTTTCGGAGTTTTAAAAAACGACACTCATCTTTACCCCCCTTGGCTTTGTGGGGTGCTATAACCCGTGTTAGGGGTTAAAAAAACCATCGACACAGAAGTGTTACCAACGTTATTATTATTTTTTAACATTCGTTTTACATTTATTTTAAGTAGGTAAACAATACAGGACTAAAATCGTGAACATAATTATACATTGTGTTACGATCAACTAATACATATTTGCTTGCATTTTCGGTGCAGGATTTATATCATAAGATCAAACGCTGTGCGCGAGTATTAGCGTATCCGCAGCCGTGATATCCAACACTGTGTTTTTGAACCTCTGATGAGCTGGACGGGTAGGTGTATACCACCGCGATTTCACGTGGAATTCTCTGCATTCTCAACAATGATTAAAAGCAAGTTTCCACCTCCGTGCCGGAAGACTGTGCACTTCCGGACCGACGGGGGGGCCCGTATGCCGGAGACGCATCACCGTAGACCACATCAGCCTGAAGGTCAGGCTTGGGATTTGCCACGTTCACCCTGAGCAACGTTTTGTAGGCCTGGGCGGTGCCGTTCGCCTTTGGGGAGATCATGACCAACACGTCGGCGGGTATGTCGTCGGTCAGACCTCCGTTTTTGGCTACCGTCGGCTTGCGGTGGATCACGGATTTCCTGAACTCCGTCGTGCTGATCACGGTGTTCATCGGCACGGTCGTGTCCCGGAAGCTGGACTGCAAGTCCCGGGACATCCGGTTCCGCTGTTGGCCCACGTAGCCGCACAGGGTCTCGCGAAACGCCCGCCTGTACTTCATCGACATCAGGTTGTAGAGGATGGGATTGACGGTGGACGAGAAATAGTAGAAGCACCCGGCGATGATGTACAGCAGCTCGTTGACCAGCGAGTAGTACTGCGAGTCCTGGGCGTACACGTAGAGCAGCCTCTGCGCGTGGAACGGAGCCCAGCACAGGAAGAAAGCTATGACCACGGCCGCTGTAAAATTGTACATGTTAATTAACGTTATATTATTTGTAAGTTGACGCAAACGCGGAGGGCTCGGTGCAAAAGTCAACCAAGTCCATAAAGTTTGCAAAATGGCAAAATGTATACTGCAGTAGATTATGCGAAAACAATTTAGGAGCTAATTACTGGGGATCAGCTGTCATGGATTTGGTTTACTTGTGCTCTGAATCCTCCATATATTTAATGGCTGCGAGGGAAGGAGAGGTACATGAATCAAATCTAAAAACAAACTTAATCAGCTGATCATAAGAATTATTCATGGTACAATGTTTTTCCATCAAGAAAAAGATTGACTACTTATATTTGAAATGTCTTTTTATAACAATACGTTTTTGGTACAAAATCCCTTCTCGTAAAATAAAGTTGATCTAAAACTGTAAACGCGTGGAAGTATATTTTTGGATTAGTAAAAAAAAATCGGTCCCCACACTTAAATGTACTCAGCTTTAATACAAAATAACGAATATGAGGATTTTCTAAAATGTGTTGTATATCTATAACCGATCGATTATTGAGGTTAAACTTATTTAAATAAATAACAATTAATCGACTAAAATCTACTCATTTATCACTAATCCGTTATCAGCGATTCTTTATCACTAATCCGTTATCAAAATATCTTATCGGTGATCCTTTATTAATAATCTAGTACATCGTTAAACATTTTGTTTAATGGTATTACTTGTCTTGTATACTTCGATTGACAACAAGCAGATATTATGTGTACCTAATAATATTTTTAAAACATTACTTTGGAACAAGAACCGAAATGCATCTATTTTATTGGAAATTCGTTTGCTGAATTTAAATCTGGCCTCTGAGCATTTTTAAAACTCACCCGCAGCGGTAAAAACGCTGTTTCGAGGTATTTATTTTTCGTCAAGATAGTTCATTTCTCATCATTTAAAGGACATTATTTTTAATTACGCATCGTTTACATTACCGAGCATTCTGACAATGGATTTTTTCGATTGCATTTGTTTGCTCTCGCCACCCTGCATTTGTTTGCCCAGCGAGTGTCTGGAGCTTTGTCTGATCTGAAGTCCGATTCTCACGTACAACACGATTATGATCACCATCGGAACCAGGAAAAATAAAAACGAACTCAATTCGTAAATGGGCACTCCTGGTGGTAAATTGCTGTCCAACATTGCACAGAACGCACTTTCGTACAACGGTTTTCCCGAACCTGATGAGAACAAAACAATGAGTTAACAACTATTACATAATTCAATATATAAAAATCAACACGGGTGGATTAGTATTTCATTTTTTTTTTTTTTGGGGGGGGGGGCTATAATTCCTGCCACTCGTTTACTCGAAAATGTATTACGGCCAAAGTGTAATTTCCCCCCTCCCTTTTTGTTGGTTTTCCACAAAAAAAAAGTTAGTCCACAGCATTTTAAGACAATTGTATATGCTATATAACCTTACTCTAAATCTGTCTTCAGTCTGATTTTCAGACCTTAAGTCCTAAAACTTTGCTCGAAAATGTGAAATAAAGAAAAAGTTTTCATCCCTTCTAGAGAAAAAGGTTTAAGATATTGTTTTGGTTTGTCAACGTGTATTAGTAGTACTATGACTAAAGAATATTCCATAAAAATGTGTTAATGAGCATTTTATTTTGAATCGAGTAGTATATAGACTCTACACGCCTTATAGACTTTAACCTTGGCTTCATAAAATATACGTTATACACATGTGATATTCTTCGCATAATCAAATACCATAATTTAAATTTTACATCTCACGTTTGGTTTTTAGTTATATCTTTGAATTTTTCGATTTTTTAATTTAAATCATGTTTTTATGTTGTATATGTAGTCTTAAACAAATAAATATCTGTTGGAATATTATTTCTCATTAGCTACAAGTATTTTATTTAAATTATTTAAAAGTTATTTAAGATATTTTCTAATTATTAATGACATAAAGAAATTACAAATGGTCTACAAAATTACACGTATACAAATTATTGTAAAAACAATGATAATGTGCTTAAAATTGTATTTTTATTAGTAAGGTGGATAACTATTGGCCAGTTTTATTATATTATTCTACATTTAATAGGTAAATCGAATATGCATATTGTATCTGCTACTCCGATTGAATTAAGTTAAATCTTTAGTTCAAAGATAAAACAATATTTGTATAAAACATATTTTATCGTTTCTTATTGATGATGCTAAAAACAAAGGCCATATTTAAACTTATATATACACATATATATGTACAGAGTTATGACTTGTATATCAAAAATAAATATTGCAGTAAAGATCAAAGTTGTGTAAAGCTCGTATACCGCTAAACTGTGCAAATAAAATGAAAAACATAGTATTTTTTAATAATTCATACCATAACATCCAAAAAGAGATATTACAGACAAAATATTTTAAACTAGAAAAACCTTTGCTTAGTAACTAAATAATTTTTAAAAAAATGTTTCATGTCTTCTAGGGAAAACGGTTTAAGATATTGTTTTGGTTTATCGACGTTTATCGGTAGTATTGTGCATAAAAATTATTCCACATATATTTGTAACTAATTCGACTATTTAAACATTTTTATAGCGTTCTGTAATTATCAGTTGAGAAATATGTAAATTTTGTAAGGCGATTTTCTCTATTTTGAAGGGAAAAGGGTAAACTTTTTAAATTTTTGTCTCGATATAGTATTTTTAAGGTACGATTTCTGATTTATAGACTTGCCACGTGAAGAAAGCGATTTGGTAGTTATAGGAGGTATATAAAATAGAAAAATAAAAATTGTAAAAACTACTCTGCAACAGATCAGCTTAAAAATCGCACTGGTTAATTAACCATGAACTGTATAGGTATACTATATTATTATTGTATAATTCAGTATACCGCGTAACGGCATAAGTTATTATGTAAAAAAAAATTAAATGCTTATGTACTTCATGTAAAATCATGCACAAATTTATAAGCCGACAAAAAAGTGGTAATTATCATTGTACCTATATTTATTTTATTATTAATATAATTATAGCAATTTGCTGGTGTATTTTATTTTATGTTTTATTAATGTATATTATGCCATGGATTCGAAAACGAGTTTCAAGATGTAGTGCGATAATGCGTGAGAAATTAAATAAACGTTTTACAAGTTCTATTCACAATAGAATTATTTATTAATAGTAGGAAGCGCCGTTTGTTCAATGTTGTTGCCTTACAACATGCGAGTTTTAAGTTGGAATAATCGAAAAAACCTTAAATCATACAAACAAAATGCAAATTAGGAAAAAATGTGTTTTTATGTCTACTTTAATGTTGTATTAAAAACAAAATATATATTATGAATAATATAAATTAATGGTAATAACCGAACAAACACGTTTGAGTATTTTGCCCAGACAAAACTCAATTCGACCAGAGTTTATTGCTGTACTTTGTAAGTACATATATTTCATAAGTAACATATGGTTCATATAGCTTAAAATTTGTCACCGTTCTTGGTATATAGTACCGCTTATCCGTATATGTTAAAAGCAATGTCGGTGCTAGATAGTTTTTGTTGTAGACTTTCTTTGAACATACTTATCGCATCATTTTTATAAATATAAAACTTACTATTTTTAGTACACACACTCAACCTCGAATTGGTAATTGCTATGCGTGGGCGACGTTAGTAGGTTTTTTTAACAATTAAAATTTTCTTTATTTTTACCAAGACTTACAGGTACAATAAAATATTTGTTAAATTTTCTAAAAACAGAAATAATAAATCATAATTTACCGAAGAAATTGATAATGACCGGGGTAGACCTCTATAAAAAAAAACGGTCGTTTTTAATCGAATCCTTTGGGTACCTTTTCAAGTGTCGCGCTCCGCATGAATATCGTTTAGACCGAGAGAACCACTTGAGTTTAAAACTATATGGCACGTGTAAATTAAATTATTACCGGGCGGATAGTCCACATAGTCGACTTTGGTGAACATGGCGAACGGCAATGCGGCCAAAAACGACACTACCCAGACGACTGCGATGATGCGAACGGCTCTCTTCAATCCGGACATTGCGTACGAATGAAGTGGATGGCAAATAGCTATGTATCTTTCCATGGAAAAAGCCACAATCGTCAAAACCGAAGTGTACGAGGTCCTGTATGGAACAACAATAAAAAATTAAAGGTTTTCACATAGGTATTACATATTATATGTTAACAGCTTACGAGTCCGCAACACCACGGGACACATTTTTATGTGTCTAAAGTGGCTAGTAAACATATCTTGTTTCTGGCTAATATTTTAGTGTTTTCATAATATTATCTGGCCCAAAACAATTCATAGAGAATTTGGCCCCTTAAATTATTGAATTTATTATTCATTTCTATTTTTAACGTTGTGAATACTACATACATGCCCCCACCCCAACCCTCATATCACACACCCTATCTCCTTCCTTTATCTCTTATCTCTCTTATCAGATAAATCAGCTGTTATTTTTCGTTATGGTAACCGGTGTTGGTGTCAATTTTTCCGGTTGTTTTCCAAAGTAAAAACCATATCTCTTATCTCTTATCTCTCTTATCTTAGCAGATAAATCAGCTGTTATTTTTCGTTATGATAACCGGTGTCGATTTTCCGTGTGTGCCATAGCAAAGACATAAAAATGTCAAAAAAACACACGACTTAAAAACTATCTAAAAAACACAGTTGGCTCAATTCGCCAAAGATGGTCACATTCAACTATTGAAATATCGTTTTGTTTTTCATTGATCCAAATGGAAGTGAGACTGGCCGGGGGGGGGGTGAGAATTTGCCACGGGAACTGTCGGTCGGCTTAAATATACATTTGTGACGAAATTTCAAGAGTTAACAAAAATAATATCATAACTAACATTTCTGATACCAAGGCCCGAAGCTTGCAGATGAATTCGCCCAGCTGCCAAGGATATTGCTGCCAATACACGCTGAGATCATTTGGTAATCCTGAAATCAAGCACAAGTACATCATTAACTCAAGGTATATAAAATTAAAATATATTTTAGACACGTCGAAAATAAATAATCCATAGTCTGATAGCGCGCCAGGTAAGGTTAAAAAACCCCGTCAAACCAATAACTACTCGCTTTGTATAACAATTATTCAATATAATCTAATTAAATAGTACCCATTTTATTTTTTTTTATAATTAATACAAAATTTTAGATTGATACGTGTGTTGTTTTTATGAAAATAAAATATCAACAGCTTTTTTTATTATTATTACAAGGTTATGTAGAAGTTATTCTTGGTAATTAATGTTTTCAAGGTACGGGGTTTTTCAACGCGGTAGGTACGTTTTAAAAATAGCTCACTATATAAATGTACACAAGTTATGAAAGATAATTTAAATTCTATATATGGTGTACACCGTTACTGATTAAAATCGTATCTCCACCTACGAAGCCCTATAGAGATTTTCATTTGTAATATATTTGGAAGTTATTGACATTCATTTATACTTCATTGCTAATTAGAACAATTATAATATGTATAATGTGTCTACTAATTAACCGGATGAAATCCACGGCGATTACAAGGGAAAGCACTGTAAAAATATCAAGTTTAGGGATTTTGGGCGCTCAACATAGGGAATACATGAAAATATAAAAACTTTAAAATAGTATGGACAATTTAAGATCTTAAACGGCGTACTATTAAAATTATCACTAAAAAATAAATAAATAATTGCGCAGTCAAATTTTAATAAAGAAAAAAATATCAACAAGTATGTAATAAAAATATACAATGTTTTGTAAGTATTTAATACCCACAGAAATATGCAAAACTAAGCGTAAAATTTGTTTTTAATTTTTAATTTAGATACAATGACCGGAATTTGTAACTTGACAATTTTGTAGAACCTTCCGAATGAATATGCAAATGAGCTCACGCGCATAATGTCCCTAAACCGGATCATCACTGTTTAAAACCAATATATTATATATTCTCAACTCTGGGTTATATCTAAAATTAAAATCTAATTAATTAAAATTAAGTCTTATTTTGCGGCGAGACTACTCCTTTTTTAACACTGTCTGAACAACATTTGGATAACCCTAAAAAACCAACGGTGAAAACGCAAAACTGTGGATTTGAAAATATTTTGAAACTAAAATTTTAATAAAAAGTCTACTCGCAAGACTTGTTGTTCAAACTTCAAACCATTACACAAGTATATATTTGCAATAATTAACATTAAGTCTGTTTCTTCTTGATTTAAATTTGTTTCAATTTCAAATTGTGTGAATGAATTTTGGTTTTAAAAAGTTATTTTTTAGCATTGGTAGCTTTTTTTTAATAGAAATTATTTTTATGGCACTTTTGCAGCCATTTTAGAACATTTTTTAAGTAAATTTTTTATTTAACCTTCATCTACACAGCATTTCCAATGTTCTGATTAGGTGCTATTGTTCGATCACAAATTTAAGCCGACCACAAGCGACAAATGTAAACAGGATTAAACAGGTTTTAAACAGGATTGCTCTGCTTCTTGTATACTATATACACAATAGTGTGTGCCACGCTTTTCCCTGTTTTACTTAGCTTCGCGCCACTACTGTATCGCTGGATAATACAAGTTATATATGGTATACTACATGATATTTTATCATAATTAATTTAAATATCTAAAAAAAGAATATGCTCGGGTTCCTCATCTATGGCTCATAATATTGCTTCTTAGGTTTATTCAGTGAAATGACACATTGAGTGATGGATGTATTATAAAAGCTAATATGTACAAGACACTTTATATTGTTATAATAATGTGATAATTTGTTATGCGTTTTATACTCGGATTTCCCATTCATCATCATTCATCACCATTGTTACAAAACTACCGAGAAAACAGTTTATACATTTATATTTGCAAGTGATTTAATAAAATCAAAAGAATGACATTAAATGCATTAGACAAGGCGGTGGAATATTTTTTTCAATAAATAACACATTTTGTAAAATAATTTTACAGCAGAAAAAATGTTAAGAGTATCCACACTTCATGCAGATACATCAATATGTCCTGATATTATAATGGCAGCGCTAAGATAAAAAAAAAAAGATCTAAACGATATAAGGAGGGTCTTAAAAATAAATCAGGGTAAGAGAATACACAGAAAGTTAGACAATACATGTCTTATTAATTTTCATATGAATGATAATATTATTTTCACAATTATTGAAAGAAATAATACATTGTTGACATATAATCAATGTATCAGTTAATAACCCAATAACGTGTACAATATGTAGAATATTAGATTTATAATTTAAAAGCAAAACAAAGCACGTCTTATTTGTGGAAACATGATTTAATAAATGGTCTTTCATTTGTATAAGTTATTATACCGTTTAAGTTTTATAGATAAAATTTATGTCTTTTAGGTTTTATTTTCGCAATCACACTACAAGATTTGTTCTTAAGAAAACGTGCGGGGGCTTCTATTCCCAGAATACTGTTTTACTACTTTGTATACTACTCCCAAATGTACAACTTGTAAGGGTATTGCTATTGGTGAAAAGTTAGGAGAGCTCGGATGAAATTTAGGGCCACATTGGAAATAGACGGAAAAAATAATTCTATGACTGTTATACATATTATTCATTATTTTGCATGGTTAAATTTGCTTCTGGTTTTATTTTTTATTTTGTTCAGTTTAATCAGAAGTAATTAGTTACGCCAACATTGCTACTATACATAATATTATACTGTTTTACAAAGCTTAGTTTCAATTAAATGTGTATATTTTTTTAAGTTGAAGTATTCATAATTTTAAGTTACTGAAAAAGAAATGAAACGCTATGCCAAGTTACCAGCTAAATATATTTATGATCGATAAGCGAAAGCAAGCTGATAAGAGGTATAACAGTGATAACAATAATAAGCGCTAAGAATATATTATTTTGACTTTACTTGAGTTATTTTATAGTTTTAATAAGATTTGAATTTGTATTATTTTATTTTAAATTTAGTTGTGTGATTGTTGGTATTAATTTAGCAAAATAGTTAAATAATAATTCCTAATATAATATATTATACATTAATCATTAATAAAATAATACTGGCTTTCTGCTTTAATAATTTATAAATCCATTTGCATACATGTTTTTTTATACTTATTAGACATTCACTGGTGTATAAACACACAATACTAAAATATCTGAAATAAAACCAACTGTAACGAACAAAATTCCATAATGATAATATTTTAAAACTCCCTTTTATTTGTTTTTGTCGTCAATTCGTCGAAATTAAAAAACAATATAGACGATTTTGAAAACATTTCACGTACAACCTCTACTAATTTATTATTATTTTTTATTTGTATTGACTTGAAAGTCCATGAATGTTTTCCAAAGACATTTTCGAAGAGTAACAACAAGGGTCCAACAAATAATTGAAAAGTGGTAAATTTGCATTTATTTAAGAAATGTATAAAAACCTGATCAACTTATATTTTATGCTGTTATTTTGGTTACGTAGGTGCTTATTTTTATTGCAGTTATAATTTGTTATTTATTTATTTTTATAAATCTCTAAATAATAAAATGTTATACGGTTTTATCGTCTTCCGTTGAAATGTTTACTTGTTTATAGATTTGACGTTACCAAAAGGTTATTGTAAACAAACAAATCTTTACAAAAAAAATACAAAACAATATAATATACATGATATTGAGTTATGATAATTCCTCAGCTTTCTAAAAAAAATATTAGAAAATCAGGATTTTGTTTTAAGGAAAGGCTAATCTTGGATTTACCAGAATTAAAAAATTGACATATTGCACAGGTGTTCGAAATGATTCGCATTATATTGTTAATTACTATATACGGATAGCTGTGATGATAAATTGTTACACAGACAATCAATCTTAATCGCAATGACCATAATACTAAAAATACATTTTAAGCGCATTATTGCATTAGACACAATGCTTTTATCGATACTTGTAATTTATAATCACATATTATTAGCATTGGAGCGTTTATTTATTTATCTTATGACATATTTTCTATTATTAAAACAATTATAACATTTTTGTACACAAACAACTTTAAAAAAAAAAAACTCGCCATCAGTCCATAAAATCATTTTCGTATATAAGGTTTTAATTGAGAATAAATTGATTTTAAATAATATCCAGTTAGATCATTTTCGGAATAAAATAATTTAATATAATATTTCTTTCTTATACAAAAGCGTTAACCAGAAAATACATTTTAATTAAAAAAAGTCGTTTAAGAATACAACGGGAATCGACCAAGCACTGTACTTTAAACATATTATAAATACATTTATTGTTAATTTCTATAACTACTATTTATTTCACTTTTATAAGTGTAGTACAGGATTATAAAGTATATAGTTTAAAAATAAACACTATAAGAACACATTATGCTGTGCCCTTTTTACAATAATAAGTTCTTCGGAGTCGATAACAATTTTTTGAACGGCTTTAGCCCATGTATCATAAAAATAATAATATCCAACAAAAATCAACTGAATGTTTTACTTTCAAACGTATACATCTTCTAAACTAGGTAAAAGGCTAATATGAAAAAACAAAATGTGTTTTTATGATTCATACCAAGAATATAAAAAAAAACAGTACAGCGGGGTCGGGACAGGGTGCCTAGTGGGAGGGCCAGGGGATTACAACACCCCCCCCAAGCTTGTCTGCAAGTTAAAAAAAATGTAAATCCAATATCCCAAATTTGTAAAATTTATTACAAAATCATAGCCCTCCCCTGAATTTTCACCTGCGGGCGCTCGCTTGTTTTCTGGTATCTGAATATTTAGCATTTTTGACCAGTATTAGATAGAACAAATTAAAAAAAAGTGGTTAATTAGGTATTAAAATTTTTTTGTCTATTGGAGTGTAGGTACCTTAAAAATGTTTTTTCTCATATGTATATTGCAGTGAAATTAAATATACCGACAGT